GTGTTTTCCCACTTCCCCGCAGAATCTGCATTCACAGTTGTTTCTTAAGGCGCATTTTCACAACTCGTGTACTTGACAAACATTATTTGTTATTGGAATATACTTGCCATGTCGTGAGAACGGTTTCCTTGTGCAATTATTTGTCACTCGTTGCGTTCCCACTCTCTGTCTGTAAACATAGCCCGAGTCAAAGGATCACAATTATGCCGGGACCCCATTAGCCAACACGCCAAGATATGTGCGTATGTTGTTTCCATTTAATTACATGTATTACGTACACACTAGGCAACACGCCACCCCACGTCACGCCATCCCACGCTATCACACGTGCGTCGTCTCTCCCAGATCTCATGTGTACACTCTTTTCCACGTAGGATAGCGTGGTGTGTGGCCTAATTGGGTCCCGGCTTTATTCGTATATTTATACACTTGCCAAGTGTAGCATTGGCTAGCCTAACGACTGCGCAAATAATTGTACTGTTATCTGTTATAGCGTATGTCCGGTTTATTTCCGGATCGTAGTGTTTTTCAAGTTAATTGCGGATAATTTAAAACGTTAAAACAATAATAGATTATATAATATCAAATTTACATTAATAACTTAATCGGCGACATACCAAAATCGTTCCTTCAGCAATAAATGGAGTGTACAAATTTTCATAGAAATTAAGATAGCGATACAGTAGGCAAATGTTAGCGTCATTCGAGAAAAAAGAAAGCAATAATACGCTTAGTCCCAGAGATATTACAGCTTAGTTATTTTGCCGTACAAGGGAAAAACCAGAGTGGTCCACGCGTAAATGGCAAAAACCAGAGATGTCCTTACGCATCTTGCAATTAGCATTACATGTAGTAAATTTATGTGTTCTAATAAAAACCTACTTAAATATTAATTTTCTTCCTACAACAAAAAAATAATAGTTTAGATTTTGATTTTATACAACCTTTAATTGGACATCCCTGGTTTTCCCCTGTTTTGTTTTGCATTTTGACATTTTTATTTCGGTATTTCAGAATATGGCGATAATTAACAATATTAATAATTCAGAATTGGTAGTAATATATATTTTTCTAATTATTCAACAGAAAATAACATATGTATTTCTTTAAAAACACTAAATCGCATTTTTCTCGGCTCGAATTAAAATGGACAACGCTGTTTTTTCCCGTGTAGTCCTCAAACTATGTTGTTTTGGAATTTATAGATTTATACGGAAATGAGCCCTTCATATGGATGGCCAAACATAAAGAACATAAAAATCGTATTGCAGTGTACAGTAAAAAAAAACTTAAAATAAAAGAATCCCTAGCAATGACAATTTCGAGACTATGGATACCGGGGATGCGACTATACTGTTTACTTGCAAAGGATTTAAACAATGTTTGTGCTGGCGTACTTGTTGAAATGGACACGTCGCGCGTCGTGTGAGCGCCACACTTGTCAATGTTGTTTGCAAAGTGGTGATACTTGCCAAGTACGCAAATATTGGCGTACTTGCCAAGTAGACGAGTCTTGAGAGGTGAGAGTCCGCCTTTAGCTTCAGTCCACTGAAAGACTGTTCTTACTTAAGTTTGTTTTCACTTGGGAAGCAGAACGGTTCTAGTCCAGTTGTGTAGTGTTCGCTCCTTTTCTAGCTAGATCGTTTTCATTAACCATAATAAATGATATTTTCAACCTAAAGTAGGAAGATTTTTTTTTTTTGGCAAATTTGTTCAGCTCCTCTAGGCATTCTTTGACCAATTTCGAATAAAAATCTTTATTGGAAAAAACTATTATATATTCACCCACCAGGAAAATAAGTGCGAAAAAAATTCACTACTACTTGGATTAATACACTGGGCTCAGCCTCCACAGGAAAAAAACTAATCTACTACCATATGATCGAATAAAACGGCGTCAGCGATTTCTATGAAATGAACATCGATGACATTTCCCATATAAATTTACATATAAAATGACAGCGAGCTTCATTTCATAACCATCGCTGACGCCGTTTTTATTCGATCATTCGGTATTTTCAATAGCTAAAAACTATCCTTATTGTTTTCATGCTAGGAATGGCTTTATTATTATTTGATCGATTGAATAAAGTACAACCTACCGTACTATCAATTATACAGGGTGTTACAAATTCGGGACACGAGCATTAGTATCTCGGAAACCGTAATAGATATGAACATGGTTAAATTGAGGCAAAGTTGCGCTTTGGAATGTTCACCAATATGCCCTCCAAAAAGTTTCTAAAATTTCAAGGATTGATGGTAAATGAGTTGGTCGATTTTAATGCTGCTTGACTATCGGAAAAGATGGCTGTTTCTTGATTCCGATAGTTCCTGTTTCCTATCTAAGATAAGTTGTACGCATCTTTCGATAGCGTAGATTTCTTTCTGAAGGATACTGGGGTAGGCTCCCATTCAGTGAGTCCAAAACCCCTAAGCTGACAACTCTTCCAGTACTGTTGCCCTCAATGAGCATTCTAATCATAGTTGTATTTATTTATGGCAAGTTAAATAAAGGTTTGTAAAAGTGATTCCTGATCAATGCCTGCAATGGAAATAACTTCAGTAGCAGAGGATAGGTACACTGTACGCGTGCAAATTTATTTATTGATAACTAGCATTAAAAAATAAGCTATAAATTAACTGTAACACGTGGAAAAATTAAATTGCATCAGTTAGTATTAAATAATTGTTTTATAATGCGGGAGTCTTAACTGACCAAATCAATAATAAAATTAATAATTTTAATAAGTTTTCTTAAATTATTTTTTACGCGTAGAATTCACACGATATGAACAGAACCGGCATTCTTGGCCTAGTAAACCATTTAATTGTAACAATTCCAGACAATTCATGGCGAACAGCGAAACAAGCAGTATCTTAACGGCACCATGGTCTATGCAAATAGACGATTGCCATACCTGGTTTTTCGTTTTGTTTTGGTTATAGGTACACCACCAGCGGTAACTTGTGAGTACCGCTAGATCTATTTTATGGAGTGGAATCAGCGGCGGCCGGCTTCACCCAACGGTACGTTGCTGGTACTAAATAACACGGCGAATTTTTAGTAGTTTATTTATTGGTTTCTTCAGCTTTATTCGGATAGTGTCTTCCTACCGACGTGAATGTTTTTTGCGAAGGAAATTTATGTTACGTTTTAGGTGTCCAAACCAAACCTTGAGGATTTTGTTTAAATGCGGATGACACACACACTGACTGAGAATACTGGAGATTATAACAATTCAAGACTACATACATACATACATACTGCTATTACTCGCTGACGAGTATTGAACACGCATCAGAAGATAGTCACGCAAGGCGTGAGCTTTTCTGTGAGCTTTTAATGAGCTTTTCTGTGACTGAAAAGCCCGATACGTGATGTTATCTGTCTACCGCACTCCGGACATTCAAAAATCTCTTCTTAGCCTCTTAACTTAGTTTTCTTGCATTCCACATACGTGACCAGCCCATCTTAGTCGGGATTTTGTAACCATGACTTTAAAACTCTCGCAGTTAGCTTTTTCCAGAATCGATACATTTGAGGCATGATGGAACCATTTGATTCAATACTAACGTATACCGGGTGCGTCTCAAAATTGGCTCACCCCTATAACTTTTTTATTTTTCTGGATAAAAATACTACATTTGATATATTAATATATGACATAAATTATTATTTATTGCCGTATTCAGTTGTTTTTGTATACTGTTATATATTGTACTCTGAATAGAATGACATATCATATGTCAATTTTTGACATTTTCGCTTAAAAAATAATAGTTAAATTTCAGTATAGAGTAGCTGTGTTAAAAACATTAATTTTTAATCAAGGAGCCTTGGAGAATTAGATTTAATCGTCTAATGTTTTTCGTGTCTTGTCCTGGTCGGTTAAAAGAAGCCCAAATCGTATTTTTAATGATATCTATTTTTTTTCAAATGGAACAGGGTGGCTCATTAGCATATTTGGAAAAAGGATTTTTTTACGAATAATTTGGTATCACACACTTGGTATTTTAAATCAAATTTTCGTTATGAACCGCATGTTACAATTTCAAATAAACCATATGTGAAAATGTCAATGTTGACATATGATATGTCATTCTATTCAGAGTGTCATTTTCTATCGAATAAAGTAGAAATATACCGAGGGTACCATTTAAAAATCAAAAGTTGTAGTCATTTCCGGTGAAACAGGAAGTGACCAAAAACAATTGAATACGTCAATCAATCCCAATTTATGTCATATACTAACATACCAAATCTCGTTTTTTATCTATCTAAAAATAAAAAAGTTATAGGGGTTAGCCACTTTTGAGACGCACCCGGTACAGCAATGTTGTACGAGACGCACCCGGTACAGCCCGGTACAGCATCTACCATGCATCTACCGATGATGCTGATAAAGTCGTCAGCTGCAGCTGTAGATTTCAAAGAGTCTGAGTTTTTATTTTATTATCAGTAGGAAGTTCTCAAGATTTTTTAATGGGAGCATTTTTAGATAGACAAAAAATGACACTTTTTTAGTATTAATATATACAGCACTTATAGTAACTTTTATCATCAAAATTTCATTCCGGCACTTAGAAGAAAATTATAATAAATCGATAACAAAATAAAATAAAGTATTTTGGCCCCCTGTATTTATGAAACCAACTAGAATCGGACCTATGTTGATATAAAAAATCAATCTTATTTTATTCTCCTTACGAGAAATGGCACATGTTTTTGAAACACCCTGTATAATATAAATGTATACAATTTTTTCAACAAATTTAAAATTCCAAACACATGTTCAGTAGCAGCGACACTGATTATATATTATCTATGTCAGGTTTATTTATTAAAAACGCATAAAATTAATGAGACACTTAATAACTCTTCTAATAAACAGATTCTGAAAAAATAAGTATAATAAATAAAGCAAAAAAATCGGTCTTTGAAAGACCTAGTGCCCTAATTAAAATGAAATTTAATGTGTATATATTCAATTTTTCAGATTTAAAAAATGGATTTGAAGTATGTCCTGCTAACAATAATCAAGATCCTTATATCGACGGGACTGGTGATACACGCACAAGGAAACTCCCTTATGGGGGGACATCTAGACAATAAGAATTATACAGAAGAAAATTATGCATACGATTATGACTATACGGATAGCTTGGAATCAACGACAGCGAAAATAGTAAGTTTTTACTTTAGGTTTAATTATGATATCATGACATGTATTGATTACTTCGATTCCAAATATCGCGAGAACTAGTATACGAATAGTAGTAGGGTAGTAGTAGCATTTTTTAGAAAGAGGCCTTTTTTACTCAAAAAAGGGAGAAAATGTATAACTTTTCACTCAGTAGTTTTATACGGGCATAGACAAAAACATATTACATACTCTTGAAACTAATTTCTTATGTCAAAAAATTCCCAGACATCAGTTTTCATATAAATATCGACGAGTTTAGAAATTATTTGGAAAAAATCGAAATAAAAGTGAAACTTCTACACCCTGTATCTCCCAAAACGAAACATTTTAGGACATAAATTTATACGAATTTTTTTACATACTTTTATCTGCATAATATGCTGCTAAGTTTTTCAGATACATTTAGGACCATTGTATTTGTCCTACCTAAATAATTATAGATTTAGATTTATTATATTAGATTTAGGGCTAGAGTTGTTCTGTTCTCCATATAATTAGATTCAGCCATTTTAAATAGATTTTAGATTATATTTTATATTCTAACTTTTAACTAAAATTATATGGAGTATGTCATCGATTATCATTTTCAAGCCAATTGGACGCCGTTTTTTTTTCGATGATACAGTATTTGAACTTACTATTTTCTTTTTTGCTTGTTATAGAACCAAAGCCACAACAGTATTCCTGCGCAATCTGAAGAAATTCCTGACCCTTCAGCTTTAGTCCGACCAGGATATAACTTACCTGATGACATTTTTAACGAGGGAAAACCATTCTATGTAGAAAAAGATCCATCCACGGGCAAAATTGATTTTAATCATAAGTCAACATCAACTAAAAATAATGATAGTAATGATGATGACGTGGATGATTACGTCGATGATACCCCGTCAGACGATGTTTACGATAAAAAGAATATCGATAGGAAAGATGGAAATATAGATAACTACGGAAGTCATAGATATAATGCTGTGAATCAACTAACAACTAATTTTCATGATTTTCTTAATCTCCCGGTTAGATACAACCCTGAAAAATACGTTCCACCTCTAATGTCTAGTCCTTATGCGAGTACAAAAATTCAAGGTAGTGTTAACAAGTACCATAATCATAAAGACACGTTTGGTGTGCCAAAAACCACTACTACGAAAAGGCCTACTGCAAACCCTACGTATTATACAACAGGATCGTATTTCACACCACGTACAACACAACGAACTATGGCTACCACTCCAGTCGCCACTACCACAACTCGGCCTACTACAATGAAGATTTATCCCGAAATAACAACAAAATCTGTTAGTTTACTAAATTCCGACATGTCACATCCCAGCTTCAATGAAGAGTACGACTACTATGATAGTTCGACTGAAGTTACACATGAAATAAAATCAAATAACAAATTAACTACGCCAGACGTAAAACATATTTACCTTACATCTACAATCACGCCCAGTACTTCAACATCAAGGGTTTTAAGTTTATTTGAGCAGTTGTTCGGAAGTTATGACGAAATGACCTCTACTGAAGAGCCTAAAACTACTAGCGCTCCCATAAATCCTCCTCCAAAAATTCCTGATAATACATTTATTACGACTACACCTAAAATCGAGAAGATTTTGACAACAAAGAACTATCCAAATATACATGCTGGTCCACCAAGTTTACAAACAGAAGCGAGTACAGATCTGGATACAAATTACGAATATAACGATGAAGATGATTATAACAACCCAAAATTAACTGACAATATTGCTGTAGAAAATAATGTTCATGCAGAAGAGACTCTAAAAGTACAGCCCTTGGATGTCAAATTTGAGAAAACTTCACCTATAAATAATTTCCATAACGTCCAAAAAAATACTACTATCAAAATAAAAGAGCAAGTAACTACCGTTAAACCTACTAGTTCTTCAGAATTATATAGCTCAAAAACAGAACCAGCGACAATTCCTATCTTTTTCACATCAACAAAAGCAACGACCACTACTACCACTATTCCCTCTACAACTACTACCACGACTACTCAAGCAACAACATCAAGAGTAACATCTCTACCCTTAGGTGACAACCATATAAACGCACCCGTACATAGAGATCCAATTATCGTAGCAACACAAAATCTTCGAGAAAAACTCAATAGTGAAAAGGTAAAGCATGAAACACATCCGCAATTAACGGTTCAGCTTCCTTTCCCACAAAATCAACAAAGACCGATTAATTCGTTGGTCCCTAGTACAAGTAATATTCACATTGCACCTGATCAAGATACCGTTTCTTTCGTAGTAGGACAGCATCAAAGCGTCGGAGGACCAGGTCAATATGTGGGTGTAGCTCTAAAAGAAAGTCCTTATGATGGTAATCCATTCAGACCCCTTTACGGCCATGAAGCAAGCTACAGTAGTAATTCGGATACCAACGGACCCCAAATAGCCTTTAAACCACAAACCCATGAGATAGCAGGTAGCTCGGTTACCATTCAACCTCATCAAAATTCTGAAGCATCTTTAGCTATAGGTATGCCTATTAGTGGCATTAAGCAAATAAAAGGACAAGTAATGGATGATAGTATAGATCATGATGATAAAGTGCAGTTCCCACAAGAAAGTGTCAATAAGATAATATTTCCAGAAGAAAATAAAATATTAAAACCAAACTCCATTCCTTCAAGATTCGAACAAAAGTTGCCTGTACCAACACCCACAAGAGAAGTACTAAAATTACACTCCAACCCTATAACACATCAATTGCCTAGTGATTTAACCCCTCCACTTGAAAAAGATATATTGCCGGTTAGATATGAACCATCAGAAAGACCGGTAAGGCCTCCTTGGGATCCACGACCCGGCCACTTTTATAATGGAAAACCCGAATACGTACGACCACCCAGACCACGACCAGAAGTTGCCTACAAAAGAATTGATAATCTTCCAAATATCTTACCTCAATTTAGACCAAATTTGAAACATTATCATTCCCATGGATCCCCATACATATTCGATCAAAGATTTAATCGACAACCATTATTAGAACGGCCATCAAATAGGCCAATTGGATATTTTGAAAAAATGTTGCCTCCCGTTCGACCACCACCTCATACATATCCTCAAAAAAATGTATTAAAAAATTCTCCTCCACAAATAGAAGAAAGAAGACCCATCGCTTTAGCCCTCCAAAGTTTAGATAATCAAACTCCTATTGCTGAAGATAGAATAATGAACGAGGATCCCAGACCAGTTGAAACACAGAACTCTCCAGAATTAAACTTATATCAGACACCTCCAAATATACAAATTGCAAATAAAAGACATTCAATAGCAAATGAAGAAGTAGAAACATTGCAAATGATTCAAGCAAAAACTGAAAAAGAAAAAGAAAAACCCGAAAGGTTACCGATCAAAGAAGTTGATGGTGAAACCTTGAAAATTCTTGCACAAGAGGCAACAAGAAATACCACGAATAATAAGACCATTTATAGAGTATATCCAGTTGAGGCAGGAATAAATATGGACAACAGTAAGGATTCTGAAGGAGTTATTGTTGGTACTAGAGGAGAATTACCATTACCGCCATCAAAAATTGAAAACGACTTTAATTTTCAAAATCACGACAGAAACGACGCTCCTATTTTGAAACCTCACCCTAAGCCCCCAACTTTTCCTACAAAATCCGATTTTCCATATCCATTAGAACGTCCAGACTCGGTTTTAGGACATTCTAACGTACCGGATAATAAATTGGACGACGGACCAGACAATTACAATCAATGGAATAATATTGGTGAAAACACAGAAAGCAGAATCGTTACGGGTGGAAAAAATAAATACAACTCTAATCAAATATCGGTAACGTTGAAAACGTACACGGAAAAACCGATAGCTATAGCCTACACTCCAACCGATCCCAGCATGAGTTCAGATAAATACTCGATGCCCAATTATGGTAGTCCGGTTATTCCAGAAATTAGACCGGGTGTAATTGAGAACATCGAGCCAAACCTTAAAAAGAAATACCAAGCGCCGATCATTGTATCACATCATACGTACAGTAACCATAAATCAGATGCAGACGTTGATTCGTCATTACCGGACCAGCAAGACTTCCAAGCTCCATTTCAAGCCAGCGTTAACGTAGATTCAGCAGTGAACCAGGGTTGGTCAGTCGTACGGGACCGAGGTAAACCTGCCTCCTCCGACGATACAGAGACAACTACCATACCTCTCGCTACAACTAGCGAGTTTGATATGGAAAATTTCAAGCCTCAGTTAATAGGAGGCTTTCAACCCTTGTACAGTTATCCAGAGGCGGTTGAAAAGAAGCAACTCAGCATTCCAGAAAGACAAGAAAAATAATAATACATTAAAAATAAATAGACTGAAATTTAGTTGTTAATAGAAAAAGGTGGACTAAGTGTTCAAGAGACTTACATACCGGTGTTGTGCATATTTGGGGTTACATTATATTACTACGAATTTTGTTGGCTGCTCAAATATTTGGGCACTTCGAAATAGGTTGATATTTCTTTTATTTCAGAGATTTTTCTAGAATACAGGAAAAACTGTGAAGTAAACATAATTTTTTTATATAAATATTTAGGATATTAAAAAGACATAAGACTTTAGATTAAGTAGGAAATAAAAATGCAGTGCTCTAATTTATTTATTTATTTATTGTACAAGATAAATTCTAATAAAATTAAATAATAAAGCATCGCTGGATTTTATTAAGTTTATGCTACCTTAGAACTATTGTTCTATTTGCCTACCATATTTAACAGAAAAAATTTACTTTAACTAAATCACTTACTAATGTTTTAATATTGAATTATTCCATTGTACTGGGTAGTATCACTAAGAACTTTATATTATTACTCTTTATATTAATAATATAACGGATGTCTCATGAATTTCCTGCTCTAATGTAATACCTCAACATACAAAACAAGATGCTTGAACGTTTCAGAGTAGCAAACGAATGGAAATTACAGTTAAAATCAATATTACAAAGAAAAATGATATTAAATTTAAAATGAATTGATGAATATTTTTAATTTTATTCATTTTCATGACGAAATATCCCCTACTTAATCTTAATGAGAGTTAAAAAATCATCCTGGGACATTGTTCAAAAGCAGTTCTAGCTTGTGATATACCCGTTGAAGCAAATTTATTATACAGGATGTCCCAGAAACGAGTGCAGATATTTTAAGGGGTGGTAGATCTGGTCAAAATAAACATATTTTCTCTTTACCATTTTTAAAATAAATTGAAAATAACCGAGTTATTTAACTTTGAAAATTTTAAAAAATAATCGCAACATTTTGAGAACCGCCGCCAGATATCGCCAACTACATCCAATTACCCGGATCAAACCCGGATTTCAGTTAATTCGACGCACTGTGTTGCCATATGGACAAGAAAGTATATGTTTAAAAGTAAGTCATAAAATCACAACACCTGAGGAGTTTGCAGAGATGCATTACATTTTTAAGATTGTGATAATATTACATAAAATAAATTAAAAGTTAAATGTTTAAAAGTTAAAAAAGTTAAATTAAAAAACTTACCCAACGTTAAAAAAATACTTATGACAGATCGATGTAACTGTGACAGTTATCTTTTTCGATATACACTTAACTAAAATACACTTCACTGTGCTGCTTTACTTGTACATGCTATTATAATAACTGCTAAAATAACAGTCCCCATTTTTAACACATTATTTTCATCTAGGTCTCATCACAATTTGAACCACTGATTTGCAAAACACCTTGAAAAGCACACATTACTTTGAATACCTTTCTGAATGAATAAATATTGAGAATTGTTGTTTCTTACCGCCACTTTCCGAACTACTTTCAATCTAAGAAAATACATGTTTCACTCAACAATTTTAAATACGTATTTTGTTTTTTCGCTATTTTTTCGATGTATTTCGACAATACCATCGACAGCCCAACCGTCGCGTCGGCCAAGAAAGCCGCGCAATACTGGTAACTGCTCCTTTGTCGCGCCGCCGTGTGGAGCCTGCGTCATGCGAGGTTGCCGTAGTTTCAAGCATTTCAAATTCAAGACACTCGAAGCAATCAAATTCTTATTAAATTTTAAAAATAAAACAGAAAAACATGAAAGGAAACAAACAAAACACAAATGAATTGGTTATTGATAAGGTCACAAAAAAGAAATTTCTAAAATGTTTATCGTAATTCAGAATTCAATATATCGAAAACAGCCCGACGAATAATCAGTTCATTTTTGTTTTGTTTGTTTCCTTTCATGTTTCTCTGTTTTATTTTTAAAATTTAATACGAATTTGATTGCTTCGAATGTCTTGAATTTGAAATTGTTGTAACTACGGCAACGTTGCTTAACATCGTCGTCTGACGCAAGCCCGCCACGACGGCGCACAGTGCTTCGTCCCATGGACAAAAATCAAAAAATAAGTTAAAATTTACTAATATCTGAATATATAATTTTATACTTATAGCAATGTTCAACCATCCTGTATATTATTTTTCATAAACAGCGTTTTTGTTAGCAAATATTTTCACTAAAAATAAATTTTGCGATCATTATCTCATCAGTGAAAAGAATAACATTCTTAGTAGTTCTGTATATTATGGAGTTAAACGGGTACGTACTTAATTGAAAGCCACTATGGATATTGTTAAACAAGGTATGTACTTTAAATTTATTTCTAAACAAGTTCTTGATTGTTTAGTTTTTATTTATTTTTTAAGCTGATTCTTAAATAGGTATAAAAATTTTACGTTTTCAAACTTCAAAAAGGCATTTAAAAAAAACATATCAAAACATATCGTATTTATTGAATATTTTTGTTGCCATATTCATACACTTTTAATTTTTGTATAGTTCACCTGCGTCTGCTTGCGACGAACTTTATTTTATAATACTTTTCAGATGGAATAAAATTGATAAGCAATGCCGATCTGGCTAATACTTGGCTTGATCATAAGGACAAGAACTCAAAATTATTTGTATTTCAAAAAATATGTTCTTATTAGATATTGATGAACCTTCCAGTCAAATGAGACACCACTTGTGCCTGAAAAAGTCCACTATATTGGAGCGAAACGTCGCATAAAAAAAGTGTCCATCTTTCAATTTATTATAAAATCTCATACCCAAGAAAAGGAAAATATAATATATGGATATGGTCTATTAAAGAGGTAACTATTAACATCCGAACCCCTCATACCGACAAAATGAACAGTAACAACACGAAAAAGTAACATATTAGAAAATGATGTACAGAAATATCTTATATGTGAGGATACTTCATCTACCTGTGATTTGGATACTATAAATTTGGAAGATTCTGTCAGCAGTGATTCTCCTGACTCAGAGTAGTTACGATCTATGCATTTTGTTGTCCTAAAGTAAATTTATAGTATCTTAAGTTTTTTTTTTAATTAAATATAACATTAATGTTTCTTTTCATTAAAGAAAAACGTTTTTATCTTATATTAGGCTTATATTGTAGGAATCATGTTCTAATGTTATTTCAATTCTTTTTTATCACAGGAATTTATTTAATACTTACACCGTTTTCATACTATAACTTATTATTTGCTTAGATGGAACACAGCTCCAACATTATTATTATTTATAAGATTTTTTTTTCATAAACGTGGGACTAAGAACATCATCATTTAGTACAATGAGAGTACTCATCATTTGTGTCAAATAAACCTAGTTTGAATAAATTGCTTACAATAAAAGAGAAGTTTTGGATTTTTGTCCTCTAGAGCCATATGTTCGAAGCACTGTGCGGCGCGGCGACTCAAAGGACCAGTTCACACGCGGCACTCTTGGTCGACGGTTAGGCTGTCGATGGAATTGTCGAAATACATCGAAAAAATAGCGAAAAAACAAAATACGTATTTAAAATTGTTGAATGAAACATGTATTTTCTTAGATTGAAAGTAGTTCGTAAATTGGCGATAAGAGAAAATAGTTCTCAACATTTATTCATTCAGAAAGGTATTCAAAGTAATGTGCGCTTTTCAAGGTGTTTTGTAAAACAGTGGTTCAAATAAAATAGAGAAACATGAAAGAAAACAAACAAAACAAAAATGAATCGATTATTCGTTGGGCTGTTTTCTAAATTTCTTGAATTGAATTCTAAATTACGATAAACATTTTAGGAATTTCTTTTTTGTGACCTGATTGTGAATAATATGAATCATTCTATTAAATTTATTCCACGATAAAGTTATTTTGCAGCATAACAAAGATTTTCGTAAATGTCATAAACGTAATGTTTTAGTTAATTTTCGGTGGTTTTTGTTAAGTTTTCATTGAAAGGGTAAGTACTAAAAATAATTAATGTGTTTTTTTTTCTATAATTATTAATAATGAGCACTGATAAAAGATTAAATTCATTTTTTGAGTAGAAATTTGTCTATAAATTTATAAATGTAGAATTATGTTCCGCCGAACTATGTAAAATGTGGATAACATAGGAGGTTGCAACACTGCAAGGTTTAGATACACCGTAGAGAAATCTCAGGTGAATAAACAAGTGGCACTAAAAAGTTTTTTCAAATTTCCCGGAAAATGTTAAGAAAAATTTTAAATTTTCAACATTTTTTTTTCGCAAAAAAAACCTTATAGGCGTGTTTCTGTGGTTGAACTATACTACCAGTTAAAATATTTGCACTTATTTCTGGGACACCCTGTATAAATAATATAACAGATGATATATACCGATCTGGTTATCGAAACTGCGTGGTTTGGATTTTAACGTGTAAGACAGTGATGTCGACAGCTTAATGGAAAATAAAATGCATTAAAAAGAGACAATAGTTGGGTTGTAATGATTCTATGCGATATTTCCGGATTTTGCATCAAAATTTCAAACCGCATAAGTAGGCGTTTATTAGAAATGTTGCATCTACTGTTGGAACTTTATTTTTCATAATTATAGTTACTCATTTTACTACACCAGTAATAGACTATATTTAGCTTAGATATATTATCTTCATTTCAGTAGTATACATAAAAGTTTTTAAATAGTTTAATTTTTTCTACAAACATTTTCCCACAAACGCAAAAACCGGCAACACTTTATGCCGCTTTTTATTTTGTCTCTCTGTCTGTCGACCGGTCATTTATATTTATCTCTGTCGCATACATTAAAATACAGACCATGCAGATGAAGTGACCAGGGCTAGTATAATAGTATAATAGATATATAGACTGGTACTACTACTTACTTAAAGCTTTTTACAAAGTGAGAGTGTATACAAATGAAGCATTTCATTAAAACAGGCGTACTAAGACATCAGACAGAAAAAAAGAATATTTTTAACATGGTACCTTATACAATATTTTAGAAGAATACTTTAATAACAAGTTGTTTCAGAAACAATAATATTACTTACAGCTTTTTATTTTTCTATAGTTACATATTTTTAAGGGTACTATTATTGTCTAAATAGAATCTAATCATAGGCAAAAAACACATAGAAAAGTTACTTCACGATATTTTTCAATTTGGAAAATGTTTGATAAAAATGTAATTTTATTTGGCAGTTTTGAGCAAATTTGTTTTAATCAACCAAACTGATTTCCTTTATCGCAAATCAGTATAAAAATATAAATAATACTACATAACTATATATAAATAATATAATACTAATAAATTGAAGGTATATCGCAACATTAAAAATATAAAATGCATTCATAATAAATTGTAAACAAAGAGTCTCAATGACCGAGAGATAAAGTGTAACCGTACAAGAGCTTAATTTTAACAATTGTATAAAAGTTAATACTTCTTAAATATATGTAAATCAAGTTTTACAGTTATTTCGCCAGATTCTACTTGATGCAAAAGTAGTTTTTTAGTAATTGGTCCGTTAGTGTTTTGGGATTCTTCGTAGATGTCTTTAAGTTTTAATTCAGCTTTACCTAAAAATACTAAAAAAATCTCTTTAATATTTTTGGTTATTTTATGAAAATATTAAAATAATGTCATATAGCCAAAATGCAATAATAACGTCGTCCAAAGGTAAAATATATATATATATATATATATATATATATATATATATATATATATATATATATATATATATATATATATATATATATATATATATATATATATATATATATATATATATATATAATACTACAATTCAAATAGATGATCTTCAAGAAGATGTCCTATGGACCTCCTTGGATCTGCCACAACTTGCTTTTATTAAAACATTATTTATCTACCAAGAAATATATGTGACAGGAAAGGATAAAAACTTTATTATAATTTTTATAAAAGACCTAGATAAAAAATAGTAAAGTCTTGCAGCAAAGCAAGCCATGCTGATAAGGAATGATCCTAAAACACTACTATCCGTAGTTGACTGGGTTTCTGCCTTTATTGGGTTCATACTTCGAGTACCTAATAGTCATTAGCCTGAACATTAACCCTAAGAACTTATGGAAATGACATCAGAGCCGCGTTAAGGTGATTTGGTAGTTATTTTTAACTCTATGTTTGGTACCCTAGGCACCATTTATTTTGCCGCCCCCTTAAACTAATAAAAATTCAAGTAAAATTTGTTATTTAAAAAAATGCCGCCCCCTATCAGCCTGCCGCCCTAAGCAGCTGCCTACCTTGCCCAGTGGATAAAGCGGCACTGAATGACATTCATGTTTCTACTTGTCTTCAGAATATTATAGTATACGCTTGCGCTCATATTAAAAATATGTTTTGAACATACCTTTACAAATAATTTTAGAATTTAGAAAACTAGAGAGATTAATTTTCACAATGAAAACATTCACTTGTTTGTGAATTGAGATTAATAATTTCTAGAACAAAAAACAACAGAAAATTATAGATAAATTATTAAAATTTATGGACTTGACGGTTTACCAAACCAATTCAACATGTCAAATATTATTTCAAAATTCTTATTTAATTTTGTATTATCCCAAAGAATAAAAAGACTAAGATCAATGTCAAGATTGATGAGTTGGAAGCATGAACGCTAATGTTCGTTAACTTTGATTCATATTCTGAAGATTAAGACTAATGTTGGATTAAGATCGAAAACACGAACCAGCTATAACATCTTTTTATGATTTCTTAAACGAATGTATGTGGTAAAACCCCTTCGTATATTTATTTGCACTTATAGCATTTTCTATAATAAATATAGAGACATCAATAAAAGTTGGCACACAAAGTTGTAAAAATTTATATTGTTGCTTTGCTTAAGTTTTTATGTTATAAAAATAATAGACAAAGTTATAATGTAGATATAAAAAAAATATTTGTACCGATTATCAAACAGGGAGATCAAAAAATATGTATATATATTTCCATTTGTTACAAAATTGCTCAAATCATTATTTTAAATTAAAGTCTATGTACATATATTATTTAAAAAATCCAAACATAAATAAAACTGCTTTTCAACATCGCCGTGAATCTTCCTATATAGTGTAACTAAAGTGAAAAAACGGTGACAAAATTACGAATTTTATTTGACGCTTCTCAAAAGTCAAAGTAAAAAAGTAGCCGTGGTAACATTATGACGATTGGCGTCTATCCGTACCGTGCAACTCTTCAACCTCAACCCACAGTTCCGGCGCATGCGTATTGAAACGGCAGAAGAAAGTGATGCCAGAGTACCTAAACCGCCGAGTAGCGACAGTCCCGTTTTCAATGTTCTTTGCGGCTGCGCGAAATAAGTAGGTTATCTGTCATACGAAGAAGCGAAGTTGCCACTGTTGCCATTTATCAAATATCTCTATATACTTTATTTCAAGTATACCTCAGGCAACGAATCGTTTTTTTAATTATTTATTAGCAGTAAGATATTTTATACATTCAAATTTAGAAATAAGGAAAAAACAAAACAAAAAAGATATGTATAAAACTTTATAATTAATTCCACTTCAAATTGTGAGCAGTGTATACCATGTTTATAGGACCACTTCATAAGTTGAGCAGTTAAATACGTAGTCTATCTGTCAAACACGTCAAAAGAGAGAGAAAGAAAATTTGGTCCCACCACATCAAAAGGGCCGACGTTTTCTGTCGCTACTCGGCGATCTACGTACTCTGGTAATGCTTCAATATAGTCTGGTTTCGAAAGCAGTGTGTAGCCCCGTGGTTGAGGTGGACGGTGGATCAATTCCCGGCAGAGGTAGAACATTTCATTTCAAACAGGTTTTTTATTTTTTTGCAGCTGTTTTTATTTTCTTATTTATTTAGAGCTGTCGGTAAGAGCGATTAAAATACGCCGGCGCCGTAGGTGTATTTTGGTTGCGTTGGTTAGGCGTATTTTGATTGCGTGGGTTAGTCTCGGGTGTAAGTTTTTTTTGTGTTTTTATTTTTTTATTTATTTAGAGCTGTCGGTAAGAGCGATCAAAATACGCCGTAGGTGTATTTTGGTTGCGTTGGTTAGGCGTATTTTGAGTGCGTGGGTTAGTCTCTGGTGTAAGTTTGGTGTTGGAGTTGAAGAATTGCAAGGTACGGCTAGAGGCAAGTCATTATGACGTACACTCGTCAAATATTTTGATGACATGCACGCCATCTTTTACTGACTTTCCAATATCAACTTACCATCAAGACTATAAAGATTCTGTTCTAAAACTGTAAAGGTGAGAATTTCTTCATTTATGTTGCGCAGTTGAAACTGCATACTACAATCCCATATAAAACAAGGACTTTGTGGAGCTCCATTTTGAGAAATGTTGCCGTTATTAAAGCTGTCCTTCGCAAAGTTTGTCTCTTGTTCTTGGTTTCCTAATGTCACTTTGCAATACACGCTTTCAGTGTGGGATTTACCTAATTTATTACAACAGAAACATGAGTATCTAGTTAAAAAATAATTATTGATAAATTAACATTAATATAATAACATTAAAAATTATATATAAAAATAAAACTTATAACAATTAAATAATTTTGCCTTGCCTAATAATTAATTTCTAATAAGATTCAGGTTGCAAAAAACTACAATACTTAAGTAAGAAATAGAAAGAAATACAATAAGAAAAAGAAAAAAACTTCGTAGTTAAACTATAGATAGTTATTCACAAAGCCGTATTCTATTTTCGCGCTCACATTCAAAGACTGTACAGCAGTATTAGTGAAATAAAAATTTTAATTTTAGAGCAAATGGACTAAAAAAGAAAAAGAACATGTTGCAGAATGGGGTACTATTAATAAAACCAAAACTAGGTATAACTTTAATATATGTTATTCGTTCAAAAACAAAAAAGGAAAATATATTTTACTTGTCATATTAATTTCTCCTAATTATCAAATTAGTATTTTTATTCGCTTAATAACTCACTGTAAAATATAAAACTCTGAAATGATCAAAAAATGTGTAGGGGAGAGCCACCAACAGTGGCCATGGCTGCTACAGTGGCCACCACTGAATATTCTTTTGCAAAACGTACACTGGCCAGCGCCCTCTCTTATATACGAACTTAAGTATATTACAAGCACGTGGCGCGCGGAATGCTTTCAGTTAAATGGCTGGCTTCGTTGTAACAAGTGCGACATTGAAATTCGGTGCGAAAAGTTTTTTTATTAGCGTGACTTTTCGTGTTAATCATTGAGCTGGTAAGTGTTTCAGTTACTTTATTGCATGCTTCTTAAGGATTTAGTATTGCAGTACGAAGTTTAGTGGTCAAAGGCTAAAGAATCTGCAATGTTTTTCTGTTAGGTTAGGTTTTATTTTTTATGTTCCCTTTCTTACAGTGGCCATCTTAACGGAAGGTACAGTGGCCACTACTCTAATATATTATAAAGGGGTGGCCACTGTTCCTTATATTATATTTGAATTTTGAATAAAAGAAATATATTTAAAACTATATTTTATGTTTTTAATACAGCCCGAGTTCCATTATTATTCTAAATTAGGATTATTCTATTTTAGTAAATATGCCACGACAACCCAAAAAGAAAGTGGGGATTGGAAAGACTGAGGGGGAAACAATGAGGGCAGCCTTAAATGACATTAAAAATAATGGACTGTCAGTGAAAGCTGCAGCCTTACGTTACAAAATACCAAGAACCACATTAAGAAGGTATGTCAACAAATTCGAAAATGTCGAACCAGAAAATTATCAAGCTGGTTTAACACCTAACTATACTGTTAACAGAATATTCACGTTAGAAGAAGAATTCCAGCTATGTAAATATTTACAGATTTGTGCTAAATTACACCACGGACTAACTCCAAGAAATGTTAAAAAATTAGCTTTTGAGTTAGCTATTGCTAATCGTAAACGGATTCCAAGGTCCTGGATGGAAAACAAAATGGCCGGAAAGCATTTTGTAGCAAGGCTGACACAGTTTTTAAGAAGAAACCCACTATCAATTCGATCGGCTGAGGCTACATCATTAGGACGTGCAATGGGGTTCAACAAAGCGGTTGTACAGAAATGTTTCAACAATTTAAAAGAATTTTATTTATATATATATACCCTACCTTTAACCTTCTTAGCTCCATCTACGGTAACGTGGATGAAGCAAGCAAATTTAAAAGAAGTTCTCGAAAAATGTAAATTCCGGTTAGATAAAATTTATAACATCGACGAGACTGCCCTAACAACTGTTCAAGAAACTGGAAAAGTTATAGCTACGAAAGGATAAAAACAAGTAGGACAAATAACTTCAGCCGAGTGAAGAACGCTAATTACGATGTGCGGAGCAATCAATGCGAATGGAAATAATATTCCACCTCTTCTCATTTTTCCTAGGAAATACCTTAAGAGTCCATTTCACTAGTCCGAAAAAGTAGCAAAATAAGCGTTCGGCATTTAACGTTTTATGTAAAACTGGCTAGGTATTTTTACACAAGCGAAGAAGAAAATTAAAGATAAAGGATTATACTAAATCCGTCGTGTGGCACATTTTTAGATAACTTGTTCATTTTTAAGATTTTGATGGTCAAACATCAACAAAATAAACCTTATGTTTGGACTAAATTTTCTCGAAAATAAAAATATAATTTAAAATTCTGTTACAGGAGGGATATAGATTGAAGTTTTGTGATTACAGTGATATATAATTTATATGGTTTTGTAACAAATTGCTCGCTATTTTATGGCAAATGCTGAAGCTCTGCAAGCCCTAATCTAAGGAATTTAAAAATTATATTTTTTCGCTGAAAGCACGTGCGTTTGGAATTATGGGTGTGGCTTAACACGACAGGATCGGGCTAAGGTTTAGGCAGATTTCTGAAATCTAATACATATAAAAAATTGTCTTGTCACAGTTTTAGATACCGTACTCCTCCATAACGGCTTAACCGATTTTGATGAAATTTTATATGTATATTCAGTAGGTCTGAGAATAGGTTTTATCTATTTTTTATACCCTAAGTGACAAGGGGGCCCACCCCATTTTTAAAATTTTTGGACAAAATTTTTTAATTTTTGTTTTTTACGATGTGGCATTAAAAATACATACAAGACTAAATTTTCACTTTCAAATAGGTTTTTTTTTTAATTTTTGTTACGTACTTCTCCGTAACGGCTTGACCGATTTTGATGAAATTTTATATGTATATTCAGTAGGTCTGAAAATAGGTTGTTATCTATTTTTTATACCCTTAAGTGACAAGGGGGCCTACCCCATTTTTTTATTTTTGGGTAAAATATTTAATTTTGTTTTTTTTTACGATGTGGCATTAAAAATACATTTAACACTAAATTTTCACGTTCAAATAGGGGTTGTTTTTTTAATTTTTGTTACCATACTTCTCCCGACTTCTCCGTAACGGCTTGACCGATTTTGATGAAATTTAATATGTATATGCAGTAGGTCTGAGAATTGGTTGTTATCTATTTTTTATACCCTTAAGTGACAAGGGGGCCCACCCCAATTTTTTTTATTTTTTTGGACAAAATTTTTAATTTTTGTTTTTTTACGATGTGGCAATAAAAAATACATACAACACTAAATTTTCACTTTCAAATAGGGGTTGTTTTTTTGTTACCATACTTCTCCCGACTTCACCGTAACGGCTTGACCGATTTTGATTAAATTTTATACGTCTATTCAATAGGTCTGAGAATAGGTTGTTATCTACCATTTTTGAGATTTTGATGGTCAAACAAAGTTGTATTTATTATACTTAAAAAATATTGATTGAAATAAATTTAATAGTTAATTTAATTATAAGCGATACTTTCTTATAATTTAAAAATAAATTTTAATTTAAGTTCAGTGTTTAATATTTTTTTCTTCAAAATTAATCGGTACCCCACATCGTTCAACACGTCATTTAAAAATATGAGGTTTATAAGACATGTCTATATTGGAAAGAGTATTATAAGTTAAAATTCCGTTACAATACAGACATAAATTAAGGTTTTCTGATTACAGTTATATTTAATTTATTTTTTTAATAAATATTTTTATGCTGAATTGTGAAGCTCTGCAATTTGTTGTCTGTGGTCATATCGTCAGTTTCGCGTAAATTATATGTTACTTGTTCTATTTAAGCAAACTGATGGCATATTTAGTTTTTTCGGTATTTTTTTACTTTATTCGATAGAAAATGACATTGAATAGAATGACATATCATATGTCAACTTTTGACATTTTCGCATATGTTTTATTTGAAATTAATAAGGAAATTATAACATGCGGTTCATAACGATAATTTGACTCGAAATACCAAGTGTGAGGTATCAAATTATTCGTAAAAAAATGCTTTTCCCAAATATGCTAATTAGCCACCCTCGTTCTATTTGAAAAAATTGAGATATGATTAAAAATACGATTTGAGCATTTTCTAACTGGCCAGGACAAGGCACTAAAAACATTAGACGATCAAATCTATTTTTCCAAGGCTACTTGATTGAAATTTAAAATTCAATTTCGTTTTAAGCGAAAATTTCAAAAGTTGACATATGATATATGATATGTCATTATATTCAGAATGTCATTTTCTATCGAATAAAGTAAACAAATACCGGGGGTGCCATTTAAGAATCAAAAGTTGTAGTCATTTCCGGTGAAACAAGAAGTGACCAAAAACAATTGAATACGTCAATCAATCCTAATTTATGTCATATACTAACATACCAAATCTCGTTTTTTTATCTGAAAAAATAAGAAAGTTATAGGGGTGAGCCACTTTTGAGACGCACCCGGTGTAGAAATTAAAATAGACAAAAATTTCTTTGAAAGTCAAATGTTGCCAAAGCTGGAGAATTTTTATTTTAATTGTCTTTATCGGAAATGAATAAAAATTCTTTTTTTTGAAACCTTTGAGCACACTTTCCTGATTAAATAAACGAATTGGCAGATTAAAAAAGCTTTATGTTGGTAGTCATGGCAAATATTACCGATTGCATTGAGATTTTTCTTTAAAAATCGGATATTTTATCACTTTCGACTGTAATATTTTTTTTCTATTTGACATATGACATTTTAAATTTTGCTCTGAGTTTTTAAAAAAAAATTAAATTAAATCTGCGTTTTGTGTACGTAAAACTGCGATTTTCATTGCAATAAAATATGAAAACCACTAAATAGTAGGAATCAGCGACTTGTCTCATTATACTAATCAATTAATTTGAACAGGTAAAAGGATTACAGGGAGCCCCTTTTGTCATTAAACCACGCTAGATCGAAAACATTGTTGCCTAAGTATTGTCGCTTTTATTGAAATACATAATATACCGTATGATCGAAAAAAAAACGGCGTCCAGTTGACTGGGAAATGACGATCAACAATATTTCCCATGCATATATAAATTTACATATAATAAAACAATAATTAATAATAACCGTCTATCAAAGAATATAATCGAAATTATATTACCATAGAAACGCCCCTTGATTTTTAAGACTGAAAAAATTCAACAATATACAAACGGTATGGAAATTTGGAAAAGTATAAACGGGATTAACCATTTTAGAACAAGCAAAATTTTTTATGAAGAATACATTTTTCTCAAAATGTCAATAATAAAAGTTTTTCCACTTGTTTTCCACAATCCGGGGACATTCTGTAGAATTATATAGAATTATTTATGTAATGGAATTATATTATTATTATTATTATTATTTTTTATATTTACGGTAAATAATAATAATTAAAATTATTCTGGTTTATGACAAATTATTCAGCTCTATTGGCAAAAAAAAATACTGGCTATGGAATTTTAGCGATCATATCAATTTTATTATCAATGAATTTATTAAAAAATCTTATTAAAATAGGTTACAACATAAGATACCTGTTTGTCTAGATGTTAATTTGTGATGTTTGCCCTTTTTTCCTATTTTATCACATATCAAAAATATTATAATATCAAAACCGTTCTATTTATCTAGTTTTCTTTTTGTTAATATAATATATTAATAATTGTTAATATAATATATATACAATTATTAATTAATATATTAAGCATACATCATTTTGCCTTTTTCCGCAGCATTTATGATTATGATAGTTTTTAGGTTTCGTTATAATAGGATTTAAAAAGCCTATCATTTTTGTTTATAGTTTTTCTGCAAATTAAAGAGTCGATAACTAAATAATTTATAACGTACTGAATTAACTAAATTTCAAACTGCAGGTACAATAACAATAATCAGAAATAGGCCTACGGAACATCGCGTCCGCCGTGTCGCCATATAAAATCAAAGTCTCGGGCGGCGAGGCCCGAGTGGTCTCGCGCGCGGCCTATTCGTAAACTTAATTTAGGATAACAAGAAAAGTATTAGCATTAGAAAATTGTACCAAGTTTCAAAAACTTTTTCAATATTTTTACTTTATTTCATACGCAGATACTATGTAAAAATTCCTTCAAATAAAAAAGTTTCTCGCTTACCGAAAATCATGATACAATAAAGTTAATGTTTGAAGTTTAATCCATTTTCCAAAAAAAATACACTCACTATGGAATTTTAATTACCTCAGCTATCACCGCCTATGTGTTCTCAATCGATTAAAAAAAAGAGTTTGTGAATAAGTTGATTAGTTTAGGAGTTATCGCGTAGGAAAGATAAAAAAACATGGTTATACATTTTTGACATTTTGCTAGTTAAAAAATTTCTGACACCCCCAAAAAGGTCGTAATTAGTTATTTCACATGCACAAAGGCCTAACTGATAATCCTGTATAATATCATGTAGTTATACCTCCAAAAAAAATTTTGACACATTTTGATATCGTTTTTACTCCACTGAAATAATATGGGAAATATTCAGATGTGATTTACACTGAATGCGTCCGACCAAAAATCAGGCGGTGGGGGATCGTGAACGGACCGCCTTCCACAGCACACCCGCTCTACCCGACCCCTGAGACCGACCCGAGCGGTGTAGCGCAAATGGACTCTTAAGGACCATATGCTTAAAGGAGCGCCTAACGGGACTATTGGAGCAGCAACGCCTTCGGGCGGGATGACGACGTTTGCCTGGATTATTCGTCAACCACGACTGACATGCACTATTGGAATAAGACTTTAGCGGTCCATAAACAGTTCGGTCCAATGGCTGTAGCTGGTGGCTGGTTTGTGGCGGCAATGTTAATAAACACACATTGTTTTCTCGGGCTAGTTTTATAGCTTCTATTGAAACATGGCTAATGTGATTATCCATTAATAATAGCACTGGAAACTCTTGGGTTGGATGGCTATATAATATGAAATGCTTCAGCCATTGGACGAATATTTCATTCAATAAAACAACGGGTGGCCAGTGTTGGTGGCTCTCCCCTATTTTTATAAAAGAAATTAGATATACTTTGTAGTGTATTATTATTATATTGTTAGTATTATCTAACAATCAATTAATAAAATTAAAGCTTGCTTTACCTTTTTTGCGCTTATAGCTACAGGTTTGAGGGGTACATTTGACTTGAATTTCTTTAGCTTCTTGTATTGTTATTGTTAAACACTTGTTCATGACATAAACTAAAAACATGCAATAAAAATTAAGTATAGCTTACCGGATAGCATTAACCTTTTCCCTTTCTGGACTAGCACAAGCAGACGACCACACAATGGCCCAAGATGAAGCTCTGAACATAACAAAGACAACATAAACAAGACGAATGACCTTTTTATATATTTTTATACAATTTTAAGTTTTTTACTATAAATGTAATATAGACTTTTCAACAAATTGTGGAAAAAGAGAAGAAAATAACAAATATTAATTATATAGTATAAAATTAAGGCATTCTATATAAAACCTAGGTATTCTATAAAATTACTAACGATTTCAGGCAATGTATGACATTTAAATGTGTTGATACTTTACCTAGACATTTTATGAAATACTTGGGCATTTCATAGAATATCTATCTCTAAATGGAAAAAGAATTGCAGTTTTGTGAGAACAAAAACATATGCAAAAAGTTTATGGCTTACGAGATATTTCGAAAAAAAATTGGCGCCGGGAGGCACGTATAGCCGCCCATACTAAAATATGTTAATATCTCGAAAACTGCGACTTTCACTGATTTTGATGTTATTACAAATTTTGTTGCAAATATTATTCCTAATCTTAATTTGAAAACCGCGTTTCGCTAGCTACTGTAATTTTGGAGTTACGATTTTTTAAATTTTTAACCCCCTCCTATACCCCCTTACGAACCCTCCAGCCCCACCAAAAACTAATGGCCAGATTCTCGGGTGCCACAGTATTTTTGTGCCAAATTTGGTTAAAATCGGTTCAGCGGTTTTTGAGTTATCGTGTTACAGACGGACAGACAGACAGACAGAGACCATGAAAATATTTTGTATTTAGGTCATTAAAAAAACTTTTTTTTTGCCGATCCTAATAGCCTACCATACCTATTGGTATGGTCGGCTAAAAAACAAATTTCGGCTATTTTAAAAATGCTCCCTAATTCCATTATAATCTGTTTTAGACAAAAAGTTTTTAGATAAAAGTTGTAGATAATCACATCCTTAATGAGACTGTGATCTCCGTTTTTTATAAAGCCTGCCATTTTTGACATATGACACTAACATATATTTTTTTTTATATGGAAACCATATTTGGCCATGACTTCATTAAAAGTGTTCGGCTTCTTCCGTTCATCTTCAGCGCCCACCTTGAAATTTTGCCGTTATTTTAATTATACTAATGAGTTTTGATTGCTTTGGTTTTGACACTTTTTTTCGTTATTTTTTGTATTTTTTAAAAATACGATTTTCCCTTGATGGGTGCGTAAGCATCAAAGAGGAATTGTGACGGAGTACGTGAATTACTACGCGTAATATAGTTATTAACAATGCCAATTATCAAAATTGGTATTCTATAAAATGCCTAGATGTATATTATACAGGGTGTTTTAAAAAACATGTACCATCTCTCGTCGATTGTTCGCGTAAAAATAAGATTTGTTTTTCATATCAACATATATCCGATTCTGCTTTGTTTCGAATACAATTTTCAAACACACTGTATAATTTATTTAATACAATACCTGATAATTTTAGGAATTTTATATACTACCTAGGAATTCTATACAATGTCGGATTCCAAACTTTGCCGGTAACATATATATTGGATATTTAATATAATATAATAACTATATTTTATATTGGATATTTAATATAATATAAATAAACTTATATTTATCTGATACTTACGGGTTTTTCTTTTATTTTGTTTATTTAAATTATCAATTTTCTGAAATGTCTCTTTAGCAGCTTCAATTTTCTTGGTCCATGTACTACATTCATGTACTGTAGATGCCAAAAGAAATATTTTATAACCCGTCTTCTCGTCATGAATTTTAACCACTCTATTTGAGTCGGTGCCGTATTCAACACTGTCCGTACTTTCTCTACTTACAGATAGAAACTGAATAAGTATAGGCTGCAAAACATTAAAATAAATATACTACTAATAAGTATACATATATTGACTTTTTTGTATAGCATAACAAGAGTGTTGAGTCGCTCAGAAAAAAACACTATTAGTGCCATCATATAATGTGTTTGTCATCAAATAGGTTTATTAAAATAAAAAAATTAAATAAAATAAATAAACATGACATAAGTATTAATTAAAATCAAACTAAAAATAATCATATTTATAGAGAAATTTTGAAGATTTTTAGTTTCTCACCTCATTAAGTAATTGACTACATTTATTTCGAGTATTTCAAGCAAACTCCACTTAAAGTATCCAGGTTTTAATCTCGATCCTAAACTAACCGACATTTGATCCATATTATATTCGATATACACCAGCGGATAACTTAACCAATTTGATATGATTTGATATGTCAAATTATATTTAGCTCTGGTTTGCGACGCGTATCAAGTCTTCGTAAAAAAGTAACGCAAACTTAGTACTCAGCATATGACCTAGTTCATCTCTACGAGAAATCCATTTTTTCACCCACTTGCTTCGTTTTTTTACTTTTTGTTTATTGGAGTAAATACATACGCCATGGCACAAGCTAGAGCTACGATTGTTATTCATTTTTACAACTCACTGAGTACAAATATGCTGAGTAAATCTAAGACCACTGGTTAAATCTTTCAGGAATTCCAAAAGATCGCGAGCCAGATCAAGTCTGTTATAAAACGTCGAATTTTGTCCCATTAACAACACGATTTAATCAGGCAAATCTAATCGGGCTATAAAGTCGGGGAGCCAAATTCGAGGTCAAAAATGACGAGGGGTTTGGTATGTGCCGAGCCTAGTTCGCCGACACAATTCGGACGGATCAAATCGGTCCAACTTATATGTTAATGTATGGGGGGCTATTGGTTGAGTTTAAAGACTTCGATTAGTTAGAAACGGTTAACCAATCGAAGCCTTTAAATTCAACCAATAAAATTAATATCGTATTATCGGACAACGGATGCATGAAAATCAAGCTTAGTCTGTCGATTAGATTTTTGCCCTATTAAATCTCCGCGGACTTTATTCTTAGATCGTTTTTTAGACAAATCTAATCTGACATATCAAGCCTGCGGATTTGGCCCGTGGCAGGCTTCGTCCGGCACATAAATACAAAGTTTTTATCTGCAGATTTGGCTCGTCGCATATCAAATCGGTCAACTTATTATGTTGATGCACGGAAGCCTATTAGCCCCCCATACATAAAATTAATATCGTATCGTCGGATAACGGATGCATGAAAATCAAGGTTTTAGTTGGCAGGCTAGAATGGGTTCTCCAAGATAAGAAAGTTTTGGTACGTGACAAGCCAAGTCTGCCGTCTAAATCCGCAGACCAAATACGCTGGTGAATGGGGGGTATCTCAGAAAAAAGTGGGATTGACTTGAAGGTTCAAGCGTGCTTTAAAAATCGTTGATGTTCATATCGGTATTTGAAGCCAGCTTATCTATTCGAGCGTGTTTGAAACACTCAAAATAAAAGTGGTCATTGTAATCAGGTAGTAATTCCTAGTTTGAAGTTTGACTTCATATATTCAAAATGTCAACGGTTTATAATTGTATCGTATCTGCTTTAAAAACAGTGTTCTTGACGAGGTGCATTTAGATATTTTAAAGAGTTTTTTATTTGTTCCGTTTCTGTCTTTGAGTGCAGAGTTTCGTGTGTACGAAGAGTATAGTCAATACGCTCAGTACAATAAAGCCTGGGTGACACGGTCAAAGTGTACCTTGATCAAATACACATGGACGCTGCGCGCGCCTCGCTTGAACGCTGTTTGTATCGTACCAACTGATTTAAAATCGATTGATATGATCCAATATGTGTCCAAGTGAGACGTGCGCAGCGTACAAGTCATGTACAAGTGTATTTGACCGTGTCAAGTTCACACTGTCAACTAGCCCTAAGATACACTGAATAAAACAGACGAGCAAGTATTTTAGAAAGTGCATGAAATCTAGCGTCGGATTAATTGGTTATGTAATAAATTGTAACCAGTGATTTTTCCGAAACGAAGGAAAATGACAACATGGCGACGGACGACCGGCGCAGCGGGCGATGGTGGGATAGCGGTCAGCTGGCGGGCGGGAGAAGCTATCGATCGGCGTCGGCTGGTGACGAATGTTTTGGCGGACTGGTGTTATTTTTATTAATTTAAGGCGTTTAAATTGTTTTTAATTAGTTATAAATAAAGGCGTGTTTACAAAATACTTCGCATTGTTCTCTCTCCGACTTACAAGATCGCCATAGAGAATCACTCCTAGACATGTAAATACGGACCAAAGACTTCTATTGCCGATATGGTATATTACTAATAATACTATACAATATTGTACTTACTTGTTTATACATTTTGTATATAATGTTATAATTTCTTTGGAATGTAAACTGGCTGCTAATACTTTTACTAGGTTGTACCAACATAAACAAGTCATTAAAAAGAAATCCTAATAAATCTCTGCCCGATTTGACTTTTGTAAATGTTCCAAAATGCAGTAACTGTCTAGGGCCTAACTTATTCGTATAACTATCGAATTTCAAATTTAATTCGTTTTGGACGTATTGTTGCAACCATGCCATACGCTCCTGATTTTCCTTAAGTCTGACATTTTCGTTAACAGAATTGAGAAATTTCTCCGATATTCTCAATGCTTCTTCTAACAACTTATAGTCTACAAAAAAATATATTAAAAGAGGGAAAATTCAAACATTATTTTTACCTGGGTGATTTACATCGGTATTTTCTAAAATTTTATTGATAAGTAGAGGATACTTAGTTATTCTTTGCATAGGTTTCAATAAAAACGAAGACAATGGCATTCCTTTAGTTTTATAATTGCTTTGGCATTTTTTGGAAAATTCTTTAAATGCTGTTGACGACTCTGTAAGTTGTTGCAGCAAAGTGGCACTATCTAATTGTTTTCCACAAAATGTTATATAGGCGGTCATTCTCGGTAACTGAAATATTATTCTCTTCATTTTAAAACTAATAATAATATAAGCACAACTCACGTGTCTACATATAACATCACCTACTGTATTACTTCGACTATACTGAACTTTAGTTAAATCATCCAAAAAGTTTTGATTGCACTGTAGTATATCCCGCCAGTTAACAAATATTCCATCAATTTCCTTTATAGAAACCACTTTGCTTTTTCTTAACGGGATCTCGAAAACTTCATGAACAATTGACATATCTTGTATATAAGCAGTTTCAGTTTTTATTAATTCGTTTATAGCTTCTAGTCGGTTCTTTTCTTCGTAAGATGCTGCATATTTATAAACTTGCCATTATTATTAAATATTTTCATGGACAATATATCTCCAAGTTATAATAAGTACTGAACAGAGCAAAACAACTTTTACGTTATAAGAATACCAGTTGATGAAATGAAAATTTAATAATTGATCAACTCTAAATAACTAAGAGCGTCCGCACACGAGTCGTCTGGCTTTCGAAGCGGAAGCGTCTCGAACTCAGAGCGACTCTCCCTCCACTCTACCTTTGTAGGTAAATAATAGTATCAATCACTTGGGACTCCGCTTCGGCCGCTACACGACCCGTTCGTGGACCTACTATTATTTACGTAGGAAGTAGAGTGGAGGGAGATTTGTTCCAAGATCGAGACGTTTCCGCTTCGAGTTCGAGACAACCCGTGTGCACACGCTCTTATTTGTCGCTACCAAAACTATTCGATCATATAAAGCAAATAGGAAAGACGCATTCATATTGCTACAATTTGTGCTTAGGTATTCTATAAGCCCATATCTTAGACTTTCAATTCTATGTTTTGCTTCTTTGCAACCTGTCATGAACCTAAAAATGTTGAGACATATCATCAAAAATTTGTCCGATATGTCGAAATTTTGTCCGATGCAGTTCAAAATGAAAGAGTCAGTTAGTTCTTGGCAATATTAGGTACAAAGCACAGTGACCATTTGTGCTTGCAGAATCCCTCTTTCCATATTGTTCTATACCTGTTAAGCTCTAACGCAAAACAACAAGAAAAACAAACGAAAAATACAATTCACCCCTTAGCCGCCTAACTGCATCTTAAAGGTAAAGAGCGTCCGCGAGCTGACGTCACAACTCAAAACGCCCCGATTTGGGTCACGTGGCTATGTGGGTGTGTTCGCATTTTTAAAACAGTCAATTATCTAGTATATTTTTAGAAATTTTGGAAAAATATTTTTGCTGCTGACTTTCAAATACTGAATAGAAAAAATTGTTGCTTTTAGGAGTACACTTGCTTAGTGTCAATTTTTAGTAAATGGCGTCTACAAATTGACCAAATTGGCCAAAATGTCTATCGATTGTCATTCCCGAGCAGTCTTTTTTATCACACTGTATTTGTCAAAATTACAGATTTTTATTAAATATTATTTTGTTTATATGATTGAAAGTATTTCTCCGAAGGAATACTCTCTAAATAATGTTTATTCCTATTTAAAATATTATAATAACCACCTCATAATATACATCGTTAGATATTTTAAACTAATGGCCAAAATAAAATAAGTAAACAACTTTTTTGCATAACATATTTATTGCCTATCTAGATTTTGGGCCTATTAGAGCTTCTTTTGATACTAGAATTGATGTAATGGATATTTACTACAATAAATAACAAAAAACTTAATAAAAGTTAGTTAAAAACAAAGTAAAATTTTTCATATTAAAATATTTAGTGTTTAGTAGGGTGGTATATACATCATATAGTATAACAAAAAAAGTAAAATAATTATCTTAAGTATTCATTACCAAAATTAGTCTTACCATTCTACACCCACCCTACCAAACTTACACTGGAAGAGAATTAACTGGTAAAAAATATACAATAAATTACTTCATAAAAAGACCTCATATTAAAGAAAATCACAAGCTTAAAAAATTACAAATAATTTGAGTACTAAAAAGCAAAAGCAGATCACAATAGTATATATTTAAATATTTAAATTGAGATTAAGTTTATTCGTGAATAATTTTTTTGTTCTAAAGTGCGCTAAGGCTAGTAGAAATAAACTAACAGTGAAACAAGCTTAAACTCTGGATACATTTTTAGATAACAGAATTACGCAGTAGTGCATTTTAACAACTAGTCACATTATAAATGTTATACAAGATAAAAATTCTACTAGCCTACCCAATAACTTTTTTCAATTAATAACAATATCAATTTTGGATTAGAATAGGTAGATTCCCAATATAATTTCAATTAGAATAAAGGTTATTCTAATTGGATCAACACATACATCCAGATTATACATAACATACACTAAATATATTTTTTATAATTCTAGGTCCTTATCTACTCAGCGTTGTATGGTAGGATGGGTGCACACTCCTATAAAATAAAACGAAAAAATGTCAAAGAAGGAACATGTTGTGGAATATTAAAAGACTACTAGATTATATTACATTTTTCAAAGAGACGCTGTTTAAAAATGTTTATTTTTTATTTTTTATACGACTTTTTTAAGTAACTTTTTTACCTATTTTGGAAAAATAAACCATTTTAGTCTTGGGAGAATTAAAACGCGCTATATACGAAATAACAGACTTCAATTTTCGCTAGTTTATTTGTAGTTAGCTGATGTTAAGAGATTTAGAAGAATAAATTCAAATTCTGAGAAACTAGAAGTAAACATTTTATGCGTCCAAATACCTTTAACACGCTGTATGATTGCAATCACCCGCGTGTTGTGAGAACATAAATTAATTTGTCTTATTGTATTATGACACCATGCCCGTAGTTGATATAATAAAGATTGTTTAAACCACTAAGCCTACCATGACAGTATTACAGCTCTAAGATAAGTACTAACTTATTTGATTGGAAGATTATTTTGATATAAAAAACATTTTAAAGACCTAAATATTCGGAGATTATTAGACAATATTTGCTTTTACTTTAAAGATTCATTAAAGAATTTTCCAACTTTTACGTCAAAATTAGACGCTGCGAATAGCACGGCAACTAAGCTTGGGCTATTAATATATTTATAATAGTTAATTAATAATTTATTACGATCGAAACGTTTCAAATAATTGAGAAAAGCACAAAATTTTATCAGCCGGACATCAAGTACCTTCACCTGCTTGTGTGCGAATTTTCTGTTTAAAGCTATAGTCAGGCCAAGGAGACCACCCATCCGTCTACCGGTTTCGGAGTTATACTCCATCATCAGGATGACTTTGCTAGTCTTCCTCGACCTGGAAAATTCCAAACAGAAAATGCACGCTAAGTATGTTATAGGCTTGGAGCATTTCAGTTGAGTTTAAAAATTCCGACCGCAACGCTCGAGACGGCAGAAATCAGAGATTTTCGGCTTTGTATTTCACGCAGTTCCGATGTTGATCGCATTTAAATTTTATTAGAATCGTGACTTTGTTATAATATTTAAGTATTTTAGTTTTTAATAGTGCAGTTATTGAAACCATAAAACACTCAGGTACGAGGTTTGTTAGTAAGTAAAAAGAACCCGAACCGAGCGTCACATTGTATTGTGACAATTTCAAATTTTAATAAAATTGTCGAAATATTAACACGTAAAAGCGGTATTCCCTGTTAACACGGATTAAAAAATAGCAAATTAATTGCAATAGGTATGTAATAATTATTGTAATTAATTTGATACGTAGATGAGCGAAAAACTTCCAGCTACAGCGCCCTAATTCCCCGACTTTCCTCATAAAGCCCGCGAGTCGAACGGCTCGCTAACTTTTGGGAATTTTTAGCGTGCCGTCCAACCAACCACCTGTCCTGATGTAAATCCTCCGCGACAACCAAGGGCGGCAGCAAAGGGTACCTGCTAGCTCCCGATCATCATCCCACCCCTACTAGCCAACCCTAGCCTGCACCGGCTTTGCTGGCCCAGCAGAGCACACACATATATTCATAGCCGGCGTTTTCGTAGTGGCGTTTCCAGGCGACGCTGCCGGTTCGACGTGTCTAAACCTTGGTCGGCGCGTCGGGCCCGACTGCTATACGAAAATAAAGTTAGAGGAACGCGACGTTGCCGATCCTTTCCGATATGGTAGTAGATTTTAAGAATTATAAATGTTACTGAATGAATGATGTTAACACGTAAAAGCGGGCGTAATTACGCGGTTGTTGTGTGATAACATTCAATAATTCAACTTTCCTGGATATTCAACTCTCCCGAAACAATATTTTATAACTTCTCACACCGATATTATCAAAGGCAAAAATGGATTCAAGCAGCTCGAAACAAGTGAATAAACAAAGTGTCAGAAATGTGAAATGTGAATTACATAATCAAAAAATTAAATAGGCATATCCTATGAGGATAAATTATAATTTGCAATATTAATGGTACACTTGTTTTAATCAACTAGTACTTAAATTTTTATGAACATCTTCTAAAATTATAATTATGTACCTTTAAAAAAATCGTGTAACTAGTAAAATATATAACCGAAATAGCCCCAGTTACGACTGCGCTAGCAAAATCGGTGCATAAAACCAAACCAAACGTCGGAAAAACAAGTATTTTAAGACGTCTCTTCTTCCGATGCGCAGTAGTAAACGCAACGGGTATCGGCAGCCAGACGGGCCACATGCTGTTCCAAAGAGCATAGTAAAAGATATATCAAAGAGCCAGCCGTCTTAAAATACTTTCTCGAAAACGTTGCTAGCTGTTAGACTATACCGTAATTGAACTCATCTAAAAAGTTTCATTAGCTTGAATAATAAAATTATTTTTAGAATTTTGACAAATTATACTTTTTTTTCTTGTTACTCGATGGTCACGTGTCTTTACGACAACCAACCAGTTATATAATTATTTTTATTGCATTTAAATTAGGACAAACACAGACTCACACATACATTGAACACCTATGCCTTAGGCTGGAATCGAACCAGCAACCTTGCGTCGACTACATAAAAAGCAGAGCAATCATATCGACCACCAAGGCCGTCCCAAATTATACTTCCTAAAACTTTTAGAATAATTATATAATACATTTTTCGTATACTCGCTATTTAAACTCGAGTATTTGTATATGCCAGTTGTTTACGACATTCTCCGATGGTGGCAGCACCGGCGGAGAATGTACTTGTCTATGGCGAGATCTTAACGATGTGCGGGTTCAGGAGACACCAGCGGCGGGTTCAGGAGACACAGAACTGACCGCTGAACATTTTGCTCAGTGGCTGACCGTTTTTGTGTGTAAAAATAGACCATTCAGGGAAGTCGACTCGCGTTACTCAGCCACCAACAATCCCTAAACGCACCCGATATCTCCATCTAGCGGCGTCGTGCAAATGTAGCTAGAAAAGAGGGCCTGACAAGATTCAAACAGAAAATTCATACACAAGCAGGTGTACGGCTGTTAAAACTTTGTGCTTTTATCAACTAAAGCCCTTCTGAAAAATGCGTACAATTTTCAAATAATATTCCAAATTCTAATGGTAAATGGCAATAAAATATGTCATTCTCACTTCGCTTATCTTTACAAATCATACATAGGAACCGGCAACTGTGTTTCTTTCTGTCCTTGTTTATCAACTGATTAAGTCACACAGCTCCTTTTATCTTACTCGTTAACTAAGAAGCCATGGATTTAGAATAACTTGGGAGTCATCAAACAATAAAACTAAAAATTATTAATGTAAAATCGTAACAATAAGTAGTTATCGAACTCTTAAACTGACGTCGCCTCCGAAAAATAACTTTGGCTATCCAAAATAACTGCTGAAAGCTATCGGAAATTGTTTTGCAAATAGTTTATATTAAATAAAACTATTAATGTAATTTAAAAATCAAAACTACTTACATTGGTTTTGTTGCAATGGAGCAACGTAATTGCTAGGAAATAATCCTGAGACCCCGTTCAATTCTCCTCGCCACCAAGCCTCTTCCTCTCTAGCTGTTACATTTATGATGTCATCTTTTAAAAAGCTTAATTCGTCGGGATTGATAGCGGTATAAGGATAAAGGGCTATTACTTTATCTGTAACAACAAAAATAAAAATTCTCGTTTTTTCTCGTGTAACTTGTCCCAGTCTGGCTGAACACCATCCGTCAAAGCAGTTAAAATAAGTATCTTAAATAAAAAATAAGTTGGGCTAAACGTGACTTCACATTCACAGGTGATGTACCTATAAACATGAATGTTAACGTTAATAATAATTTAAGCGTTAAGGTTACGCTGTTGTTTTGAAGTGATTCTTTTTACAGTTAACTTGCTGGTTATTTTTTATTTACTACGACTTTTAAACTTTCTCATAGACTACTAATGTGATAAGTGCAGTCAGCCATATCAAGATTCATAGAAGACTTTTTGTTCAAAGAATTGACCCAACAAAAATAACATCGTATAAAGCAGCCTTAACCCCGTTTTTTTTCAGCTATAGCTTGTATATCGCGTGCATCTCAAAAGTCGCTCACTCCTAAAACTTTTTAATTTTTTCAGATAAAAAAACGAGATTTGGTATTGATTGGCGTATTCAATTGTTTTTGGCCACTTCCTGTTTCACCGGAAATTACTACAACTTTTGATTTTTAAATGGCACCCTCGGTATATTTCTACTTTATTCCATAGAAAGACACTCTGAATAGAATGACATATCATAATATGTCAACTTTTGACATTTTCGCTGAAAAACAAATCGTATTTTAAATTTCAATCTAGAGTGCCCTGGCTGTGTTAAAAACACTAATGTTTAATCAGGGAGCCTTGGGAAAGTAGTTTTGATCGTCTAATGTTTTTCGAGTCTTTTCCTTAATCATATCATTGCACAGTGGTTCCCCTTAATTAGCTGCGCGGTCATAACTGTTATATATCTAGATATAGCTTGACTGCACCTTTTTTAATAGAAATTTATAACAAATGTTAAATAAATGTATATAAAAAACTTAATGTAATATGTATTAAAAAAATTGGGCCCAGTTCTTGTGATTTGCATTTTAAGTACTATTCGGAAAGGTATACAGATTATGTTTACACATATGTACATGTTTTTTTTTCATATTGAAGAGGTCAAATTTATTTTAAATGTTGAAAAAATAAAAGAGATAGTTGTTTCATTTTATAAATACAATTTTATTGTCAATTGATATATAGCGTGTCCACGAAATAAGTTGACAGGAAGAGGAAAAAATAAGTTACTTTTATTTTAAGATAAAAAGTCAATCTTTAACCACCCGGTATAAAATCCGGCGGCAATTCGCGGCAGCCAGTGGCAATTAATTTATATGCAATATACTTTAAGCAACAAGTATTTTCATGCCGTTTAAGAGGATTTGAAAGGGAAAGTAGTTAAAAGTCTTAAAGAGTGACAAGCAAAAATGTAAAAATACTATTTTTGTTACCTTCAAATAAATTGCCATAAACTAATATTACTTAGGTTTAATTAAGTGCAAAAAAGAAAAAAACAGTTCTTTTTACCTACTTTTCGAACGTCTATTACAGAAAAGGCGAAAGCTTTTATCAATTTTAATAAAATAAGTAATTAATTGGCGTTATCTGAAAACTGTTTATGTCAGCTTGATACCAGTAGCAAAAATGAGACATTTCTAATAAAAAAAAGCGCTACACTACGCTTACTTGATTTTGTTATTTATTATGTATCCTTTACAGTTTCATGCAAACATTTTGAAATTAATATTTCTAAGTAATGACCTATCTGGGAACCACTGTGCATTGTCGACACTATTACTAATTATGTGTGAACCCCACATTGTTAAATTGAATTACAAACTAAAATATACTAACTTACCAATTACAACTTCTTGTTGCATTCTTGAGGTCGAAACTGGTGTAGTTCTTCCGCTGATCTTTCCAGAACTGTTTAAAATTTTAACGTAACTTGCAGGGAACCACCCCACTTGTCTTTTTCTTCCTTTAGCTTGCAATTCCCCTTCCCACCAACCTGAATCAGTTTTCTTCCTAATCATTATAAGCTGACCACGAGCTAGCGATAACTGTTCTGGACTAGTCGCTTGATAGGGTGCTATGACTGACGCTATTTCTGGCTTCTTGCCTTTTAAAACCTAGGAGGGAGAAGAGAAACGGTAAAATTTATGACATGAAATTTCAAACAACTAAAAATCAAACCTGGGCATTAGCGGTAATCGAAGCATCGAGTGGCTTTTCAGTAGCTTTGTTCTCGTTAATTTGAGAAACTTCGTTATCAACTGTGTTAGCGCTGCTCATATTTTCTAAAGCAGATTTGACTTCCGCGGCTGACACTCCAGTAGATGCAGCTATATCATTGGAGATTGGAGCTTGCGATGGAACTTTTGCCGAAGAATCATTCTAAGCGAATGGTTATTATTGTTAGTAAACATTTAAAACACACAAGGATATTAGCTATAAAAGAAGAATCCTTTTAAACCTCATCTTAGACTTGCAATCTTTTGCATTAATACAATCTTGCATTTTCTAGTGTCAAAGAATATAGTATTTTTTAACACATTTTTTTGAATTTAGTACAAATGAGCGTCCGGATTGCACAACGACCTTAGCGCGTGGCCGCGTGCAGCCCAGTAGGCAAGCGAGACAACGACGCGTCGATTTAACAAAATAAATAATTTTAAACCTGCCGTCATTTCGTTAATAATTATCGTAGCGTGCTGATTTTTGCATAGAAGATTTGAGTCTTTAGAGCTTCCGACAAGCCTAAATAACTGGATTATTTATTATATTTTCGATTTGTTTACATTGCCCGAGCATATTATAACTTTGAGATAAAAATCCCTGTATAAATTTTAAAACTGACAGATATGAATACTATCATTTAAGGAGTTATACATTTAGTTACAACATATTCAAAATTTAGGTCTATCGGTTTATGCTAGCAGTAATAACGAGTATAAATAAAAAAATGGCCAGTACAACGCTCGCCGTTTTTAGCGCACGTTCAGCTTTGGTCTTAGTTTTAGCGTTATTTTTACAGAAAATAAATTCTGAACTTTGATCAAATGACAAGAACATTATCATTGCCGATATCTCCTGGTTATAATGTAGTTCTTTTTTCAAAATATTGCATTGTTTTACCTTAAAAAAAACTTGAATTATGCGGCTTTTTTGCGAGAGCTACCGGAGCTGTGTTAATAAAGAGATCAATCATACACACAATAGACTGTAATTTTACCTCGTCACGAGATTTTTTGGAAATATTTTACTCCCATTTATCCGGATTTCTACTAACTTTTGACCTTTCTTTTTGGTCGGATTCCCTCTATTTAATAATAAATAATTTAAAAAAACGCACAATACTAATGGTAGTAAACAAGCTGTGGCAAAAATTTTGTATACTCCGTGTAAACAAAAGACTATCGCAAATACTGTCTTTCGATTGACGTACATAGCCATCTCTTTATTAACGCAGCGCCGGTAGCTCTCGCAATAAAGCCGCATAATTCAATTTTTTTTTTCTATACTCTGTTTTTTTCTCTCAGGTAAGATTTCAACAGACGATGACAGAAAAAAAGCAGATGACGTCCCATACCAATCTATTTATTTTACTAAAAAAAGTTTCTAATAATTTTTAAGTTAACTATGGATGGGTTTAAGTATAAATCCGTCTTGCGTCGTCTCTTGTTGTTTTTAACCAGTTTTATTGGTTTATTTCAAAAATGACAGATCGTATTTCAATTTTATTGGTTTGACGGAACGATGAACGACAAACGGACGCCGATACGTATGAACTCGCCTTTAGATTTTTGACGCTTGTCAAAGTCTTGCCAAATTAGAGGTTATAATTTTGTGTCAACTTTTGTCAAATACCCTGCGTTTTGGAAGATGATGCATTTTGATTCGTGTTATTACGTGTGTTTTGTGTCTTTTGAAGTCAAGTGGAGGAAAAATCGAGTGAAAATTAACTGTAGACCCAGAGCACAGTTTATGATTAATACTCGCCGCCCAGGCAGAAAGTCTTATACACCAATAAAGTTACCATCAATGAAGTTCATATACCATCTCGTCGAAGATAAGTGCATCTCGTATATGGTAGAAGGACCATACTAAACACATACTAAAAACTGCAGTAGCTGTAAAATATCAACATCACACGATAGGTAAATAATGGATTTTAGTACTGCACAAAAATAATGTCAAAAGGTACTGGTTTGAAAAAATTAAGATTAAAGTTAATTAAACAGCCTTTAAGGTAAAAAATTTGGTGGTGTTATTATTAATAAAATAGTTTGTTTTATTTATGTTGTTTTATTTATTCCTGTAGAATATTACAAATTTGTATTTGTACATATTATAAGTTATATTGATAAATATAATCATAACTGCGGGAAGTTTCATGAAGCTTGAAAGTAAGAAATAGTTCTTTTTTATATTTTTTTGGCATGTGGTGTCTTGTTCTTGTTTGTTTTGTATTAACACATGCCTACCGTTTTTTGTTAAATAAAATAACTCGATTAGATTTTTCCAGTTTTATACAGTTTTTTCACAATATTTTGAAGTTTGTCAGTCAAATTTTAAATATATCAATTTCCTGCTATGCGTTCCAATTGTACCAACTTATTTCTTTGTAAAATAAAATAAACTAATTTGAAATTAAAATGACAGACACATCTATCACTGTCAAGAATCTTGTCGTTGGACAGACTATAAGTTAAAACAATGCAATATTTTGAAAAAAGAACTACATTATAACCAGGAGATATCGGCAATGATAATGTTCTTGTCATTTGATCAAAGTTCAGAATTTATTTTCTGTAAAAATAGCACTAAAACTAAAACCAAAGCTGAACGTGCGCTAAAAACGGGAAGCGTTGTACTGACCATTTTTTTATTTATACTCGTTATTACTGCTAGCATAAACCGATAGACCTAAATTTTGAATATGTTGTAACCAAATGTATAACTAATTAATGACAGTATTAATATCTGTCAGTTTTAAAATTTATAACAGAGATTTTTATCTCAAAGTATAATATGCTCGGGCAATGTAAACAAATCGAAAATATAAAAAATAATCCAATTATTTAGGCTTGTCGGAAGCACTAAAGACTCATGAGTATTTCTATGCAAAAATCAACACGATACGTTAATTATTAACGAAATGACGGCAGGTTTAAAATTATTTAATTTGTTAAATCGGCGCCTCGCTGTCTCGCTTGCCAACTGGGCTGCCCGCCGCCACGCGCTAAGGTAGTTGTGCAATCCGGACGCTCAATTCTTTGGCCTGCAAAGTTGCCTGTTTGCTGAAATTTTGTAAATTCTAAAAAAAATTATTAGAATTTTCTTAAACACTGGTTTCAATTAAAAATCGCATTTTGGAAGATAGCTCTTGAGATGTTAAAGGAAATGATGACAGATATAATAGAGAAGCAACCATAAAATGATAACTAAAGTCAATAAAAACATTCACACAAAATAGCAAATTAACAAACATAGAATATATTATAAACTGCAATAAAAAGTGTGTTAAGCAGAACATTTTCAAAATTAATATTTTAAGAATAAAATATCTATTATTAATTTTTGTCAGTCAATTTCGACAATAGAATATAAATTTTAGTTATTACAAGAATATAAAGACTGTTAATATCGACTACTAAAAGATTAACAGAGGAAATGCAAAAATGTAATAATTTTAAAATTAATTTGTTAATTGACCATAACACAGCCATGTAATATTTATCTCAAACATGAAGTCTCAAAAATAATAAATATTTTTTCTTGGTTAAAGAATGACAGTGGGAATTTTGTCCTTATACATTTTTCCTTATATGGAAGAATATAATGTAGGTATATTTATAAGGTAAATTTTCTGATACAAAGGAAATTTGTGAGATGAAAATTACCTACATACAAACAGCCATCTTAATAAAAAAGGCATCACATCGCACTTTTTAACCTAACTTCCACTTGTGTATACAAGGTGTCATCAAGTTCAACTGTCAATACAAGCTAATTACAAATATCCTCTTCAGATATGCAAATGTGGGATTAGGTGGCAAAATATCGAAAAAAGTAAAAGAAAAAAGTTATTCAGGATTTGATTTACACCTATATGCCAAGTTTCCTAATACTTCAGGGGTTTCCAAAAATTTTATTCTTTTTCTATTATTTCCCAAATATCAAATAAAAAATTGTATTTTTTCGTTAGAATAACATAAAAATCTAACAAAAATAATTCCTAGTTCTGCAATTTTCATTACGTCTACTATATTAATGAAAATACACGTTCATATTAATTTCAAGCACAAATATTAATAATTTATTATAAATTAAAAAAAATAAACAAACTTCAAACTAAAAAAATAACACAATCTGAAAATATTATGTCTACTTACATCTACTAGCTGAACATAATTGCTCGGAAATATTCCACAGTTCTCATTCAGTTTTCCTGTCCACCAATCGCCATCTTTCTTATAAACTGCTATAACGTCACCAGCATTGAAGGTCAAGTCTCCAGGTTCTTGAGATTGATATGGATAGTTGGCAATATAATACTCTGGTTCTCCTTCAGGTTGCACTAATAAATATAGTTTGCCATTAAAATGAAAGCAAATACAGATAGAGACAATTGCCTATATTTACAGATTATTGGTAAAGTTTATTCAGAAATAGAAATTCAAAAAAGCATATAAATAATTCAACCCAATTTTTAGACTTTATTCTATAAGTTTCAAGGATTAAGCTTCATTCAGAGCCTAGAAATTAGTGGAATAAATTAGTGGTTTCAGTTATACTTTATACTTAAGAGTTTACAGCCATTCACAATGTCTAAAAAACTATTAAAATTATATATAAATATAATAAAGAGTACTATTAAAATTATATATTATATATAAATTATATATAATTATATAGAATATCCTAGCAACAACTTGAGGTATACTCTGTTTTTTTTCTCAGGTAAGATTTCGACAGACGATGACAGAAGAAAAGCAGATGACGTCCCATACCAATCTATTTATTTTACTAAAAAAAGTTTCTAATAATTTTTAAGTTATCTATGGATGGGTTTAAATATAAATCCGTCATGCGTCGTGTCTTGTTGTTTTTAACCAGTTTTATTGGTTTCAATGACTAAAGAATATAAGGACATGTAACGCCCCTGTACGGGCTGTAGTAGAATTTGTGACGTTAGACGCCATTCGTTTGATGCCAAACAGTGAGTCATCATCCAGTCACCAGCGACAATTTTAGCGATTTTTAATAGTTTGTTGTGTGTAGTGAACTTTGTATAAACTTTGTTACAATGGTGAATTGTGTAGCTTTCAAGTGTAAAAGCCACAGCGACAAGAAAGAGCCAGGAGTTACGTTTCATACGTAAATAAACAGTCCACTCCAACTTTTTAGCGTTTTCTTATTGAATTCGATAATTATTCTTCAATTTCAATTAACATCTGTATGTACTTGATATGTGCTATACGTCGATACTAGTTTTGTATCTTTTGTTAACATTTTAGTACGTTTTTTTCGTAATTAGTTAGGATGATACACCATAGGCGTAGTCAAAACAATTATCAAAAAATATAAATATTGCTTCAAACAGCTAGGTTAAGAAAAATATGTGCCACGGCACTGTTTGATGCCAGCGTCACAATTTGCTGTCGGGTGTTATTTGTCCTTGGATTCTTTAGTCATTGATTGGTTTATTTAAAAAATGACAGATCGTATTTCAATTTTATTGGTTTGACGGAACGATGAACGACAAACGGACGCCGATGCGTATGAACTCGCCTTTAGATTTTTGTCATTTTTGCCGCTTGTCAAAGTCTTGCCAAATTATAGGTTATAATTTTGTGTCAACTTTTGTTAAATACCCTGCGTTTTGGAAGATGATGCATTTTGATTCGTATTATTACGTGTTTTTTGTGTCTTTTGAAGTCAAGTGGAGGAAAAATCGAGTGAAAATTAACTGTTGACCCAGAGCACAGTTTATGGTTAATACTCGCTGCCCAGGCAGAAAGTCTTATACACCAATGAAGTTGCCATCGATAAAGTTTGTATACCATCTCGTCGTAGATAAAGTGCATCTCGTATATGGTAGAAGGATCAAACTAAACACATACTAAAAACTGGAGTAGCTGTAAAATATCGAGATCACACGATAGGTAAATAATGAATTTTAGTACTGCAGACAAATAATGTCAAAAGGTACTGGTTTAAAAAAATTAATATTAAAGTTAATTAATCAACCTTTAAGGTATAAAATTTGGTAGGTGTTATTGTTAATAAAATAGTTTGTTTTATTTACCTATGTTTGGTTTGGTTTGGTTTGGTTGTTATTTATTCCTGTGGAATATTACAAATTTGTATTTGTACATAAGTTATATTGATAAATATAATCACAAATGCGGGTAGTTTCATAAAGCTTGAAAGTAAAAAATAGTTCTTTTTTATATTTTTTGGTATGTAGTGTCTTGTGCTTGTTTGTTTTGTAGTAACACATACCGTTTTTATTAAATAAAATAACTGGATTACATTTTTTCAGTTTTATACAGTTTTTTTCACAATATTTTGAAGTAATAACTTGACATCTTGTCAATCAAATTTTAAATATTTCCTGCTATGCGTTCCAGTTGTACCAACTTATTTCTTTATAAAATAAAATAAACTACTTTGAAATTAAAATGACAGACACATCTATCACTGTCAAGCATCTTCTTGTTGGACAGACTTTAGTCAGTTTTATCCACAGAAAAAGTCTAATATTTAATTTTTTTTATGGATTATAATCAAAGGCTAAAACATAGACTAACGTCACGTACTAGAGATAGATTGGACACTGATATAAAACAAATAAGCCCGTCATTTAGAGCCACCTGGTGATCCCTTTGAATAAGAAGACTAAGGAAGGAGCATATCAAAAATCTTAGGTACACCGCGATGGGCCTCAAATATGGCCGACTTAAATTCCGGTTTATCAGTGTCGTTCTAATTTTATTTAAAAAATGTAAAACTATGATGTAGGGTAGACGTGGGGTAGACTCAATAATTTGTTGTTTTATTTTACGTTGTGAATAAATGTTGGTAGTTATTAAAATTGTTATAAAAATATATAATTCTAATAAAAATAGATAAGTTATAATAAGTATTTATTAACACAAACATCCGATACGCTACTGAAGCAGGTAAGTCAAATTAACGTATTTAAATTCTTTGACATCTAATATTTGGCGAGTAATAAATAAAAGCTAAAATGCAAGAAAAATATATAATTTAGTTAATTTAAGTGAATTTCATAAATGATCGGTTTACTACACGTATGTATATTATCACTTACTAGCGAAAAGTTGTTCCATTATTCCACTCCATTTTTGCCGAGATCTACCGCACGCTACACAACCAACTATTTTAGAGTCTTTTTCGATAAATCGCGATAGTGTCACTGTTAATTTAAGTTCTGCCACATTTTCCATCTAGATTTACTACCTTTATACAACTATCAGTAGTAGAATAAATAATAAATAACATAAAATAAGCTCCGTAAAGACTGACAAATCCACAAAATTTCAAATCAAATTCAAATGTGTCAAATGAATCGTCAAACAGAACTGTCAAGGATCCCCACCCTAGAGTGATTTTTCCGTCCACCATGCATGAATACATGGATAGCATTATGCTCCTTCCTTAGTTTTCTTATTCAAAGGGTGATCCGGAAGAAACTAATGGGGAGTTTTGGCATAACATAATTTTAGCGTTCCGTTATTTATTAACGCTAACTAAAACGGTAACGTTATTCAAGCGCAAAATTATTCCTTATAAAATATAAAATAATAAACATATAGACTTGTTTACTATATTTTATGTTTTATTAGATCATTAGAAGTGTAACATATTCAAAACTAAAAATAAAATTATTATGAATACATACATTTTAAACACCCACAATAGAGCACATAGCGCCTATTTTTTTGATTTAACAAATAAATTATAATATAGTAAAAATATTATAGACTACTAATTAACTATTACTAAAAATACGATATTACCAACTATGTACTTACTTATTTATGATTAAATATTTTTTTATTTCATTCATAAATGTATTATTTCTAAAATGTCTAAAATGTCTTTAATAAAAAAGTTTTAATATCTAACACGAAAATGATGATCAACTGTAAATATCAAAATGCACAAACTAATAAAAACACAATCTATAAACACAAATCACCGAACTTTCCGCAAATCAAGAATATCTGAATTCATAATTATTTAATAATAACTTGACGGATCACCAACATTTTGACAACTAGGCCAAAACTAGACCATAAATGGTAGTAAATATAGAGGCTGTCATGTCATTTTCATATATAAATTAGAAACCTGTACTTTAATGTCTTTTGCGCTGTCTGGCGATGCGAAAGAAACTAAATTTGTAGTTCCATAAAATTAGTATTGAGTGTCTAGGGCCTGGGTTAAAATGATATTACTCGCGAATTTTTAAGTGTAATTATTGGCAAAAGTTAAAAATTTGCTTACTTTTTCTACTAATTGAAAATGACTACCACGTTCTGAATGCTTACAATGAAATTAAAGGAACAAACTTCTACCCTAATTGAAACCACTAATAGCGAGGTTCTGAATGAAGCTTTACTTTTTCTACTAGTTGAAAATTACTACCACTAATTTTGACGTTCTGAATGCTTACATTGATATTAGAGGAACAAACTTATACGCGAATTGAGACCACTAATTTCGAGGTTCTGAGTAAAGTTGTAATGTTTATTAAAATGATTTTTTTTCCGCTGATATTCGACAATGTTTTTGTGACACTATTGAGTTTTAAGTTTAGCACAATTTACCTATGACTCTATTTTGAGGGATGATATATGTGCTTCTATGAAGAGAAATTTTTAAATGTTAATTGTTTTCTAAATGAAGTTTAATAGTGGAATATCTTCTTTATTGTTAGTATTTTTAGTTTAATAAAATAAACGAACTGGTTAAAAGTCTGATAAATCATCATGACTGTAAAAAGAGATGTATTTTATAAAAAATGTATGTTTATGATGGCTCTTAGATAATTTAAAAAAAACATTTAAAAAAATACAAACCTGTATTAGTTGCTGGCTCAGTTACTACAGGCTCTTCAGAAACTTCATTAGCGGCACTAACACTTCTAAAATATTTAATTTATAATATGACAGTAACATAGGTGGACAACAAAACACTAAACAAATTATAACTATTATTATTATTATTAAATTTGCGATAACGTCTTCTTTGACAAGATCTATACAGCATAATCCATCTATAATGAACAGGCTTATAATGGAAACTGGCATATAATGATCGAATTTTAAAGTCCCAAATCAAACACATTTAATATCCTAAGACAACATGTATATAATGCACCTTGCTTCTAGTGGACAATTAGTAAACTAAAATATCTTCAATTACTTTGGAAATTCCCACAAAATTTCTGCAATAGTAAACAAGATTTTATTCGAACTCGCACCTGCAGTTGTTCTGTAAATGTTATTAGAGTGTTGTGTTGAGTTGAGTCTCTAAAACTTAAACTCTATCAAGATACAACTTTTAATCGACATTAAACGGCCTACACAATTTTGCTAAGAAGTGAAAAAAGCCATTGGCGTACTTGCTTTTTTTAGAAAAGTATTTCAATGATAGTCCATGTGCACGTCCTTGGTGACTGTTGACACTTTTAGCGTTAAAGTATGTAATACTTAAAGTAACTTTCACCTTCAAAATGTCATTATAATCCCTATAGGCGCTTGAAAGAAATCTATAATAAATCGAAAAAAAAAGGATACTGTAACCCCCTGTAGCTACGAAACAAAGTAGAATCGGACATATGTTGATATAAAAAATAAATCTTATTTTACGTGAGGAATCACCCCACTCGTTTTTTGAAATGCCCTGTATATGTATCTACCTGCTTAGCATTAAAATGCACTTTTTTAATTATGTATGTAATTCATTTGTGTTATCTCAACTCGGCTCGGCTTTAATGAACTATATCTGTTGATCCCCGCGAGTCGATTATATGTGGATTACACTGCAGTTAAAATAATGAAAGTTTGTCCAGCAAAGGAATATATCACCACAGATTATACAGATTATAAACTTTGTTTTTTCTTTATTGTTTTTCGTGGCTCCAATTTTCGGAATCGGGCACTATAGTTAGGTTACTAGTTTGCGCACATAGCACGCCCACTTATGGCCTCTAAAATTGTGCACAGCGCCTGACCGGCACAGTTATTAGAGAGATATCGGAAAACCGAATAGCGTGATGCAGTATTTACGCGTACCTTATCATGGCTACGATATGCGCGAGTCAATTTTTAACGCAACACCCGCTAATAACGTTACCGCCTGACGTTATTTGCGGATCAATTACACCAAGCGCTATTTCTAAATAACGTTTAAAAATTGCTTAAATGGGCATGTGCGGGTATTTGACAACCGGGGCCGGCCGGCGAGATCTTTTATTTTAGGTTATGTTTGAATTGTTTTGAATTATTACTTTAGTTTTATTAGATAATTTGATATTTAAGTAGCTGTTATTAGTTTTAATTAAATAAATATGGTCCAAAATATGGATTCCACCTCTTCCAATATTAAAGAACCTATAAAGAGACTTAGGTTTACAGCAGATGACGACTTAGCCCTTCTAAGAGAATTTGTTGCTTGTTGCCCTAAACCCACTGGCAGACGTTGAACAATAAAGCACTGGAAATAAGCACTTTGCCTTTAGTTTTAAAATACCTAATAAACAAAACAATTTCAAAGTTTTAAATTCAAAGTTAGGTTAAGTTTAAATAGCGGACGCGACGCGAACAGAATTCTTTCTGATCCGATAACTATAAATGAAGAGAGTTAATACCACCTCACGTAAAGGAAATAACACCTGGCCTTATTAACGTCTATGCACGCTATTCGCTTTAAGGTGTACGCGCACTGAATCAGTACCAGTCCGGCGAAGGCGGTGACTCGACTATCGTAGATAGGTAGAGGTAGGAATCTGGCCTCTACAGGCCGAAATGTTTTAGTAGACGCCGGCGCCGTCTATATGTACGATGGTCGCAGTCGCTTTTGCTGGTCGGTCCGATCCGATGCAGTGCGCGCGGAGCCTTAGCGATATCTCTCTATTACGCTGTTTATTGTTATTTTACGCGAGTTTATTTTTGCGCACAGGAAATTTTACTCGTTTGCACATCGTCACAAAAAACAATTTTCGTACCACGAATTAGGGACAAGATTTTTATCTGTATACTTATAGGATACCTAATATGTGAAATCACAGTGACATCTGCAGTTTTTAATTTTAAGGCAAAAAAAAATTAATCTTTTCCTTTATATATAGTATAGAGTATCCAATAGCTGTCGAAGTCATATATTCTGTCGCTAGACAAGCCATACTTGTTGAAACAATCAAAATTATTAAAGCAAATGAATAGATGAAAATTCATATAAGACGCTTGGTCCGCTATTTCCTTTACATTTTTTATTATAAAATCTAGTCATTAGTCTAATCAAATTCGACATTTAACTTTGTGAACATAACTTTATTTAATGTTTAATAACTAAGTGAATTAATACTCACTCTAATTTTGTAGAACCTACAACCAATTCTGCAGGTTGCTCTTGAGTGACTTGTGTACCTGCACTAGCCCCACTAATACCGACCCCATCAACAGGCTCAACATAAGATTCGGGAAACCATCCAGTATGGCCTCCAATTTCTCCCGCTAACCAACCAGGTTCTCCGGTTTGTTGTTCTGGTACCTAATAAAAAATATTACAAAAACAGACATGGCTTTTGATTAAATTTTAGTTACATGTATAATATCGCCAGGTTGAAACGATATTTCGTCGTTGTTTCTTGCATTAAATTCGTATATAGCCCTGTATTTGTGAACGCCCGGTATACTTTCGATATCAGGCGGCACAGTGTTATCACCCCAATTATTGTCGACAGGCCAGTCTGAACTAGTATTTGTACCCCATGCGTCGTCATTACCTTTCCATGCGTCGCTATAATCCGTGGTTCTTGACTGACTTTTTAAATCCAGAACCTGAATATGTTTAAAAAATATTTACAACTAATGTAAAAATAAAAAATATCAATATACTCAAAGGCAAAAAAACGTAAAGGAAAAATCTTTCGTCAAATTTAAAGTGTTTTAATATTTGGCTTATTATACAGGGTTAATCAAGGGGTTGTTTTTTACCATAACTTTAAAACATTCTGTGCAATAATTTCGTGAACAAATTTTTCTAAAATTAATTTTCGGTCAGAACCGTGTCTCATTTCGTGTGAGCATTTTGTTTTTTGGCGCATGTCAATACATGCTGTGGTTAGGTTGTATTATTTTTTAAGAACGAAATGCCACTAACAATTTGCAATTTTTTAAGTATTATTACTTTTTGACGATATTTTTCAATATGACGAGGTGGTTTTGGTAATTATTGATAAATACTATGAGGTAGTATAATGTTATGAACTGCCTAGCATATTCGACAGATCTGAACCTTGTAGAACACGTTTAGGAAATGCTTGGCAGGAGGGATAGAGGTCGCGAAGTGGCACCAGCTTAATTAAATAAACTTAAATTGGTCCTTAAAGAAGAATGGAAAAACATAACGTCTCAGGCAGTTATAGTAGCCAAGGGAAGCAATTCAAAGTATTAGGCTATTTTTTACAAGCTTTTTTTCCGTTTGTATACTTGTTTATGACAGTTGTGTTACAGTTAATATTACAGTTGTTATGTTTTCTTTAATATCGTTAGTTCTGTTAATATTATTGTTTATTAAAACCAGGACTGTATCTTTACTCTTTAACTTTTTTTACACGACAGTAGTCTTCAAAACTACATTATATTGAAAATTAATATAAAAAATGATAAATTATCTATGATAATGATAATTAAAAAAATCGCAAATTCTTGGTGGCGGGTTCAATTCACCCTCGAAAATTAACCAAGGCATGTGTTGACATGAGACAAAAAACAAAATGCTAAAAATAATGTTATACAAAAGTCTGCCTATGAAATTATTGCACAGGGTGTTTTAAAGTTAGAATAAAAAACAACTAATCGATAAACCCTGTATACTACAAAATACTAAAGTTTCTAAAAAAACTGAGTTTACAATTTAAAGTTTATACGGGGTGCGTCTCAAAAGTGGCTCACCCCTATAACTTTTTTTGTATATGACATAACTTAGGATTGATTGGCGTATTCAATTGTCGATTACGTCCTGTTTCGCCGGAAATGAATACAACTTTTGCTTTTTAAATGGCGCGCTCGGTATTTTTTTACTTTATTCGATAAAAAATAAAACTCTGAATAAAATGACATATCACATGTCAACTTTTGACATTTTCGCATATGGTTTATTTGAAATTATAACTTGCGGTTCGTAACGAAAATTTTTGCCTCAAAATACCAAGTGTGTGGTATAAAATTATTCGTAAAAAAATGCTTTTTCCAAATATGTTAATGAGCCACCCTCGTTCCATTTGAAAAAATTTTAGATATGGTTAAAAATACGATTTGGGCATTTTTTAACCAGACAGGAAGAGACAGGACAAGGCTCCTTGATTAAGAATTAGTGTTTTTAACAAAGCCTCTCGTTTCTAACATGGCACTCTAGATTGAAATTTAAAATACAATTTTTTATTAAGCGAGAATGTCAAAAATTGACATGTGATATGTCATTCTATTCAGAATGTCATTTTCTATCGAATAAAGTAAAAAAATACCGAGGGTGCCGTTTAGAAATCAAAAGTTGTAGTCATTTCCGGTGAAACAGGAAGTGACCAAAAACAATTGAATAAATCAATCAATCCTAATTTATGTCATAAACTAACCAAATCTCGTTTTATCTGAAAAAATAAAAAAGTTATTTTTACTTTTGAGACGCACCTGGTATGTATATTTATATATAGCCTGCTAAAATATAAAAAGTTTACATATTATTTAGATATAGTCTGCTAAAATCATGAAAATTGGACTAAAAATAAAAAATATATAAATTTGACGTAACATTTTTCCATCGCGTTTTTTCTGCATCTATGTGTATTTTCGTTATTTCAGATTATGAACGGTATAGTCTGTCCAGCGAGAGAATGTATGATTAGATAGAAGACATCCAAAAAATTACAGAATTAACTACTCACTTTTGAATTAAAATGACAGATTAATATTTGCCACTGTCAAATATTCTCTCGTCAGACAGAAAAAGGTTACCATCCACCAATTTTCTTTTACTGTCACAAAATTGTCCTACCTTATTTCGTTTCTCTTCGTAAGTAATATATAAAGCTTCACAATCTGAAATAAGATTATTCATTTGCGATTTCAAATCGGTTAACTGACTATTATTATTCTCAATATCTGATAATTTTGAATCAATCTGAGCTTGCATATCAGACATTTTTTCCTTCAAATTCTTAATCACTATTTCTTTGTTTTCAAATGCCAATTTTGCTTGTTCAGAATCCTAAAAGTTATTTATTAAAAATTAGATAATAATTATAACATACTTTGAAAAGTTACTTGTGTATTAATCTTATTTTTAGCGTCTAATTTTACTTTTTCTTGAGACAACGCTAATAACCTAGCGTTCTGGTCCTTTAATTTATTTTTAAGTTGAGACATTTCTTGCATTTGCGTGTCACGTGTACTACGCATTCCATCAATAGTTGTTTTAACGTTAGATACACCTTAAAATATAAAAATCAACAGTAGAAATTTACATATTTTAAAATATATAGTTCGATTCATATAAGATGATAGCGTCAGAATATTTTTATTCAGAAAATATAGGCGAAACTTATTTAAATCAGAGCTCAATTCCTAAATCAAAAATAGACGAAGTTTCTTTGTTGTCATTTATTAACAATTGAAGAACACATATTGCGGTACATATTTTATCAAAACGACGAGAGTTGTAGGCTTGGTGTATTTCAACCGATTTTTTTTTAAATTCCGACAGCAGCGCCTGAGATAGCAGAAATCAGAACTTCCGGGCTTTTTAATTTCACGGCCTCCCGGTTTCTGTTCGTGTTGATCGCATTGGAGTAATATTGGCACAGTATTTAAGTATTTTGGTTTTTACTAGTGCAGTTATTGAAACTATGAGACATTCTGGTACGAGGTTTAGTAAAAATTAAGTTAAAAAGAATCCGAACTGGCGTTGCGTTGTGTTTTGGTTTGGTGTTTAAAAATGTTAACACGAATTTGATCAAAAGCAAGAGTGGATTCAGGCAGATCGACGAAACATAGGAGGAACAAGATCTAAGGAGTAAACAAAGTGCCCATTACATAACCAAAAAATTAAATAGGCCCATATAGTATAAGGATAAAATATAATTTGATTAATATTAATGGTATACTTTTTTTAATCAACTAGTGCTTAAATTTTTTATGAACATCTAAAATTACAATTATGTACCTTTAAATAAAGTCCTTACAACCCAAATAGCCCCAGATATGTCCCCGTTAGCAAAACCGGTGCGTAAAACTATGCTCAATTGAACTCATCTAAAAAGTTTTATTAGCTTGAATAATAAATTATAACACACGTTAGACCTTCTAAGGATTTCAAAAAATTTACCTTTTTATTTCTTTTAGAATTCCCACAAATTGCGCTTCCTAATACATTTGAATTAATATTTTAACATATATTTCGTGTACCCGCTAGCTGGCGTATTTTTATAATTCGGTGTTTTACGGGACGCACCAAGTCTATAGAATATTTTTTTACTGACACATGTTATTCTTAATTTGTTAGAATACTCCTTATGACGCAATTATCCTCTTTCATGAATACAAGCGTACGTTGTATACATACAAGCGTACAAAAATAAATGATAGTTTACCTATTCGGGTATCGCAAATTTTCTGAGATAGTTCCCTGACTTGTTCATTCAATGACGATAGCTCAATACTGAGACTCTGATTTTTAGCCTTTAACTTTAAAACATTCTCTTGTTCTCTTTGTCTTTGCTGTTGTAGTTCTTGGAGGCGTTGCTTTTCCCATTCTAACTGTCTTTGACGTTCCATCTCTTTGCGTGCTGCCTCTCGTTGTTCGGCTTGCCGTTTTCTTTCTATGGTACAATAAAGGCATACTTAGTACCTATTACAAATCGCATAGCAATACAAAGTCTGTCTAGCAAGTGACCACATGACTTCGACAGACGATATCCAAAAAAAAACAGGATAAATGTAAGTCGGACTCGCCCACCGGTTCCATATCAAGACTATATTTTTGCGGCATAAACGGCCGTATCTCTTTCTTACGTTAACTTAGAAGTTTGACTTTTTCAACTCGATACCTCCACGCGTTGTCGAGATAAAGGATGGAAATACGCCTGTTCAATTTCTTAGCTCCGATAAAGATAACATATTAAACCTAGGGTACTATAGACCGAGAAAAATCAAAGATTTTCCTTGAATTAAGTAAGAACAATCCCCAGATTGTCACTAGGTTTTTAACAGGACACTGTCTCCTCAATGAACACCTCAGTAGATTGAAGCTAAGAAACAACGGCGAATGCAGATTCTGTGGGGAAAATGGGGAAACACCTCATCACTGAGTGCGCCGAGACGACAACCACTTGTGTCATAAACTTTGGTACAATTGATATCGGAGATAGAGAACTAACCTCTGTACAACAGTGTCAGATACAGGCTTTTATCAAAGTCCCGAGACTGTATGAGGCGTTATAACTCAAGAAAGGGGAACACGATAGATCTACAAGGTCGCGGTGATTAACTTCCCCCTCCATTAAAATCCACAATCTAGACACTATAAATGAAATACTTAATTTTAAATTTAATTAGTGTAATAAATAAGTAAGTAGATTATAAAAGTGTTTGTGGTTAACACAAAATCCATAAAGTCAGTAACAATATTAATAGTACATACCTTCTTCCAAAAGCCTTTCTTTTTCTTGCTGTTCCCTCATGATTTTTTCTAATTCTTCCATCCGCTTTCTTTCAGCCTCTTGCCGAGCCTTTTCCTTTCTTTCTTGCTCTTCTCGCTCTTTCCTTTCGCGTTCTTCGGCTTCTTTTCGTTGTTGATCCATTAAGGTTTTGCGTCTTCTCTCTAATTCAGCCTGGCCTTTCTCGTAGTTTTCTTTTCGTTTATCTTCAAAGGATGCTATATTTTAAAGATATGTATAAATAATCCGCAACTACTAATAAATATATCCGCAACTACTAATAAACTACATTACAATGCATTTAAAATTTACAATCATTTACAATCATTAGCCTTATTAACTGTAATGGATCCAAACCGCTGCAAAATCATTAAAAGCTTTAGATTGTATCCACTGCAAGAATAGTGCCAAATGGTATTTACATTGTCCTTATCGGCCTCCAATCTAAACTTTTTCCATTTATCTATGATTAACGCATGAAGTTTGATACAGGAATCATACAAATTTATGAGTAGGCACGTGTGACCCCACAATTATTAACATATATATACCGTGCTGGCAACTGTTACTTTTGGGTCGGAACCTACATGTGTGGAAGTAAATCGCATAGGGATCTTATTAAGTCGAAGTGAGAGAAACGCGACGGTGTGCTGTTGCGGCGTTGTCGGTACGTCTTTCCTTGTCAGGTAACGTAAAATCACGATCGCAAACCGCTTATTTTTAAACAACGTTTTTTCGAAAATATAACTAGATAAAATCAATAGATATGTTTCTGAGTATCTGAAATAGAATTATAAGGATATCGTTAGGGTAATCAATTATTTTTAATAGATTTTGAGATATCAATTCATTTTGAATTCAGAGTTCTAATAGTGCGGCCACTGTCGAATACCAACTAAATTCCACTTATTTTTACCAAAAATGCAAGTGTTTCTAACTTGCACTTAAAAATTTTCAAGCTCTGGGGAAAGTTACAACGACTCGTTAATAAATAAACAAATAAAGTATCGACGTATGACGTAATTAAATCGTGAAGCTTAACGCATGATGTACACCTTTCCCTAGAACTTTAGGTACTGATTGGGTCGACAGATGGACTGCGACAAATCTGCTATATCCCCTTCCACGTCTCTTAGCAATGTGCGCAATTTCTCGGTTTATTTCGTGCGTTTGGCAACGTGTTTACTGTTCTCTCTTTGTTCAGTACGTTATAAACGCATTGTACTCTTCTTACATACGGAAATCTCGACCCAAGACTAAGCTTTGCCAGCCCTTAGTATATAAGCGCAATTATTAAATTCATTGTTGCTAACCATGGATATATTCGGAGCCGGGCTGACTACCTGGAATTTAAATTTCCCGTTGGCGATATAGGTGGTAGCTTTGCTGTAAAAAATGTCAAGTTGTCACATATATTTATTTCCTGACATTTTGATTCGTTTTGACACTTTAGTTAACTAGTTTTTGGTTTAAGTGTAAATATTTAATATAAGTCGAAAATCGTTCTTTTTAGAACCGCTTGTAGTGCGAGGTGCACAATATGTCGAAGCAGCTTAAAAGCTGTTGCAAAAGGCTCGTAGCAACCTTATTAGAATATTTTAAACGAGAAAACGGTAATAATGGCCCTTTGTGTCCCTTATGTGCTGTTAAGGAAGTGAGTTTAGTTGACGTCATATGTGTATAATATTTATAATTAATTAATTTTTGTTTCCTAAAATATTTTAATTAAAAGAAAATATGTAAAACTGAGCAAGGCTGTGCCGGTAAAGCTTAATCCATTAACTAAAAGTTTGTTTGGTATAATCTATGAATAGGTAATTTACTATTAGACAATAAAGGACAGCGTCCTCACAACCAAACCATTTACTATTATTAACACTTTATTAAGCATAAACTTACTTTGTTGCAGAGTTGAGGCTGGATCCTGATCAGGATGAACGATGCTGCCCTGGCTAGAAACGGAAGCGGTTCTGGTCGGCCGTCTAAAGGACGGCGGAATTAAATCAGGTGGTAACTTGGCAGGTGGGGCGACTCCGGCTTGCGCTTGTTCGCACAAGTGCATAGCTAAAACGAATTCTTCGCATCCCAATCGCCCGTCAGTGTCCATGTCGGCTAAAGCCCAAACTTGAGCCAAAACGGCGTGGGGCAATTTAGATTGTACCATTATATTTCGAGCTTGGGCGCCAGACAAAAATCCGCTCCTGGTTCGATCCATTGTATTGAAGATTTGGGTGTATTTCAGCTTGGTTTGATGCGGTACACCCCAATCAGCACCACTGAGAAAAAAAATATAATTATATATAGTGCCACGTCATGTAATATGCATCATTAATTCTATCCTTAACTGATACTAATATCTTTATTAACTCTTCTGGAGTTATAGATTATTTTGTTACGTCCTTTTATTATTGGACCGCCCTTTTACATTCCCTAATCCCACTCTCATATAAATTATCTTATGATTGTAAGGAGGGATCAACAATGATTGAAATAGTTGGCAATTCTATATTAGAGATTTTAGGATTAATGAATGGTACTCAGAGCTGCAACAAGTCAGTTTTAAAAAGACTTAAGTCTTAAGTCATTCTAAAATCAAAATTATTTGAATCTTAAGTCAAATTCAACATGAAGTTCAAATGATTGAAGTCTGAAGTCTTTGACTTAAATAATTTTACTTAAATCTATATAACGCTATTTAAGTCGTTTTTATGACTTAAGTCATAGATAAATGAAACAAGTTTAGATTGGAAAGTGCCCATAAGGACAATATAAACACTATTTGGCGCTATTCTTGCAACGGTCGCGACCCAAAACTTTTGAAAATTTCGGAGCGGTTCGGCTTTTTCCGGAATTATATCGCCAAATATTTTTTATTCAAATTTATTATTATTTTCGTTTAATTTTATAAATAAAATACAGTGTGTTGCATACAAGAAACTTTATTTTATATAAGGACGCATGTATGAAATACCTATGAAACATTGGAAACCGACGTTATGCCACGATCCACGACGGTTTTTGCAGTTCACAGTTCACAGCACAGCTTTTTAAGTTTTTAATGCCACTTTTTCACAATTATCACCGGTTGGAGTAAATAAAACTTGAATTAAACTCACAAGATAGCAATAATTACTTTGAAAATGGACGCTATAAACACTTTTCGGAATTTCTTTAATGAGAGCGGTTTAGATTTTGAAAGATTATTATGATTTTTGAAGATTCTGACTTTGACAAGAGAAAATTATTTCTATTTTTGTTTGCCGTTGTTCTTAGCGACAGATCGCGTATAACGGTCGCGACCCAAAATAATTTCGCGACCCAAAATTTTTACGGGCTTTCCAATCTAAACTTGTTGCATTCATCTATGACTTAAGTCTCTAAGTCTTGACTTAACCCTTAACTGGTCCGGCGTCGTCTGACAGACTACGCCAAATAATTAATTCAGTCTCATTTGTTTCTGGGACCGCCCACACGATTGGCGTTCTAGCTAATCTTGCCCCTCTAGGTCAACAACTGATAGCTATATTTGTGCCCAAACTGGATTAGTTTTTTAGAAGTTCTGGAAGAAGTTACTGAAGCCGCAGTCTCGCAGACGATGCCGGACCGTTTGTGTAAAATTTTATGTATGACAAATTTTTGTAAAATATGACGGGGTCTTCGAAAAGAATGCGTTTAGGAGACTCTAGTTATGAGAAAACTCTATTAAAATGATATGATGAGGACGGTGACAGTGACAATATGACAACCTGCCAGCCAAATGCGTTTGACAATGTCAAATATTCCACGAAAAATATGCTTTACAATTGGTAGAATACTTGCAATTCCTGTATAACTAAAAGAAGCCCACGGAGATATTTTTATCCTAGAGTTCTTATCCTAGTCAAAGACAATGTTATGTCCCAGTTAATTATCTTTAATGCCTAGAATGTACGAATCCTTTGTGTAAAACATGCTCAGGAAAACAATGAAATTTGCCTCATGCTGTAACTAAAAACTTTTTCTTTAACTCCAGTTTTATAACTTATTTTTTTTACATATAGTATTAAAAACTTATTTCTATATTGTAATGACTGTTAGTAATTTGGTTTTATTTTTAGAGCTTAGTAAAAACCTATATTGTTTTTTTTTCCAAATTTATATGTATGTTTTCTGAAAGTTTATATTAACTGAACCCATTTTTCCCAACAACCCCCAATCCAAGATTTAGTTTAATAATATATAATATAACATATAATGGTACGTACACATTGGAGCGCTGCGTCGCGAACGCGCGGCACGCGCGCACCGGTTCGCCTTTATTAGTACGTGTTTTCAAGTTGCGCGCGCTCCGCGCGCAAACAGCTAGCGGCAAACCATCTCCAGTCGGTTTTTCGACGCTCCGCTTTGTTTGTTCGTTGTTCAATTGGAACGGCGGGTGAAGACACCGCGCGCCTTTATCAGTGACTATGTGTATTTTCTTTGAATAAATTCCCTTTTTTGTGTTTTTCTTTGAATATTGTTTATTAATGGAGTGTTTAAAGAGTCACATTACTCATGATTAAAATTGCGTAGTTCTTCTCGGACGATAGAGACATGATTAACGACTAGACGAATGTTCGCGGAATTTCTATGGATCGCGGGATGTTCGCTAAAACAATAAAAGTAACGCGTGGACAACGCTCGGCGAGCGCGTTCGCGGCGCACACTGGTGCGCTCAATGGACATAATTCAAAAATGCATGTATTTATTTTTGGGTTTGTAAATACACCTATCTTTAGAGGAATGTCTGCTGATAATAAAAATAGAATGTTCTTTTTTTATTGTTTACGAATTCCAAAGAAACAGAGATAAAGAAAACGAAAAATAATTTTGTGCGTTAATTGAAAGATTAGTGTAAAATTTATTCTATATCAATATAGTCCGAAGAAATTTTGAAAATAAAATCTTTAAACAATTTAGTTTAAAATGATAATAATCATTTTTTGCGGAGATTTGCGGAATTTGCTATTTTTGCTATTTTTACGAATGTTCGCGGAATTTCGATGGATCGCGGGATGTTCGCTAAAACAATAAAAGTAACGCGTGGACAACGCTCGGCGAGCGCGCTGCGCGTTCGCGGCGCACACTGGTGCGCTCAATGGACATAATTCAAAAATGCATGTATTTATTTTTGGGTTTGTAAATACACCTATCTTTAGAGGAATGTCTGCTGATAATAAAAATAGAATGTTCTTTTTTTATTGTTTACGAATTCCAAAGAAACAGAGATAAAGAAAACGAAAAATAATTTTGTGCGTTAATTGAAAGATTAGTGTAAAATTTATTCTATATCAATATAGTCCGAAGAAATTTTGAAAATAAAATCTTTAAACAATTTAGTTTAAAATGATAATAATCATTTTTTGCGGAGATTTGCGGAATTTGCTATTTTTCTATTTTTAGAACAATCCTCTGCTATTCCCAATAGCATGTTATACGAAAAATGGGTAACTTGTAAAAAAAACTAACTTGTAATAAAAATATAATATTATATATATATATATATATATATATATATATATATATATATATATATATATATATATATATATATATATATATATATATATATATATATATATATATATATATATATATATATAATCATCTGCTGATGATGCTAACATGGTTAGCGAAACGCGCGTCCAGTGTAAAAGTAAAAGTGTTTTGGTGTATTGTGGTGATTTAGTGTTTTTATTTTTCTGTGTAACACCAAAGGTTCCAACCCTCAACTGTAATATTGTAGAATTAAAATAATATACATCATGTTTTGCGGATTTTTGCGATTTTTGTTAATTTTCTATTTTTAAAGAAATCCTCTGCTATTTTCAATTTAGGATTTTATACCAAAAATGCCAAATATTTATTTTTAAATTTATAATATATTTTTTTAAGTTTCTAGCACATTTTCAAAAATACGTCAAATGTATTAAAACCATAGCAAATTCTTTAACCCTCTAAGTGGGGGTATCATTCCCCAATTTATTTCCAATGGAAATAGGGGTCAAGTAATATTTTATTAAGAGGACTTTAATTTATCTATATAATGCTGGTTATTTTTTGAAAATTAATCAACCCCTTAGGAAAATAGTGGGGTTTGAAATTGGGGGATGAGACCCCCACTTGAATGTTGAAGATTTCTCTATGGATCTTACCCTAAAATAACGTATTTTTAAAATTTGTTTAAAAAACCTTCCAAATTTCTTGATATAATTTAGTTTGCATTTTTTCCTTATTATTGATATTTCAAACCTCCATATTTTCAATAGGGGCTTATCGATTTTGGAGAACTATACACCAATATTTAGGTAAATAAAAGACCTTTTCAATAAGGTATAAATTGGCCCCTCTTTCGATGTGAAAAATTTTGGGGGATGACACCCTCGCATAGGGGATTGACAATTTTGCAATCATTTTTGGAGCAAAAGTTGGCTCTCTTATAAACAAAATAAATAAAAATAGTCGCAATAATTAATATTAGTTTGTTTTCAAAATATGAATTTTGACCCAATTCCCCTATAAGGTGCAACACTGTGCGGCGCGGCGCACCAATGTATACGTACCATAATGAAATAAAAGTTTATTTTTTAGTTTTTATGTGTTTTTTAACTTTTTAGAAGGCGTATTTTTTTACTTTATTTGATAGAAAATTACATATCATATGTCAACTTTTGACATTCTCACTTATAAAAAATTGTATTTTAAATTTCAATCTAAAGTACCATGGCTATATTAAAAACACTAATTTTTAATCAAGGAGCCTTGAAAAAATATTTTGATCCTCTAATGTTTTTAGTGTCTTGTCCTGGCCAGTTAAAAGACGTCCAAATCGTATTTTTAATCATATCTCAATGTTTTCAAATGGAATGAGGGTGGCTCATTAGCATATTTAAAAAAGGTATTTTTTTGCAAATAATTTGGTACAATACACTTGGTATTTTGAGTCAAATTGTCCTTATTAATAGCATGTTGCAATTTCAAATAAAACATATGCGAAAATGTCAAAAATTGACATATGATGTCATTCTATTCAGAGTGTCATTGTCTATCGCATAAAGTAAAAAAAAATACTGAGAGTGCCATTTAAAAATCAAAAGTTGTAGTCATTTCCGGTGAAACAGGAAGTGACCGAAAACAATTGAATATGTCAATCAGTCCTAATTTATGTCATATACTAACATACCAAATATCGTTTTTTTTTACTGAAAAAATAAAAAAGTTATCGGGGTGAGCCAAAAAATAATAGAAAGTGAGAAAAATGATTTGATATTAAATATACCAAAAATCAACAAAATATATATAAATAATTGTATAATACTTACAGCCCAGATTCAATTGATGCAGTTCTGTCTAAACTAGCTACACTAGCTCTAGGAGTGCTGGTTGCTCCTGGACCTGCAGTAGGAATACTTGATGCTCCTATAGAACCTACTGGGGATACTGGACCAGATGGAACAACATTTGGAATAACACCAGTTGATATTGGAGGGCTGGATGGTGCAATACCTAATATAAAAAATATTATAAATTAAGTATTAATCAAACTTATATATTATTTTTTATTGATCCATGCCTGTGTTTGTTAAGTTTGGTATCATTACTGAAGGCTGTGAACTGAAACCAGTAACTCCCTGCAATCCAACAGTATTTGTAATATTGGAATTTAAAGGAGGAACACTTCCTACTAATGGTGGAATATTGGCTTGCATTGGTGGCACTACTCCTAAAAATACAAATATAAAATAATTGTAAATGTTAGTTAAATAATCTTTTAGTAAATACCTGTAGGAATTATAGAACCACTGCTTGAAACTGCTCCTCCAATTAAATTTACAGCTTGAACACTACTTACTGGAGGGAGTGGACTCACAGTTCCTATGCCTGCATTTAGAGATGTATTTGGTATTATACCAGTTAGACCCTGAACTAAAGGTGGAGCTGTGGCATTAATTAGGGGTTGATGAACAGCAGCAGATGGAGTTTGATTTACCGATATCAATGGTTGGGTAACACCTATTAATGGATGTGTGGGAATAACAGGTTGACTTGTAGAAATAAGACTTTGATTATATGGCATATTTTGGGGTAGAGATGTTACTTGTGCTACCCTTGGAGGTTCAGGTCGAGCTGGTGGATGACTAATTAGAGCTGGATTAGGAAGTGGTGGAATTGCTGGTGGTGTTTGTGTAGCAAGAGATCCAAGAGATACTAAAAGGGAAGGAGGCAGTTCTTTAGGTACTTCAAAACCGCGGAGCTTCAGGTTTATAAGTTTACAAGCTATAGAAAATTCATTTATATCCATTTTACCATCAGCATCCATATCTGCAAGAGACCTAGAAATAACAAAAATGCAACTAGGGACATAATGTGCGATATAAGAACTGTTTATTTACCAAATTCGTCCTAATACTACAGGGGGCAACTGACTTTGTAGCAAGTACCCCTTCGCTTGATCTCCCGTAATAATTCCATTATTTGGTTTTAAAGATTTAAATTGCTCTTCATATCTTGCTCTTTCGCGAGCCTGAATAACCCAAGGGTCAGTTGAAGGTGTTCCAGCAGCTGACATTTTAGCTAATACAAGCAGGATTATTATAAATAATTTAAAATGGGCGTGTAGTCATTTCATTGTTTAAAAAATAACGAAACACTAAACTTTTACCTCCATTTATAATAATAAAATATTTCTTTAAATTTTTTATTTACAATTTTACTATTGCCCCTAAATCATAAATAATCAATACATTTATAATTTTTTTACCTTATGATTTTTTCACTTTTGTACTTAAGGAAGGTCTAAAAATTCATCTTAACTGAATGGATTATTAAATAAAATTACAAGTTACAAGTTTTCTGATAATTTGTCTTGAAAAATCCACCCCTTCCGGAATAGCTGGCACCTCTGGCTGGCACAATAAATTTACAAGTGAAAAATCAATAAACAAAATTTGATGTACAGTAGTTCCTATAGGACGTATACTTAAAGACCAAATTCCTTTAACATACTTTGACAACTCGCTGACATACTGACTGACAACTAGCAAGGAAGACTAGCCATATACGTATTGACTAGCAAGAGAAATAAAATAGCCTGTATTTAGTTGGGTTAGAACGTGGTTAGAATGAATAAAGAACATGAATCCATTGATGAATCCTAATAAAATCCTAAAAATCAAAGAAAGACAGAGATAATATAAAATAATTATGATTATTAGAAAACCAGAAAAACCGGGTTGTTCCGTAAGTTGCATAAAAACAATATAATTATTGATTTTCACAGTAGAAAACAGAAATAAACTTATTACTTTATAGGCCAGCTAACACAATTTAAAAAATGCCGGTCTATTTTTAACATTAAAATAAAAATCGAGTAGATCTCTATTGATGTTATTTCCATAACCACTTAAAAAGTCTCAAATTTATCTGTGATAAAGTGCATTGTAATTTGTAACATTACATTGGAGGAGGAGCTTAAAATCCATAACAAATCAAAAATAGGAATTTATCTGATGATTTGTTTATAGGGTATAAAACGTGTGTGTGATTACGCAGGGGTATGTATGCACTTTAATTTGAATAATAATAGTAATTTATTAGTTTTGTTCACATATAATAGAGCTTTATGATTTTAATAAAAAATGTACAGATTTTTTTAAAAAAATACAAAGTATATATTTTTTAAAATGTGTTAATTTTATGCTTAAATTTTAAACTGTATTAATGTGATAATTATAAATAAAAATATGCTTCAGGACAAATAAGTACAATCTGTTATATTCAAATGTTCTTTATTAACATGTATAAAAAACATTACATGTATTCTAAAAATATAACATATTTTTAATACAATTCTGTTTTGTACATTCTTAACACATTATTAGATTACATTCTAAAATTGAAAACTTCCTGCCTTAATGTTAACATCTTAATAGATGTTCTTTGTGACGACAAATATTTAAAAAGATAAGTGTTTCTCTTTTGGTCACTATCTATAGATAATTGGTTAGATAAGTCAACAATATATGGGCCTTCTAAATACAACTTATTTATTTTTTAGGTATTAACAAATATGAGTTATGATGATGTTATTCCCCTCCTAGGAGATTTTGGAAGTTACCAAAGAAAAATATATTTTTTATTATGCCTTCCTGCAATTTTATGTGCCTTTCACAAGTTAGGAAACGTTTTCTTAATAGCTGAACCGGAGTATAGGTAAGAATCTTAGATTTATAACTGAAAAAATATTATATCACTGCATCCAGCTAAAAAAAAGTCTTCCAGTAGAAATAATCAGATGAAAATTTAACACATAAAAAGTAACAAATTGATAAGATATATCAGTTTGTTATATTCTAAATTTAACTTCATTATCATGTTAAGCCATATGAGACTAATGTTATTAATTAATTAAATGTGGGGCGCACTTCACACGTTAACAAATACATTTGCATCATGTAAGCTCTTGTAAAAAGTTTCTTATGGTACAGTTGTTTTATTTCAAACCTAAAAAAATATAGATTAGATAGCATTGGAATATTTAAATAAATGAAATACTTATATCTATGTAGAACAGACTTGATTACATATATGGGTAACGACCTTTAGTAATAATAAACAAAAACGTTAAAAATATTAGAATTTTTAATAGTTTTTGTATTTAGTAAGTCTTTGTTACTTTGTAAGTTATTTTTATATATCCCTGATATATAAAAATAACTTACAAAGATATGTATGAAAACACTAATTATAATTTTTAGTTGACAATATGATAAACAATATTTAAGCCTGGCTGACACAGTCAAATTGTACTTGGACCAAGGCAACCAGATGCTGCCATATAAATGTAGATGTTGCGCGCGTCTCACTTTTACGCTGTTCGTATGGTAGCAACTTTTTTTTATCAAAATCAATTAGTCATGAGCGAGACTGGTCTTGGTTTTGCACAAAAAGCAAGATCAAGACTAGCGTTTTATCTGCAAGACCAAGACCGACCATGTAAGACTAACGCAAAACTAAAACCACCATGCAAGACTCTTGCGGCCTTGCATTTGTTATTTTCATCTAATTTTTCATAGATAATAATTTAACAAAAATTACGCAAAGTTTATTTACCTACACCTCGTCCATTTAATTTTTTTAAATAAGAGTAATTAAAAAAATGTTTCTTTGAAACTATTGCCAGCAAATATGTAATTTATGGTACAACAATAAGCCATATTCGTATAAAATATTTTTGTCTAAACATACCGAATTTTACACTATTAGTTATAGTTACATGTTTTTTGAATCATTCAAATAAATAAATATGATATAAAAAGTTGAAAAAAAGTTACTGGTTCAAAATTATTGTTTTAATTTATTGCAAATAGTGTTTTCACGACTTTGCAAAAAACAAAATAAAAAAGTAATGCTAATTGATATACAGGATGGTCCAAATTGTAATCACGAAACTTATAAACTGGAACTGGAACGGCAATATATTCTGCAGATATAAATAAGTATAAAAGTTCATTTTTATTTCGTTTTTTTTCCAAATATTTTCTGAACTAAGGTCGATATATAGATGAAAATTGGTATTTGGATATTTTTTGCATAAGAAGTTCGCTAGTGAATCGCAAATGGAAGAAGCGAGTGAGTCCTGGTCTTGTTCTTCCATTTGCAAATCACTACATCCAAGCAAGTTGGAAGCCAGCCTACTTACTTTGATGTTAAAAAGCCTTCCAACTGGACCAAGCAGCGTACAAGTGAGACGCGAGTATAGTAAACGCCACGAATGTTTGGGAGTGATTCATCGGTCGCTACCATGTGAACTAATCTTTCAAGGTCACATAAAACATAATTCCAGTGCCGCGGTGTTTCAAGTCATATATTAATCAATATATAATCTGTTGTAATTTGTTGTTTTAACTGTCAAAGTCTTGTCAAAACATATATTTGGTTATAAATATAAACTGGAATGCCCCATTGGTCGCACTGCAAGCACACCAATGGACTGACGCACAAAAACGAATCAATCAAAAAAACGCGATATAGTATCGTCTTTGTTAATCACGCTAACATTTTAGAATAAGTAGGAGGAGCGCAGGCAGATGATTAAACCGGGCCTTTAAAAACCTACGTCTGCGGTAAAAGTTTATGTTTTTAATGTAAAAAATGATAGCGCGCGTGTCGATTCTAACTTCATCAAGCGATGAATCACTCCCAAACATTCGTGGCGTTTACTATAGCATTATTATAAGTACAATTATATGGCAGTATCCAAGTGTCCTTGGTCCAAGTACACTTTGACCATGTCATACTGCCGTTATAGGATACATATACAAGAATCTATTACAACTGTCAAACTCAAAGACTGATTGATTGATATTGATTGATACCCTATATTGAATTGAAATATGTATAATTTAATTTCTCAATATTACCCTGCTTTATCAAACAGTTGCCGTGCTCCCTCTTGACACTCAGTCATAGCTAAATCTACATGATTAAATTTGTTATTTTTACACCATTCCTGAACTACTTTTGTGAGATTTAAAGCTACACCTTTTCTTCTATACCTGTAAATGAGAAAATATTTTTATAGCGCCAGGGACTTGGGGACTTTATAGGGACTTGAAACAAAGTCTGTCCAATGAGAAAATTGAACAAAATGAACAATGACAGTGACAGTTATTCTCGATTAAAGAAGGTATAGATAAGGAGAATTATCCTCGTGTATTGAAAAGTGGTCATCAAACAGAAAACACTTGTTGGCAATGATGGCGCTGTTGGTAGCAAAAGTGCTACATTTGAAAAAAGCGCCAAAATTTTTTAAAATAGAAAATAATTAAATTGAGATATATATGCGATTTCTGAAGGTACGTCTTGCCGCTCTTTTGACTAACTTCACTTTGTTTATAACCGCTGTTCTAAAGTTCAGTTCGGTCCCTTATTGCTTATGTCAGTTTTGGTTTAGCGCCACTGTGGTAATTTAGTGAACCCTTATTCTTTCCATTTTGGTGACCACTTTTTGGCGACCCCTTCAAGAAATGAAGGGTCCAGGGGAAAAACATGATAAGCGTTATTTTACTAATTTTACAGGAGAGCACTGGACGGTTGGTGGTTATCAGGTTCTTTCCGTGTATTCTATACATTTTGTGGGGATCAGTTAGACCTACTATAATATTGTAAAATCCTAAAATTATGAAATTGGCGCTAATCAAGTTTTTCCCCTGGACCCTTCAAATGTTTCTCCTTACCTCTACCCTCCATATTCCCAATTACTTTAGCGCAAAGGCAACTTGTAGTTTCTGTCATTTTTGTCGTCTGTCAAAATCTTCTCTGGCTTATTGTACAAACTTTACATAAATGTTATATTGTTATATACCTTTTGTCAACTGCTAATCTAAACATCCAGGCCCAGTCTGGTTGATGTAAATGCCGCATAACTGCTACAGTACCAATTATCTAAAATCACATTTTTACACTTCAGACAGTTTGATTTTTCTCACACATATTATTAATGTAAAAAATTATAATTTAATTTGTTTAATGCTATGGCCGCAATTACTTGTTTAGTTAGGAATACCGGGTGCGTCTCAAAAGTGGCTCACCCCTATAACTTTTTTATTTTTTCAGATAAAAAAACGGGATTTGGTATGTTAGTATATGACATTAATTAGGATTGATTGGCGTATTCAGTTGTTTTCGGTCACTTTCTGTTTCACCGGAAATCTAATGTTTTTAATGTCTTGTCGTGGCCGGTGAAAAGATGCCCAAATCATATTTTTAATCATATCTCAATTTTTTCAAATAGAACGAGGGTGACTCACTAGCATATTTGGGAAAAGCATTTTTTACGAATAATTTGATACCACACACTTGGTATTTCGAGCCAAATTGTCGCATGTTACAATTTCAAATAAACCATATGCGAAAATGTCAAAAGTTAATATGTCATTCTATTCAGAGCGTCATTTTCTATCAAACGAAGTAAAAAAACCGGGGGTGCCATTTAAAAATCCAAAGTTGTAGTCATTTCCGGTGAAACAGGAAGAAGTGACCGAACACAATTAAATACGTCAATCGATCCTAATTTAGGTCATATACTAACATACCAAATCTCGTTTCTCTTTTTCTGAAAAAAGTAAAAAAGTTATAGAGGTGAGCCACTTTTGAGACGCACCCGGTATTCTGCAAGTATCAGAATCAAAATTTAATTATCTATCAAACTGTATAACACCATTGTTTTAATTTTTAAAAACCTCTCTTCAGATTTTAGTAGAAAATGCAAGTTTTTATAATTCACACTTTATTTATTCCTGCCCAAAAATGCTTTGAATATTTGTATCCATTAATAATTCTATTATTATAGGTTGATCCTAAATAATAAAAATTAAAAAAATTATTTTTGCACGTGCGTATTGGACAGTGTGGTAATAATAAAGAACACGATGTTCACCACATATATCATAGTATGATCGGCAAAAAACGTTGTCCAGATGGCTTGGAAATGAACATCGATGACATTTCCCATATAAAATGAGAGCGATCTTCATTTCATAGCCATCGCTGACTCCGTTTTTTTTTCAATCATATTGTATATGACGCTCACAAACATAACTATTAATATTCTGATTTATGATTCAAATCCACATTTATCTAGAACAATTTATTATCAACAAAATAATGGGGCTATATTTAACTTGTACTATTTTACAAATATGTATAATATTTTTCTATTTTTAACAAATGAGCTAACAATATCAGCAATATTAGCACTTTTTATTTTTTTTATAGTTGTTACCTAAAATATTTGGCTTAAAAAATAATATTTAAAACTTGCATGGGTACATTGATAAAATTAATCATTAACAAACTACAAATTATAAAAATATGCATTTTTTACAAAAAACTTAACAGGTAGCTAAAATTGTGTCATACAATTTAATACGTGATTATTTTTTTTACCTGATGTATAGGGAGTTCTGTTATATTATATTATTTATAAAAAGTTATTGTCATTTAAAGCCAGAATTTATTTAAAATTAAAAGACAAAGAAAAGCATAAAGTGTTTAATTATTTCAAAAACGGTAAAATTTAAGTGAATTAAACCTTAATTAAAATTACCTTTATTTTAATGAAATATTTATAATTAGAGGATGATATTATTATTAAAAAATTGTATTATTTGGGTCACTCTATACTTGAAATAATTTTAAGTTGTGGCTCTAGTAGTCCTTCAACGACCCCAAATAATCAGCGGTGCGATTCTGTAAACATATTTCCTGTCTAGTGACTCATCAATCATATATAAATAACATAGGCTAGGCAAGAAATTTCTTGTTACGGAGCTTACAGAATCCCACTGCAGATTCTCATTATTTATTCAGCTACAATATTGAATAGATCCAAAAACAAACCTACACTCACTAGTTAAATCATATTATAATACATATTTATCAGTAATTTATTTAATTTTATTATTGAGTCAATGAAAGTGACGATTGCAGAAGAATTTAACGCACAATTAGTAGCACAATTTTATTATTTTGAAAAATATTTATAATTAATCCTTGAAAAAAAAGCTATATAATACTGATGACTACAAAATACTGATAACGTGTTTATAAATAGTTACTCAATAGTTTGTATTACAAGTATTAAACACATTAAAGAACAGAATGCTAAGAAAAATTGAATTGCTATATTCCTTTCTTGCATTTACACAAGTGTCTTGTCAGTGTTTTGATGATGTAAAGTTTTCAATTACTAAAAATGACATAAAAATAACAGTACTGAAAGCTGACACAGTTAATGATGAAAGATTGGCTACAGAGATTTTTGCCGAAAATGAGCATATTCCAGTCCTTCAAACTGGATGTTTTAAAGGATTACCCAAATTAAAGTATATTGGTCTATATAACTGTGGATTGAAACAGATAGAGAAGTGTGCTTTCTTAAATTTACCCAGTGCAAAAATAATATCATTGAACTTTAACAACCTCAAAGTGATAGAAAATGGAGTTTTTCATTCATTAGAGATAGTTAAGTTGTCATTAATTGGAAATGGAATTCAAGACATCAAAGAACATGCATTTTATAATTTGACATACTTAGAATCTCTCGACTTAAGTAGGAATAATTTAATTACACTGAAGCCAAATATTTTCTACATAACTCAAAACATACAAAGAATAAATTTCAGTGGTAATAAATTAGTGTATATTGAAGATAACTTTTTTTCATCATGTTTTATATCACCTGTTGATATTATTATAAATTCATTTATAGATTTAAGCTATAACAATTTAACTTCTATAGAAAAAAATACCTTTCAAGGACTAAAATATATTGACTATATATTGTTAAACAATAATAATATTGTAAACATACATCCTGCTGCATTTAGATCTATAGTACAAGGTAAAATGTTAAATTTACAAAACAACAATATCAATGAAATACCAACTAAGGTAAAATACTCAGGATTTAATGAAGTTCTATTTGATGAAGATAAACCAGAAGATATCTTTGAAAAGGAAATCACGAAAGAATTTACACAGAAGTAACAATTTTCTCTGCTAATTAAATTGAGAATGTTAGTACATTGTTTTAAATAAAATAATAAAATATTATATAGGGCAGTCAAAAATTTTATGGCTAAGTAGGCTTTAGATCATGAAAAATATACAATTCTTAAAGTAAATTGTATTAAAATTTGTTTAACAATCAAGGTCCAAAGCTAGCTTGATCATAAAAGCTTTTTCTTTATATGTAACCTACGAGATCCATTATACAGTACGTCTGTCCGTTCTGTAGCTATGGGGTGTCCATGAGAGTGGAAACAATATTCTCTCGATGTTTTTCGTAAAAAATTAGACGACGCGTTCCATCAATAAAAATGCGACAAATTTGCAAGTAGCCAATAAAATGAGTGGGCGGAGCGATTTGCGGTGACGTACTCGTCAAGTCGACGTATAAAATATATTGCAGTTTATTTAAATGGTTTTTGTCCACATTCCTTTCATAGACACAGATCCAGCAGACGTACTTTACTTACCCTTTTTCTACCATCAGGCTTTATATCTATGTTCTCTATTTCTTCTTCCTTTATAATTTTGTACCAGCAGTTATTAGGATCTTTTGTAAAAAAGTAGGGTTCATATGCCTCAGCAACCCAAGCTTTTAATGGCTTTTTCTCGTACATTAACTGAGCCGATTTCATTGTCATGGCCCCAAATATAATTATATACATTAACAATAATACTAGGGGTAAAGTAAAAATGCAATAGATCAACTTTACATGGAAAAATATAAATAATATCGCTGAGAACAGAATCGTTATCTGGAATGTGGCCTAGAATATTTTATATTGAAAACAATAGTAAAAATATATTTATTCTACTTACTTCATTGAATAGTGCAACATAAAAGGCATTCAATATGTTAGAATTATAGGCATTTCTTACTAATTCAGATACTCTCGGGATATCAGTATTTTTTTGTTCTCTAATAATAATATAATACATATTTACACCATTTAAATGCATAGGATTTTGTAATAATTTCATGTTTTTATTTTTAATTGTTTTTTGAGGTTAGGTTATATTAATCATGTGTTTAACTAGTTGCAGAACTAGTAGGCGGTATTTTATTTATTTATGAAATATTTCTTTAGTTGATTCTGGTGATACCTATTTTGTATATTACAGCAGATTACAGGGTGACCTTAAATGTTTTTCTACATCTAAAGGCCTACCATTTGAAATTTTCACTTGTCTTTTTATAAAATTTGCATACATTTTATATATTTTTATACAAATGTTATATTTTTTAAATCGAATAGGCTGCATGTATATTCTTTTCAGTAAATTTGCCATAAAATTATCACTTCAGAAATACCATGGCAAGCATATTTATGAAATGCTTATTAAATATTTTTCATTTTATACTAAATATTCGGCACATTTACACTACTGTCTCAAATTTATAAAATAACATTTTTGTTTTGTATGAGTGCAAATTTCATATGTTTTTTTTTCCGCTATTAGTTTTTAAATAAAATACCGTATGATCGAAGAAAACGGCGTCCAGTTGGCTTGGAAATGAGGATCGATGATATTCTCCATATAATTTTACATGTAAAATGACAGCGATCTTCATTTCATAGCCATCGCTGACGCCGTTTTTGTAGGCGTAGTAGTAGGTCTTTGTCACTAAAAATAACATACCTGCAGCCACCCAGTGTTACACAGGGTGTTTCAATTGGCAATATCATAGATATATCTATGATATTTCATAGATATGTCTATGATAGATTGAAAAAATGTATATAATCAGATTTGGAAAGAACACTGTTATATAAATATGTCTTTAAAAAAAGTATTCGCTATTTTATTATAGGAATGCAGCTCTGTACCTTTTTACTCTCAATGATTGACGTTGTAAATGGGCCACCCTGTATATAATGTACTGTGTGTAAAATTTAAATTGTTCCTTAATAATACGATTTTTTAGATGTAAATTGCCAAACGAGTTATTGAACGCTAGTTACCATCTTAATAAAACAGAACTAGAAAACTGGTATCCGTACAATGATTTGAATCAAAAATTTTCAAATTGCAAAATAAAAATTAACAACGAATCTCAGCCTTGTCAGGAGTATATCTATAATTTAGATATGTATGGATACACGTCTGTTATAGAGGTAAAATACAGTTTAGTTTATTTGTACAATGTAATAAACATTTTTATAATGTTTTTTTTTATTTTTAGTGGACATTAACTTGTGATAGAGCATATTTAATTGCTATTGGTAACTCATTATTTATGTTTGGTGTGATGGTAGGATCAATAGGATTTGGAGAATTATCTGATAGGTATGTAACATCTTTCTCCCTCGGTTTTGAATAAAATATATCATACAATTTGCACAAGAATTGTACAAGCAGATCGCTTATATTTTATGTGTAAAATTATATGGGAAATGCCATCGATCGTCAATTCCAGGCTAACTTGACGCTGTTTTTTTTTCGATTATACGGTATATTTTTTAATATCTAAGTATAAGAAAAGTATCTTAGATCAGTGATTTGCAAAGATTTTTTGTCATTATTCTCTTTATTTTGCTTATACAGAGCCGGCAAGATCTGGCTTTGAGTGCCTATTTTCGTGTGTACGATTAGCACACTCAATACGCTCACTACATTAAGATGTATATAGACGATTAATATTAATTATATTGCATGTCAGCGCCTAGCCTAAAATAATTTGTGAAAAACATATTAAAAGAATAATTAAAATCATATAGACACAGTTATTTATTTTGTTATAGATGGGGAAGAAAGAAAACGTTCTTTTTATCACTGGTAACACAAGTTGTGTTTGGAATAATAGCGGCTTTTGCCCCAGAGTTTTGGACTTTTACAATAGCTAGAGCTGTGGTAGGAGCTACTACATCTGGAGTATTTTTAGTTGCTTATGTAATTGGTATATTACGAAAAAGCTATATTTTGTTCCATCAAATAATCTAATATATCTTCAGGTTTAGAAATGGTAGGACCTACAAAACGACCTATTGCTGGAACCGTATGTCATATGTTTTTCTCTTTAGGATACATGGCCACGGCTTTTTTTGCCATTAATATTACAGACTGGCGAACATTACAGTTTGCATTAACGATTCCTGGTCTTGTATTTTTGACATATTGGTGGTAAGGTAAAATATATTGCTGTTTTTTTATATTTTAAGATATTTTTATAATTTTTGTAAGGATCATACCTGAATCAGCTAGATGGCTGATAAGCAAAAATAAATTTCAAGAAGCTAAAAAACTGATACAATCCGCGGCAAAATCAAATAAAGTTACCATATCCGATGATACGTTGGATAGACTTTTACAAAGTAAAGAGGAAAAGCCGAATCCAGATGAAAAAGTGCCAAGCACGTTAGATATTTTTAAGTATCCTAACTTGAGAAAAAGAACTCTGATAATATTATTTGATTGGTAAAAAGTACTTTATGGACACCCAGAAAAAAATTACTTATAACAAATTTTTAGGTTTGCCAATAACATAACTTATTATGGTTTATCCTGGAATACAAATAACTTAGCAGGAAATCCTTATCTCAATTTTGTAATATCTGGTGCAGTTGAAATTCCGGCTTATATTTTTTTAATCCTAACTTTGAATAGATGGGGCAGAAAGAAAATTATGTGTGGCTGTATGATTGTTGCAGGAATAGCTTTACTTTTAACCATGATTATTCCAAAAGGTATATGTTATAGTCTGTTCAACGAGAGGGCAGTGGAGGTTGGTCCTTTTAATTCAGAGGCAAATTGTATTTTCTGTCATTATCTGTATGTCGTCTGTCGAAATCTTTCCTGATTCATTGAACAAACTTTACAGTGTTAATTGATATACCGGGTGCGTCTCAAAAGTGGCTCACCCCTATAACTTTTTTATTTTTTCAGTTAAAAAAGAGATTTGGTATGTTAGTATATGACATAAATTAGGATTGATTGACGTATTCAATTGTTTTAGGTCACCGGAAATGACTACAACTTTTGATTTTTAAATGGCACTCTCGGTATTTTTTTACTTTATTCGATAGAAAATAACACTCTGAATTGAATGACATGTCATATGTCAACTATTGACATTTTCGCATATTATGGTTTATTTGAAATAATAACTTGCGGTTCGTAACGAAAGTTTGACTCGAAATACCAAGTGTGTGGTATCAAATTATTCGTAAAAAAAATCTTTTTCCAAATATGCTAATGAGCCACCCTCGTTCCATTTGAAAAAATTGAGATATGATTAAAAATACGATTTGAGCATTTTTAACTGGTCAGGACAAGAAAAAAACATTAGACGATCAAATATATTTTTCTAAGGCTCCTTGATTAAGAATTAGTGTTTTTACATAGCCATGGCACTCTAGGTTGAATTTTAAAATACTATTTTTTATTAAGCGAGAATGTGAAAAGTCGACATGTGATATGTTCTATCGATTAAAGTAAAAAAATACCGAGGATGCCATTTAAAAATCAAAAGTTGTAGTCATATCCGGTGAAACAGGACGTGACAAATGACAATTGAATACGTCAATCCATCCTAATTTATGTCATATACCAACATACCAATTCTCGTTTGTTTATCTGAATAAATAAAAAAGTTATAGGGGTGAACCACTTTTTAGACGCACCCGGTATATTACTAATATATTCAATTATACATTACGTTGTAGATCTGCAGTGGTTAATTGTAACAATGGCAATGATTGGAAAACTTTCAATAACAGCAAGTTACGGAGCTGTTTACATTTTTTCTATTGAACAGTTTCCAACAGTGATCAGAAATGCAGGGCTTGGTGCCGGATCTACTTGCGCTCGTATTGGATCCATTTCAGCTCCATATATTAACATTATGGTAAGCATAATATAGTTTAACATCCTATTATGAAATGTTATAATTGGAAAATTGAACACCCTCATCCCTCATAAAATTAGTATTATTTTTTGCTAAAATGTGTGAAAATATATGCATTAAAAATGGCAATGGTATATAAACAGGGGCGGATGTACAGGGTGGGTCAAATTCGACGCTTTTAAATGGAAACACCTTTTTTTATAGGAGATAGACAAAAACTAATGTCGGTGTCTGGAGCTAAATTTTTGTCAAAAACATGATGCTGAAAACCGCATCTCGATATCTGTTACCGTTTCGGAGTTACGGGGTGTTTTTCAAAAATATGCATTTTTTACAAATCGCTGTAACTTTTTTGCTATGGAAAGTTTTGTATTTTTATGAAAACATTTCCAAAGCACCTTTTTATGTAGAATTTAATGGTTTAAGTATAACTTTTTTAAAATTAATAATTTAAGAATTATCAACAGAAAATTTGATTTTTTATATGGGACACCCTGTATATTTTTAATTTATTGAAAAGAATTTAAAATTACCTTTCCAAAAATATAACATACTTAATATTTTGCTCGATTCCTCTTTGAAATATAGAGTATATAAAAATTCGCCCGCTTTAAATAAGTAGGCTTTGAACGGCACCGGCTGTAATGCAAAAAAATCTAGCTGTGAGCATCAATTAAAACGAAAATAATACTTGCTATGAGAGATGCAGAATTTTATAACAATTTAAAATATATTTAACCAGCATCAACACATTTAAACTATATCTAATAACAATGAAAATAAATAGCAAACCAAGACATGAGATTTTGCGACAGGTGTTCGACATATCGACCGTCTTCTGTTATGGACAGACGGGGCAGTTTTTGAACATTTCTTGCGGAATTCATTAACTCAGTAGGGGTAAAAGATACCCTCTCATAACTGCTAAGTATTTCTAATTCTTGTCTAGATTATACGGAAGAATAAGGAACCTTTATTCTTCCGCAAATATATCCATAGGATTAGATCCATGGGCACTATGTCAGGCGGCCTCGACGGCCAACGGCTGGGATATTGGTTAGGTATTCAATTATTATTGAAATTGGCTGCAAAAATTTGCTGATAACTTCAACGTTCAGAGGCGGTGCGTCGCGCGTCGTCTTGCTGGAAAAATATGTTTTCAAGTTCCATTAAGGGCATATCATCAATAAGGGGTCCAAAGCCTACTAGTTAAAGGTGGCGAACTTTTAAAAGAAAATTCTGTATTTCGAAGGGGATTATAAGAAAATATCAAGTGTGCTATATTTTTGGAAAGGTAATTTTAAATTATTTTCAGTTAATTATAAATATAGGGGGTGTCCCAAATAAAAAATCAATTTTTCTGTTGATAACTCTTAAATTATTAATTTTACGTAAACCATTAAATTCTACGTAAAAAGGTGCTTTGGAAATGTTTTCATAGAAATACAAAATTTTCCATGGCAAAAGAGTTACAGCGATTTGTTAAAAATGCATATTTTTGAAAAACACGCCGTAACTCCGAAATGGTAACAGATATTGATGTGCGGTTTTCACCATTATGTTTTTGATGAAAATTGAGCTTCAGACACCGATATTAGTTTTCGTCTATCTCCTATAGAAAATGGTGTTTCCATTTAAAAGCGTCGAATTTGACCCACCCTGTACAAGAGGTCCTGAGATCCCAAGCTCTTTTTACTTTTTCTATAATTGATTAGGAGCCTGTAAAAAAATGCTTTATAAATTGGTTTTGTGCGAATTAATTTAGTAAACCCACTTTTTGTTTTATGCAATCCAAAGTTTTATACAACTTCTCTGAACATTTCGTAATTGTTTCTATACACTTTTATACAACTTAATAGATAAAAATTTCTCTAAAAATCGCCCCTATTGATTTTTAAAATAGCAAGTGACAATAGTAAGTGTTGATTATTTCGCCATTAATTAATTAATTTAATTTATACTCTGGTAACTATGATAATATCATAAGGAGGAATATTTTATATTAAAACAATAATAACTAATAACCCTAACACATCTTGGATCGCTTGGATCTTCATTCTGTGATATCAAGAGTATTTTTTTTATAGACTCATATATGGCAACCACTACCTCTATTAATATTTGGATCTTTAGCTCTTATTGGAGGTATCATGTCTTTAGTTTTACCAGAAACTTTGAATAGAAAATTACCTGAAACAATGGAAGAAGGGGAAAATTTTGGAAAGTAAATAAAAAGTTACTTTTATTTTAAAAAAAATATTAAGTCATGTTTATTTCTAAACAGGAAATCAGTGAGTTCAAATGCACAGGAGGAAAGTGCACTGGATAATGGACAGCTAACTCTGACAGAAAGCAAACCCGGTGATCCTGATAATAACGATACTCAAATAAGTTTACTTCCAGACGATAAAGATTCTCATAATGAATGATTAATTCATTTACAAGGACTGTGTGATTTTTGTATCTTTTTATAGTCATATTTTACTTTACTTTATATTTGTGTATTTATAGTCATTCAGATGTACCTACTCAATGTATTTCTGTATACTTACAGAATGCCAGTTTCACAAATCCACCATAATACACCAAAACATGTAATAAAGCCTGTCTAACGAGAGGATAAATAACAGTTATAGTTGTTTGTCATTTTGCTTCACAGGTAAATGGTATTTTCTGTCATTTTTGGGGATCATCTATCGAAATCTTCCCTGTTTCGTAAGGTAGAATATAACAGTTGAGGGTTGGAACCTTTGGTGTTACACAGCAAAAGTGGTGACACCTGTCAGTGGTGATTGTGTTTTATTTTGCGGGGTAGAATATAGTTATAGATAGAGTTAGGGACGAACTTTTTGCCAACCATATTAGCAAAATCAGCGGCATTATCATTAGCTGATGATTTAAACGCAGTTCAATCAAATCATCTGCTGCTAATTCTAACACACAACCCGATTTTAAACAATTATTGTTTTGATATATTATGTTAGATTTGTGTGACTTTTTATTGTCAAACCAAAGTTATTATTCCGACTTAAACTGTACTTTTAGGTTGATACAGTTTGAGAAACGGATCTGAAGCGACGGGACAATAATAAATGGAACGCAGTTTTTTAAAAACATGGTCGATTTCATTCATAAAATATCCAGGGGACAGCGGTGTTTTATGAAATTGTATATCAGGAATTTCTATAATATTTTTCAGTAAACTTTAAAATATTTTTTACATTATAATTTTTTTCTATATTTTCTTTAATGATTTTCTAAATCTAAATATAGTAATAAATGTTAAAAAGCGTGTACTAATTATAATATGCGCAAATCAAGTTAAAGGTGTAAAATACAATACAATATCACTGCCACTGAATATTTCAGTACTAGTCAATATTTACACTATTTTCATGGAGGTGCAGAAAACTGGTGGTAGCACTAATCAACAGGAAGATGTTTTACGCATGGCTACCACCGTGCAACAAAACGTGCGAGAATCTGCACCAATCAGATTGGTTATGTTCCGGATGCTGTGATGATATATAATATATATATATATATATATATATATATATATATATATATATATATATATATATATATATATATATATATATATATATTATATATATATATATAATATTTACTTTTTATAATACGCAGAATGAAGGAATCAGTTATAAATCTAAGAAGAACTACGTTAAAGTACTTAGCATTGAACCAAAATTATGCTTGTGTATTGTTAAATTTGACATCATTTTTTTGCCCGTATTTCTTTTGCTGTTTCAGAACCGTTTGTCAGATAATATACTATCTTCCTTGATTTACAAATAAAAGTAAAATTAGGAAAAGACTGATAATATAGGCAGCTACTAATGTCAAACCCTGAACTATTTTTGTCTCCATTTTCTAGGTTGAATTCTAAACACATTTATACAATATTTTTACTGTTTGGTTATTTTTACTATTTAAGTTTTAGATTTTTACAATTATTTTGGATATTTACAGAACTAGAAATGGAGCCCGGATAACTATCCTATATACCGGGTGCCTTTCAATAGTGGGGCTCACCCCCTATAACTTTTTTATTTTTTCAGATAAATAAAACGAGATTTGGTATATTAGTATGAGATAAATTAGGATTGATTGACATATTCAATTCTTTTTGGTCACTTCCTGTTTCATCGGAAATTACTACAACTTTTGATTTTTAAATGGCACCCTCGGGATCTTTTATTCAATAGAAAATGAATAGAATGACGTATTATATGTCAATTTTCGACATATCGCTTATAAAAACATTGTATTTTAAATTTCAGTCTAGAATGACTAGCTTGTGTTAAAAACACTATTTTTAATCAAGCAGCCTTGGAAAAATAGATTTAATCGTCTAATGTTCTTAGTGTCTTGTCCTGGCCGTTAGGTGGCTCATTAGCATATTTGAAAAGGGATTTTTTTGCGAATGATTTGGCATCACATACTTGGTATTTCGAGTCAACTTGTTGTTATGAATCGCATGTTGCAATTTCAAATAAACCATATGCGAAAATGTCAAAAGTTGTCATATGATATGTCATTCTATTCAGAGTGTCCTGTGAGGATTTCTATTGCATTATGTAAAAAAAATATCAAGAGTGCCATTTAAAAATCAAAAGTTGTAGTAATTTCCGGTGAAAAAAGAAGTGACCGAAAACAATTGAATACGTCAATCAATCCTAATTTATGTCATATACTAACATACTAAATCTCGTTTTTTTATTTGAAAAAAATAAAAAAGTTATTGGGATGAGCCACTTTTCAGACACACCCAGTATAGAAATATGTATAGATAACTATCAAATATACGTTTCATTTTTAAAAATCTGTTAACTAGGAAATATCTTAAAAAAATAAGCCAGTTTTTAATTAAGATATTTATGCAGCTACATTTTATGAATAAGTTAAATGAAATCATACCATAAAAGAATTTTGTTGAATCGAAATTTAAGTTTAATTTGTTTTTATACAGGTTGTTAATTTGTTTATTACTCGCGGCAAGAACTTTATGGTTGAGATATGGCAACCTCGGCCCGCTTGTCGATAGACGACGCGACGGGACGAGTCGGCAGAAGTGCATGCGTTCTTAATAGGCAGCGTTGCCATTCTGTTCCCCTATAAGTAACTGTCCAGTTAACAACCTGTATAAAATTAAAACGGAATATAGATTATTATTACAGGAAAAATCTCGAACAGAAAACGTGATATGAAGTTTTTTTATTTGGAATATATAGATTTGTCTTCTGTATAGTTTTCAATTTGAACATAGTATATTGAAAATGTTACTTCGTTAAGTGTAATACATATACGATTTTTTTATGAAATCATATAAATATCGAGGTACCTGCTTAACTAAGTATCTAATTTATTGGTCTTAACTAGTCATGATTGTCGGTGTAAAAAACTCTAGGAATGTAATTAAAAAATTAAATATAAAAGTTATAGGGACGGTTAGGATACACATTTTAAAATTATTATAGAGTATACAGGGTGCTTCAAAAAAGTGTGACTAATATAACATATGTTTTTTTAAATGGAATACCCTATTTTTTATTTTATTTTTAGATTCTGCGTAAAATTCCATAACTGTTTTGTATATAATGTTATATACCTAAAATTAATAGTTTCTGTAATATTTAAATTTGTTTAAACAAATGTTAGATTGCAGTGTGATAAAAAATTGTCAGTAATGGCATTGTTTCTGAAGTTGGAGAACCAAAATTTGGTAGGAGAATTTAATAGCGATATAGAAAAAGACCTATGTAAAGATATTTTAGTTAGATGCTACAGGATGTTCAGAATATATTTATGAATTTCGACTACTTAAAATTGAGAAATTTCAAATTTTTTAAATGGTACACCCTATATATTATGCCATTTTTTCTGATAGATTTTACAAAACTCTTCAACTTTTGTTAACTATGTCATATACTTATTTTTAATAGTTTGCGATTTATTCTAATTTTTTTCTGCTTTTGCCCATATTTTTATTACAATTACGCTATAACATCATAGTTGCCATGACAAAAAATAATAATTATCAAAATTTGTTGTCTGTTAAGCAAGTTAAGAACAAAATTTGAATTTTAGTTTAATATGTTGTAATAAGTATAAATTGTAGAGATATATAGTTACAGATTATCCTGAAATGTGACTGATATACACGAACAAGCCAAGAAAAACATATTTTCTGGTCCAGTACTAAGGGTACTATATATTATATAGGGCTTTGCTAAGTAGTATAAGAATAGATGTAGATTATCTAGAAAATATCTTCAGTGTGTAATGGGACGGTTTCACGGCAGTATTAATATTGGCTTTACCAAATGAATTATAAACTAGAGTTACTACGAGAAAAAAACTTTACTGTATGTCGAAAAAAATTGCTATATTAGTAGTCTTCAACAATTAGATAATCTAGTATTACGTTAATCTGTGGCTATTCGCCCCGACGCGCGACGGAAAATCCAAGTGTCCTCTTTCATAATATGGAAATACACCAAGAAATTCACGACTGCGGTTTTAGTTTATTTGAGTAAAGTTAATTAACTTTAACTAATACCAGCAATTGTAACTAATTATTAAGCTACTTGTTAAGGATAAGTAATAAATTGTTTTGTCATGGCAAGTATGATTTTATAGGGTAACTGTATTAAAAATATGGGAAAAAATGGAAAAAATTGGAGTAAATCGCAAACTATTAAAAATAGGTATATGACATACTTAATAAAAGTTGAAGAGTTTTGTAAAATCTATCAGAAAAAATGATAATATATAGGGTATCCCATTTAAAAAATTTGAGATTTTTTAATTTTAAGTAGTTGAAATTCACGTAACGTAAAAGTAACGTAAAACAGTTTTTATTTGTTTTATCTAAAGTATGGAGGCTAGAAGCCTCTAGCCTCCATAATCTAAAGTATGTTTAGAATCCAATGTAGCACCCAAAACTGAGGTAATATATTTGGTATACACGAAAATTCTCAGTTATTTTAGTTGATTACCTTCTATGGACTTCCAAATTGCTAATTTTATTTACCTAGTTGAAGCTTTTAATATTATTTTGTATTTTATATTAATTTTTATATAGCTTTAATAAAATAATTGAAGGGCGAGGGAAAAAGCAACGAGGCGCACTTTATAGGAATTTTTAAGTAATCAATCTGTTGAGAATGCCAAGTCCCAAACATATGTTATACAGTACGTCTGCTGGATCTGTGTCTATGAAAGGAATGCGGACAAAAAACATTTAAATAAACAGCAATATATTTTATACGTCGACTTGACGAGTACGTCACCGGAAATCGCTCCGCCCACTCATTTTATTGGCTACTTGCAAATTTGTCGAATTTTTATTGATGGGACGCGTCGTCTTATTTTTTACGAAAAACATCGAGAGAATATCGTTTCCCCTCTCACGGATACCTCGTAGCAACAGAACGGACAAACGTACTGTAAATTATTGTAATTCAATGTAACAAACGATATCCAAATAATAACGCATACGGTGATAAATTTGATGTACCTTCATGATTTTTGGCAACATTAAATCAGTTTTTCTGTAAAAGTCAGTTTTGTGATTATAAAAGTATAAAAAAGTGTACCATTTTATAACTTTTCTGCTGAACGAGAGGATCCTTGACAGTGACTGTTGCGCTTTCATTTTAATTCACAATTGCAAAATTATAAAATTGATTTATCTGTAATTTTTTTATGTCTGTCGAAATTTCCCTCACTTGTACCTGTTTGTTTCATAGCAAATTGATCTGCATTTTAACTCTTTATATAGGCAAAACAATGTCTAGCCGTCACTACAATGTGGGCTTTAAATATTAAAGATACATTATAGATAATAGATATATTATTTTCTTAATAATTTAATCTTAATATTTGATAAAAAAAATTCTTTAAGCACTGCTTATGGTAATTTTATCTTTAATTTTCTCATGTATAAACTACCCATTTATCAATTTACTGTCGCAAGTTCATTTGCATTTTACAAAAGAGTACTTACTAAAAGTACATTAAATTCAATTACGTCTTTTTTTAATCTGACCTTCATATTTATCATGACAATGAAAATGTTTTGGAACGTGTCGGAGAAAAGATCTTTCCAGATTGCAGATAAAACAGCAGTAGCGTCGTTGATCCTAGATCTAAATAATACCAAAAAATACTACAAACACAACTACAAATAATGAGGTTTGGACCTAAGGTTTGGACTGTGGTATCACAGATTAGGTTTACTATAATGTATACAGATAAAAATCTTGTCCCTAACTGTGGTGGTATAGACTTGTATTAATATTTTTGTAGTAACGACAAATATGTGTAATAATTATATTTTTTTCCTATTTTCCAAACTACTATTTTTTTTTAGTTTTAAAATAACCAATCGCTTTTTATCAACCTGTTTAAAAAAAATAGGTGAAATATTATTTATTTTTATTTGCCTATTGTCATTATGCACCGCCAATGTAATCAAATTTATAATTTTTGATAATAAAATGCTTTTGTTTATGTTATAGGCATCAATCATTTTTGAAAGAATAAACTTTTCAGGAAGAAAATGCATTTTTTTAACTAGGTAGATAAAGTATTCAAATCACATTCAAATTTTAAATAGCCCATTGTATAACGAGACTTTCGATATTTTGTCCTTGTTTAACTAGCGTGTTAAATAGGAGAGATAGAAAGAAATTCGTGTCCTAAATATTCATTGATTTCCTTCTACTCCTTCGATCACATGAAGTCCAAAGTCCAAAAACCATCCAATCACATGTAGGCATCATTTAACACTCCATATATTTTGCAACGTTGTCAGTTCTTGAAAAAAATTCAATGCTGAAAATTAATATTAGAAAAAATACGTTTTAAAAATCACTTTCTTGTTTATTAAATATCTGGTTTCTTGTCATATTAATATACATTTTTAAGTTATTCTATAAGGAGCTACAACAAAGTTTATTCTAATTGATATTATAAAACTGTGGAAATTAAATTTTTATTCTATATCAGTACGGCAACATTGTAAACATATTCTAGGTTATGTTAGCGGTTGCAACTTCGACCCATTTTTCCATATTCGAATTTAAAATAACTTTTTAAGACAACGTTTTCCAAAGCCAACTTTTTATTTAATAAAAAAACTGTATAAACAGTAACCATGAAAAAATAAGCCTACTTTATTTCATGAAATCAGTACCTGGTGTGTAGTCTCGAAGATTTTATTCATATGAAGACTGCTTTATACATTCAACAATTAAAAATCTATTAGCATAAGGTAATTATCCTCAATTAATTTTCCAGATAGAAAAATTCTCGAGTTTAACTTATTTGTTGAAAGGTCCCATTAAATTATACAACCTTTAGCCAGTATAACTACTTTAAAGATATTGTGGTAAGTTTGTTTATTACATTTACGTATATTAAGTTTCATTTTTTTATTTAATACATAATACGAGATCATTATTTTAATTAATCTACAGGGGTAATAACAGTATAAAGGTACTTAGTAAAATTGTAGTTATTAACAATATGTTTTTCATATGGCATGGTGTCAGTAAAAATATCCTTTTTAAAATTATTGAATGAAATAGATTTGATTTAATATTGTTGTTTATTTTTTTTTTCATTTGTTTCACATTTAATGACATTCATGCTAGAAAAAATGAAAGACTGAGACTGTCAGTAAAGCCATGACCCATGACTATTCTTTTTTTCTCAAAAAAAAAATTGTCACATATTTAAATGTTCGTTTATTTATTCTATATTTATTTAGGGGTCCTATGCGTGTAATTTGTATATAAACAATTAGTACTGCACTTGAAGATATTGTATGATAATATACTAGATATTAATACTGTATAATCGAAAAAAAAACGGCATCTGGTTTGCTTGGAAATGAACATCGATGACATTCCCCATATAATTTTACATATAAAATGAGAGCGACCTTCATTTCAGTCATCGTTGACGCCGGTTTTTTTTCGATCATATTGTATTATTATATATAAAGTACCTACCTTAGGACTGAAAGAAAAAATGGCGTCAGATATTGCTTGCAAATGAAGATCTATGAGAAATATCATCGATCATCATTTCAAAGCCAACTGGACGCCGATTTTTGGATCATACAGATATTTCGATTAAAATTACCTAATTTATGTGATTTTCAAAATAATGATATATGATATGACACGCTTTAATTTGGGCCTTTAATTGGCCTTTATCATTTTTTGATTTTATTTAATTTGTTTTTTATTATTTGGTGATATTTAATTTTGATAATAAATGATAATTGATTTTACATGAGCATTTAATGATGTGATGAAATTTTGATATTTTTTATCTCTGATCTTCATAGAGAAATACCATATGATCGAGAAAAAAAACGGCGTCCAGTTGGCTGGGAAATGAACATCGATGACATTCCCATATAAATTTACATATAAAATGACAGCGATCTTCATTTCATAGCCATCGCTGACACCGTTTTTATTCGATCATACGGTACCTATGAGAGATAGTTGACCCATTTTTTTTATCATGTATTCTATATTTAAACACTTTGGTGTTTTAATATAAACCATTTCATAGGATGTCTCATTTGTTAAACATTTTAGCTAATATTTATTTAAATGATCTGATACGCTTGTATTACCCACTTCATTCTTAATATTAATTGATATAAGAGCATTTCAGGAGTTTACCTAATTATTTTTAGGAAGCATCAAGTCAGTATTAAAAAACACATGATAAAGACTGAATAAAATATGGGTTTTGATGATGTTATTCCCTTACTGGGGGATTTTGGCAGATACCAAAAACGAGTATACTTTTTGTTGTGTTTACCTGCTATTACTTCTGCTTTTCACAAACTGGGGAACGTATTTTTATTGGCCGAACCTCGATACAGGTAAATTGGCTTTATTTTTTTACAATATTAAATTTCTGTACAAAAATTGTACAGGGTGGCCCATTAGTGCGGGGAAGTCCAATATCGTCGTTGTAGAAGTTACGAAAGAAACTTTTATACAGATGCCTTCATGGTTTATAAAGGGCATATCCTAAAAATATTTTGTTGTATACAGGGTGTGCCAATAAAAGTTATGATAAAGTATTAAAATTATTTAAATTGCACACCCACTTTTTCAGTAGGTACATAATTGAATTCGGCATAAAATTCTGCATATTCTAAATTTTTCTTCGCGGATTTATTCTGTTATTCTTAATGTTTAGGAAAATATAGCTAATTAATAAAGTTATATTCACTTAAGTTTTTAACTACTTTTGGATATAGTGCCTTTAACTAAAGTTTTAGTAAATAAGATATAGAATGACAACACCGCATAGTGCTTCAAATAAAAAATAGTGTGTAGAATTGTATGCTCAATCCAAATCTGTATAGCAAAATGGAGTTTGCAATTAAAAAAAAAATAAAACTTTTTCATAACTTTTTTGATATTGTCTTATTGTATATGACGATATTAAACCTCCTAGCACTAATGGGCCACTCTGTATATCTAAAAAATATTTTAAATATCTGTACCTATATCTGAGGAACATTTTGTATCTTTTGTCAAAGTTTATTATGAAGTAGGTTTGGACATAGGCTGGTGAAGTTCTAATGATTTTGTGATCATAGTTTTTTAGGTTTTTGATCTTGCTCTACATTTCCCATCCTAATTTATACCGTAATATTTCTATTTTAAATAAATGATATATACAGGGTGAGTCTGACCGAAATGACTGTTGATGACCAAATGACTGAATGATTTTATATGTAAACCTATATGGTGAATTTGTTTCTTTTTTTATTATAGGGTATTTTTATATATCTAAATATTGAGTAAATTTGAAATACTTGAAGACGAATAATTTTCCAATCGGTTTTTGTTTATGAAAATGTGTTGTTTTTGATTTATTTGAAGGTTGATAAATCTAGGATTAAAATCAGTTTAAATTTAGATTACAAATACTTAAACAACATCCGCAGTTAAGTGACAAATTTTTTGTTGGTAATGTGTCAACAAAATAATCTTATGAAAACATTTTGCAATTGAATACGCCGTCTGCTATATAAAATGATTATCAAAATCGCTTAAGTTTGGTAAACATATTAGTGTTGAATGAATATGATTATATATTGAAAAATTAAAAATAATTATTTAAAAGTATATTACTTACATAGCTGACTTATCTTATGGATTTTCTTCTATTTATTGCTCTAGATGATATTTGAGTTCGAAAATTGTTTTGAAAGTATGGAAAAGTTGTTATCGGAAAAGTTTATTATCGATATTAGAATAAATTAATAATTTCTATTTAATTTTTTATTAGAATGGTCGGAATGGTCATCAATAGGGCTACTGGCTACAGATACCGTGTTATAAGAATAAGGTAGTTAAGGGCGTATATTTTCATTTTCGTATTAATTATGTTTTTGCTAATATCTTCGGTTTGCAAAAAGATATCAAGATGTGGTCGGGGAATACCTTTTAAGCTTTTATTCCTCTTTACTATCAGCGAAAATTACATATACTATTGCATTTAAATTTTTTGAAAAAACGGGCAATGTTTGTTAGATAGCGCGCTATAGCATCTACTGATAATTGCTTATTATTATGGTTTATATGAGATAATATTGAGTGAGGAACGCCCTTTTTAACGAGCCCTAGATCGTTGGATTCCGATTATCCAGTCCGGAGTTATTCATATTTAAATAAAAACATATCTAACCTTTCCCGACCACACCATTTTTGCTCCGAAATATGCTTATTATTATGACGCTATTACCTATAGTGTATAGTGCCTCCCTTTTTTAGGCGGATTTTTGTAAAAATTCTATTTTTTTATTTGCCTAGCGGCCATTCTACAAACTTGAAAATAATTTTCAGCACTTTCGCTTAGCCACTTTAGCTAATATTTTTTTCTGCACGTCCTACGGCTAATAGGTACTTTCCGAGAAACAGCCGAGGGCTATTCTTAGTGGAACACGCTGTACTTTATACGTTCAATCGCACAGAATAATTATTGTCTTAACTACTGATAAAAAAATAATAATAGTAATTAAAAAGATAGTATCACCATTTCCAGGTACAGATTTTTCACAAAAAAACACGTAAGATGACACTTAAAAACTTAAACAAAGCAAAAAATCTAAGGTCTTAACTTGCAAATAAACAACTGATGTGGTGTTTTTAAATTGAATTTTGAAAAGTTTGTGAGTTATGATGAATTATTTACACAAAAACCAACAAATATAATATATCAATAGATAAAAAGCTATAAATCTTTGAATAAAAAAAGTGTGACAAAAAATCTATATCTTTTAATTTATACAGGGTGGCGTACCTCATTCGCCTCGGTTGATTATACGAAAACGGAAAGATGTAGAAACAAAATATTTTATGAGTGTATGTGGGGAGGAAATATGCACAATTTAAAATTATTTTGAAATATATAGGATGTTTCAGAACTAAGATCCATACCAAAGTTATATTTTTTCTTATGGAACACCCGGTCGAGGGGTGTCTCACTCGGGTAAAAAATGTACACTTACTGCCAAAATACCCTTCCACTGCTAAGCGACTGCCAATGACTATGAAGAAGACTGCCTATGACTGCCATGTAATTATTATAGGTGACTGCCATAAGACTGCCAATGACTGCTAGCGACTGCCAAGAAAATGTACATGTAATTCCAATAGTGGGACACCCGGTATTTTATTTCATTTTTTGATTCTTATGCTCAAAAAAGGTATTTATTATAAGGGTTAAATATGTTTAAAATCTTTGGTTTTTGAGATATTTAAAGATATTTAAAAATGCATGCCTACAATAGAATATATTATTCACACCTGTACATTGCTTTTCAAAATTAATTCTTATGCTGAGTTTAAAGGTAGAGAAATAAACTTTACTGAAAAATTTGATTGCTTCGTTTAATGTATACATGGGTATCAATAATTGCTGGTCTATTTTAAATATTTATTTTACATAAAAACTTCGCTATTTCAAATACAACACCCTGTATTTTTTTAAATAAATCAAAGCAGATTCAAATGCTCTTTCAAACTATATTAGGGTTTCCTATACCTATCTGGCTCAGGTTTTGAATAAAAAGCGATTTTTCAATAAAATTGTAATCAAGATAGCTGGTGTCGCCATGGCAATTTTCTAGTGACACTTAGTAGCTATTTTCAATATCGACATTAGTTTATGGACTTTATTTAAATTTATAACAGGTTATTTTTATTTAATTTACCTACAATAAAGTTAATAAGTAGTAAGTTACTAGTTATTTTATTTTGTGAGGACAATTGGTTGGTTGGCCTGAAGGGTTTATGCTCAAAGATATCTAAATAGGAATTTTCTTGATAAGAGTTTCTTTGAAATACTACTTTTCCTATTTCGCAGAACTGATAGTGTGGAATGTGAAAAATCTATTAGGCAGAAACCTGTCGTTGGAGGTGAAGAAAATAAATTTGCCTTAATTGGTTCTTTTATAGAAAATCCAATATATCTACAAGTCATCGTAATATAAATCAAAGCACTACTTTTTTCTTTTTCTTGATAAAATAATAAATACATAGTAAATAGTAAAGTTTATTTCTCTGGCTTCAAAGTCGGCACAAGAATTAACTCTGAAAAATAATGTACAGGGCGTTGACAAACTTTTTTATTATGTCATGCATATTTAAATATATTTGAATATCTCAAAAACCAAAGCATTTAAACATAGTAAACCCTTATAATAAATGCCTTATTTTATGCCCAAGAATCCAAAAATTAAATAAAATACCCGGTGTTCCATAAGAAAAAATATAACTTTGGTATGTATCTTAGATCTGAAACACCCTGTACATTTGAACATAATTTTAAATTATGCACATTGCCCCTCTACATATACCCATAAAAATTTTTGTTTCTACATCTTTCCGTTTCCGTTTAATCAATGGAGGCGAATGAGGTGCGCCATCCTGTACAATCATATAATAATCATATTATATATACAGGGTGTCCCAGAAATAAATGCAAGTATTTTAACTGGTAGTATATTGCGGCCTCAGAAACACGCCTATGAGGTATTTTTTGCGAAAAAACAATTTTGAAAATTTGGATTTAAAAAAAAATGGAATTACATAATTTCTTGATAATTTGGCAACATAGCTTAAATTTACATGAAAGAAAATCCAGAAAAGATCCAGTGGTTCTCAAAATTTTAACAAAAAATCATTTTTTTTGGTAAATTTTCAAAGTAAAATAACTCGGTTATTTTGGACTTATTTGAAAAACGGTAAAGAGAAAAATTGTTTCTTTTGACCAGATCTACCACCCCTTAAAATACTTGCACTTATGTCTGGGACACCCTGTATATATGACCTTTGTTTATAAACTTATCTATAAGTGGCAACCTAGCATTCTTTATACCTTACTATAGGGCACCTTCGTTATACTTTATGTTTTACCTATTTATATTGCAACTAAAAGAATTTCGGACTTCCATTGTCTTTATTTTTATTTTGCTTACACAACGTTTCGGTGAGAAGTATCACTGGCTGCCAGTGGCGGATTCAGAGGGGGGGCCCATGGGGCCAAGCCCCCCCCTTAAATTTATAATTTGGGTTAAATAAGGGTTAAATATTAGGCTTTTGGGTTAAAAATGGCTCTCTAAAAAGCATATTCTATATTACCTTTTGTTTGGGCCCCCCTAAAATAAATTTTTGCATCCGCCCCTGCTGGCCGCTATCAAGTGTGAACTATGATGCTATGGTATATTAATGAATGTGATGCTATAGTATGCATATTGACCGTGACGTGATACTTTTTTAATCTTTCTATAATTCGTGTCAGTTTTTGACAGTTTTATGTTAATTTTTAATAAATGACGTTTAGAGATTGGCCTCGTCAGAATTATCATTGATTCCCATTCCCCGGCCGTTTTCGACGCCGTTTTTTTTTTGTAAGAATAACTTGCGGACTAAGCCCATAATTCTTTTTATATGAAAGGTGTCACAACACCGACTAGTTACGGAGAAAACGATAATTTAATATTGCTAAATACCATGTTAAAGATACGAGAATTTATTACTGTATGCGTTATTATTTGGACATCGTTTGTTATATTCAATTACAATTTAACATATGTTTGGGACTGGACATACCCAACAAATTAAGTTGATTACTTAAACATTCCATAAAATGGACATCGTCTGTTTTTTTCCTCTTACCCTGTATATTACTTTTTGCCATATCTAGCTATATAAAAAGTTGAGTACTGGTAGAGAAATTTAAATTTGAAATGTTATAATTCCGATCAATAAGAAAAAATAATTCGGTTTTCGGATATAATACAATAAACTATATAAAATAAAATTTATAGATGTCCACGACCACAGGAAAATATAACCAGTGACTTTGATATTTCCTATTCGGAATTTGAAAAATGGTACCCATACGATCCGAGTCATAATAAGTTTTCATCCTGTTTAGTCAGGTCTGGCAATATTACTACTGAATGTGATCAGTATATCTATAGCTACGAAGATTATGGGAAAACAGCAGTTACGGAGGTAAAATTTTGTTTTAGAAAATATCTCCAAAGATATAAAGAATATATAATATTTTTTGATATTTCTGTTATTTGTTTTTCTCCGAGAAGGATATTATGGTACTCTTGCGAACGCTGACATCTAACATAACATTTTGTTCACTAAAATCATTTCCAAGATGTCAAATAATTAATAGCCACTAAAAATATATATTTTAGTTAACATCTAAAGAGAATTGGGATCTTTGTTATAGTAAATCTTAAAAATAATACAGTACTCCTAATTTTTATTTTTAAAGCTCCTAGCCATTTTTTTTAAATCTAATTCAAAAATAAATTAGTTTTAGAATGATGCATACCAAATACCAACACTCTCCTTCATGTAACCATCCACTGATGATGTTATCATGGATGTTTATAAACAATTTATAAAATTGTTTTGGTGTAAAAACTAGAATTAAAATTAGCCTTATGTAGTTTATGTACCCTACTACATCTAAGTATTAACGTAATACTTAATTTTTATCACATTTATAAATTGTGGTAAAATCTTGTACATTATGAAATCCTGCAAGTCATAGTTCTTATTGATCTAGAAATTTAAAAATTTAAACTATTTTCCTTTTTTAGTGGGATCTTACATGTAAAAATGCGTATTTGATAGCTGCCTCTAATTCAATGTTTATGATTGGTGTTATGTTAGGTTCAATAATTTTTGGAGACTTGTCTGACAGGTAATTAATTATAAACCAAAGTATTGTTTTTCTAATTTTTTCTTTATTATACACGGTGTTTCAAAAAACATGTACCATCTCTCGTGGGGAGATTCCTCACGTAAAAATAAGATCTATCTTTCATATCAACATAGGTCCTATTCTGCTTTGTTTTGTAGCTACAGGGTGTTAAAGTTTTAATAATCTTTCGATTTATTAGAATTTTCTTCCAAGTACGTTTAGTGATTCGAATGAAATTTTGAGGGTTAAAATTACTATAAGTGGTACGTATTTTAATGCTAAAAAAGTGTCGATAAATTTCATTTCGATAGTGCATATGGGTTATCACTGGAATATTTTTCAAAAAAAAACATATGCGCCACTGACTTTTTCTTTTGAGATCAAACTTGAGTAGGCCGTTTAATGCCAGTTAAAAGTTATTTCTTAAAATTTTGTCGAATTCGGCCTCATTGATGAGATAAACGCAATTTTATTAATCACAATTATTAATAAAATAAAAATAAAAATAGGCAACTGCCCAGCTACGTCGAAACACCGGTTCTCATTAGAACACCGAAGTTAAGCGACGTAAGGCGATACTAGTGGACGGGTGACCGGTTCGAAACTCTGTATCGTGCTGTCGTCCAAAGAAAGGCAAAAGTGTAAAATCTATTAACACACACTGCTCATTCACGCCGGTTCGAGACCGGATGAGATCGGATATCTCGTGAGTAAGAGTCGATTTGACACTTGCCAAGTCGGTAGGCCATTGACTATGATATGGCCGACGACCGCGGTTTGGATTCCGCGTAAACAAAGTAGGCCCCGTCCAAATTAGCCCTGGCGATGACGGCAGCAAAAAGGAGACATTAACTGAAATCTTTACTTTTTACTTTTAAAAATAAAAATAAAATTAATAAATTACATATTCCATCTCATTTATTATTAAATATTATTTCTATTAGTTATTATTACTATTAGTCCAACCTACAGCAGTTTTAAATAAAAAATAATGGTATTTAAGATAATTACAAAAAACCTAATTTTAAAAAGTTTTAACATCCTGTAACTCCAAAAATTATGCATTTCCATACCCATGTTTATAGGAACTTTTTTTCATATTTTTTGATGAGGAATCAATGAGTACTTATTTAAAACTTTCGCAAGTTAATGATATTAATTTTTTTAAAGGTTGTTTTTAGACTTGGATCAATGCAAATTAATAAAATTTCGTTTATCTCAGCAAGGAGGCCGAAATCGACAAAATATCAAGAGACAAAAACAACCCTCAAAATTTTATTCGAAACTCTAAAAGTACTTGAAAGAAAATTATAATAAATCGAAAAAATATTAAGATTTTAACACCCTGTAGCTACGAAACAAAACAGAATCGGGCCTATATTGATATGAAAAATAAATCTTATTTTTACGTGAGGAATCTCCCCACGAGAGATGACGTACCTAATGACCAATCTAAATTATATTCTTTAAACATGTTATTTTATCATGTAAGAAATACTTTAGATATTAATCTAGTTACACCTAGATATTATAAACTAGTTTATTTAAAGGAAAACATATATTAATAACATTATATTGCATTAATAGGTTGTATAAAGTCTGTCCAACCAAAAAATAGACTATAGTTTACCTGTGAATAAAAATGACAAGCGACAACTGTCACTGTCATGTATCCTCTCAGTGGATAGACTTTAGGCATTACTTCTTAGAAATTGAGTTAAAAAGATATACAATTTTAGATGGGGAAGAAAAATAACTTTTCTTATATCATCAATCATACAAGTTATCTTCGGAGTTCTTGCAGCGTTAGCTCCAGAGTTTTGGACTTTTGCTGTTGCAAGGACGATAGTTGGAGCTGCTACATCTGGAGTCTTTTTGATAGCATATGTTATGGGCAAGTAGAAATATTCAATGGAATAAGTTACACTTCAGTTTTTTACGTATTAAATATAATTACTTGCCAGAACTGAACAGATTAATCTATGAATATTGTTTATAGTCTGTCATGGGAAACACTTCATTTTGACAGACAACATCTAAAAAATAACATAACAAAATAACAAGTCTCAAAATGTATTTTTTTGCCTGACAGATTATATTATGTATTATATTTTCTCTAGTCTATAGGCTTGGTGTATTTAAACCAATTTTTAAAATTCCGACAGCAGCGCTCGGTACGGCAGAAATCAGAACTGTCCGACTAAGTTTATTTCACGCCGTCCCGGTTACTGTTCATGTTAATCGCATTGAAATAATATTGAAATCGTGGCTATGTCATAATATTTAAGTATTTTGATTTTTACTAGTACAGTTAATAGAACTATACAATTCTCATTTAAGAAGTTTGTGTGATGTAACGTTGTTTCGGGTAGTAAAAATTAAGTGAAAAAGAACCCGAATTGGGCGACGCGTTGTGTGGTGACAATTTCAAATAATAATAATAAATGTAAAATTTCCGAAAAAATGTCAAGCGTGGTTTCTGTGTCAATACAACTCTCGGAACAACATTTTACAGCTTCTCAACTTTATCACACCGATTTGATCAAAAGCAAAAATTGATTCAGGCAGTTCGACGAAATAAAAGGAGACAAAGTATCCATTATATATTCAAAAAATTAATTAGGTATAAACTATGAGGATAAAGTATAATTTAATCAATATTAATGATATACTTTTTGTAATGAACTAGTGCTTACTAGCAAAATCGGTGTGTGTAAAACTACACAAAACTATACTCGCTACCTTAGTTGAAGCAGCTGGCGTGTTATTACTCATATAAAAAGTTTTATTAGCTTGAATAATAAATTAAAATGCAACTTAGATCTTCTGAAGATTTCAAAAGATTTACCTTTTAATATTTTTTTCGAATTCTCCCAAATTCTACTTACTAATACTTTTCATATAATATTATAACAAATTTTTCGTGTACTCGCTATTTAAGCTCGTCTATTTGTATAACACGGGATTCTCCGATTGTGACAGCACTGGCGGAGAATACACCAATCCTATATATTTTCGACAGCGACATCTAAAAAATTACAGAAAAAAACAATGTATTTTTGAATTAAAATGCTGGACAGTCACTATTATATTTTCATCAATGATAATTTTGATTTATAATTTTTTACATATAGGTTTGGAGATGGTGGGTCCGTCAAAAAGACTTATCGCTGGAACGGTAGTATTTATATTCTTTTCTGGAGGTTATGTATTAATAGCGCTATTTGCTAAACTAATACATTACTGGAGATGGCTCCAATTAGCTCTCACATTGCCAGGAGTGTTGTTCATATTTTATTGGTGGTATGTTTCATTTTAAACACATAGTACATTTATCATTTTTGAAGGGAAATGAAAAAAAAATTGAACTTAAAAATATCATCCAAGTGATAACTCTAGTTCTTTTTAGGCTAAACAGGCATTTTCCATTTATGGAAAATGTCCGTTTGTTCTACACTCAAAACAAATAGTCCAAACAACATAATTTTGGTTATGGTAACAATGCAGTCATCTTTTAGATTAGGTTTGTTTTCAAATATCATAGCAGTATCTTTTTAGGTGGATACCCGAATCCGTTAGATGGCTGTTATCAAAAAATAAGCTCGAAGAAGCTAAAACGATTATTCATCAAGTAGCGCGAACGAATAAAGTAACTATATCTGATCAACAGTTGGACGAGTTATTAAGGAAAGGAGAAGATGTTGATAAAAAAGACAAACCGCAAGTAACGGCCTCCGTTCTAGACTTGTTTAAACATTCCAGCCTAAGAAAAAGGTCAATTATTATATTTTTTGATTGGTAAGTTTAATATTGTTACGTTTTTAGGAGTTTGTTGGTCTGTCTCTTTATCTCAGGAACGTGTGGAGGTATCGAGTTGAAATTTAAACCATATACTCAGGTCTACAGTCCCCAATCAAACTTCTAAGTTAACTTAAAAGAAAAAAGATACGACCGTTGATGTTGCAAAAAACGCATATTTCGACACTCTCGGGAACCAAAATGTATAGGATATTTTCTCTTGACCTAGAACTATGAAATTTGACAAGTAATACCGTCTTATACTACAAGTATAGAGAAAAATCTGAAAACTATATATTTGTAATTAAATCATAAAAAATATAGTCTTTAAAGGGAACTCCCGGTGGGCACAGTCCGACTCGCACTTGTTCGGTTTTATCATTCTACCTTGTGATCGAAAAAAAAAACAGCGGTCAGTTGGCTTGGAAATGACGATCGATGTTCATTTTCCATGTAATTTTACAGATAAAATGACAGCAATCTTCATTTCATAGCCATCGCTGAAGCCGTTTTTTTTCTCAATTAGTAGAACAAGTATTAGAATGCAGCGATTTTATTCATTAACTAGCTGACCCGGCTAAGTAAGTAGCATTTCAATTGAAACGCATTTCTCCCTGATAGTCTTATATAGACTATAAGTAGTCATACCAATAGATTTAATAGGAGTAAATAAAACTTTTTTAAATTATGATTTTATTTTATCTTTTGCTACATATGCACATTTTTTTCTTTTTAGGTGTGCTAACAATATAACCTATTATGGATTATCCTGGAACACTAACAATCTAGGAGGTAATCCGTACCTAAATTTTGTAATATCTGGCGCAGTTGAAACCCCTGCTAATATATTTACTTTGCTCACATTGAACAGATGGGGTAGGAAAAAGATTTTGTGTGGCAGTATGATATTTGCTGGAACGGCGTTACTTACAACCTTACTTATCCCTATTGGTAAGTCATTTGGTAAAGTTAAAATTAATTATCTTCTAAAATACTTGTTTAACTAATAGATGCAAGGTAATACTATTTTTAATTGTTTCTCTTTTTTTGTTTTAGATATTGTTTGGTTAACAGTACTCCTTGCCATGCTTGGAAAAATATCTATAACGGTCAGTTATGGAACAATTTATATTTTCTCGGCTGAACAGTTTCCAACAGTTGTGCGAAATGCTGGATTAGGAGCTAGTTCAACTTTCGCCAGGCTTGGGTCAATCATAGCACCATACATTAATATTATGGTAAGATAATATTAAAATTATTGTTTGCATTATCCTTATACTATAGTGGGGTTAAAACGTGAAATCGCATTAACATGTATACTTGCGACCGTGATTTATAATTAGATGCGAAATTAACCTGTGAACGTGAATTATACCGTTAATGTTAATTTATAGGTTAAGGTTAAAACCGTTGTCCATGTCATAATTTTGCAGTAAACCTGCCCGTGATATTTTATTAACTGCTACTTTTTAACTTCGACTGCAATTTCACTATAGATCTTTCAGATATAGCAACTAGATCATAGTTGCCGACCGCGACTGAAGACCACCATTATAAAAAATAATCAAATTATTTATTTATATTACCGTATAAATAAAATAAATATAGAACTTGGGATAAAATAATACAATATATTAATTTGAAAGTTAATAGTAAAAGGCATAATATGTACTTACCTGAGTATTTTATTTTGAAGAACATCCTTCGTTGGCAGTTAATGAAAGTGTAGGATGTTTTAACTCCATATGTTTTTTTTTTAAATTTGAGGACATAAATTACATTTTGCGTAATTTTTATCTAATGGAGTAGAAAAATTCCATAAGAAAGAAGATGGAACGACGGTTGTTCGGTGTCACACACTCTTTCGCACTTTTATTATCATATGTAGCTGGTTCACCCACCTACCAATTCGCGACTTGCTGTCACGCTTAGTCAATCAGGGTTTATTCTTATGGTAACGACCGTGAACTGCTACTTTTATTTCACGGTGAAAATATCAGAGGTAGCAATTTTTAGCCCAACTCTATCTTATACTAATATTAATATCACTTATATTTAAATTTACAAATTTAATTTAAATTTTACTCATCATTTGATGTGGATAATGAGCAATATACAGATGACTCCAAATAGATTACATGTTTTTTACTAATGTTGGATTCAAAACAAATTTCATGTGGAATCTCTTTAACATGTCATTCTTTCTCTTTCATTTAGGATACACAGGATAGTTCATTAAGTTATTCTTTCACAGGATATTTATCTATTTCTCTCTCTTAACTGTTATGGTTGCTAATTACTAAAATGACCTTTATATTACACTAGTAAAAAGTGAGGTTAAATGACAAGATACTAACTTTGAATAAGAAGACTAAGTAAGGAGCATATCAAAAATCTCAGGTCCATCGCGATGGGCCTCAAATATGGCCAACTTAAATTCCGGTTTATCAGTGCCGTTCAAAGACATTATAAAGATAGACCGAACATCTCATTCATAAATACTCGTTGATAGTGTATCAAACATTACAATGTGTCAAACAAGGACAGAAGAGACAGAGAAGTTTAAAATTTCCGACCCCGGCAACTAGGCGCATTTGGATTGTTCTAATGGCCAGTGGCGTATCGTTTTTTGGAACGAATTTAATTTGTAAAGTAAAAGTAAAGTAATTAGTAAAATTTTTACTCCATATTAATATACTACATTAACACTTTTTCGTTAGATGAGTTTTGTTATAAGGTCTAATATAATAATATAATTGATATCCCACATATACTTATGTTGAAACGTTAGTAGGTAGTTTTCGAAAATCGCTCCAACGTCGATATTCAATTTAAACTTTCAGTTACTTCTATATAAACTTTCAGTTACTTTTGAATATTTACAGGGTGACTCAGGCTTCCGAAACATTTCTATATTAGGTTTGTGGTTGGTGACTTTTCTTTCAATTTTTTTTTAGAATATGGAGGCAATGGTAAAGCACATTTTAGACATTTTTGTAAACATAGGTGGCCGGAACATATTTTCAAACTCAAGTTGTAGATTTGCCATTAAATTTCTATTCCAGAAATACCTTGGGTTGCCACCTGCCCTTTTTTGAAAAGGACAGTCCTTTTTTGGAATAACTTGTCCTTTTGACTTTTTTTGACTTAAAAAGTCATTTTTATTTACAATATTTTCCTGAAAATTACCTACAGCAAACAGAAATATTCTTTTTGTCCAAATTTAATTAGAGATGTTATAAAACTTATAAATTTTTCTTGTTTAGAATAAGCAACATTATTTAGAACTTCCCGTTTATTCTCAAATGATAGTTTAGGTTTTAGTTTTACCTTTTTTGATCTTAAAAAGAACTTTTCAAAATTAGTAATTAGTAACGATTTAGTTAGTTCGCAATCGATAGCTTCCTGTGAAGTACTGTGTAATAGTTGTTTAATCTTGTATTATTAATAACTTCCTATGCCTAAAATCAATATTTAGTTTAATGAGAAAATTGTGTTTTTTTGAAAATTTTTTGATTGAAAAGATTTGACTTTCGGTCTTCTTCTCGTATTATGATGGCTGATGGCTCTGATACGAGGCAATTACCTTTTAGTCTCTCAATCGAAGGCACTTATCATTAAAAGTATCAAATCTGTGTGCTACTGTAAATATAATTAGAAATTATTTTAATTGTGAGAGGCTCCCTTGTGGGACGCCTATGTACGGCGATTACGGCGGAAACAATACCTACCTGTGAAAAGACAAATTCGGGTAATTTGAGCTTATTTTTCCACACATTGGACACTGTCGTAGCATATTGAAAATTGGCAGATTCAAAAGTACGTTAAACAAAAACAAAAACTACTGAAAAACACTGAAAAGTTCACTTCGGACTTGATTCCGACTTCAAACACACCGTAAGCTAAACGTAGTACGCTATAACGGACCAAGGGCCGTCGCGAGGGGTGGTGGGGCGGACGGCTCATTTCATTCTGGGAGGCTAGCAGCGACGTTGCCAATAGTTCTAGACGTTTCAGCACATTACACAGTAAACATGTCCTTTAATAGTAACGCATATATCCTCTGGTTAATAACATATTATTACGCATGCTTCTTTAAAAATAAACTATTAATTTAATTAAGAAATTGAGATTTATTGATATCCGGTGAAGGTTTTAAAGTCACCTTTTCTGCAAATCAAACTAAGTAGACAGGCGCAAATTTGAGATGTGGCAATGTCGCCATCTCTATCTCAGTTGGTTTTTACAGTACGTAGTCAACCTCCCATTGTTTGATCGGGTTAAAATGCACAATGTGATATCTGTTCTTACTAAATCTATGGTGCCGTTCTAATTTTATTTAAAAAATGTAAAACTATGATGTAGGTTAGACGTGGGGTAGACTCAATAATTTTATTTTTATTTTACGTTGTGAATAAATGTTGGTAGTTATTACAATTGTTATAAAAATATAAAATTCTAATAAAAATAGATAAGTTATAATAATTATTTATTAACACAAACATCCGATACGCTACTGAAGCAGGTAAATCTGGTAAATCAAATTGACGTATCTAAATTCTTTGACATCTAATCTTTGACAAGTAGTAAATAAAAGCAAAAATGCAAGAAAAAATATATAATTACTTAATTTAAGTGAATTTCATAAATTATCGGTTTACTACACGTATGTACAGTACGTCTGCTGGATCTGTGTCTATGAAAGGAATGCGGACAAAAAACATTTAAATAAACAGCAATATATTTTATACGTCGATTTGCCGAGTTCGTCACCGCAAATCGCTCCGCCCACTCATTTTATTGGCTACTTGCAAATTTGTCGAATTTTTATTGATGGGACGCGTCGTCTAATTTTTTACGAAAAACATGGAGAGAATATCGTTTCCCCTCTCACGGATACCCCGTAGCTACAGAACGGACAGACGTACTGTATATTATATAGTCACTTACTAGCGAAAAGTTGTTCCATTATTTCACTCGATTTTTGCCGAGATCTACCGCACGCTACACAACCAACTATTTTAGAGTCTTTTTCGATAAATCGCGATAGTGTCACTGTTAATTTAAGTTCTGCCACAATTTCCATCTAGATTTACTACCTTTATACAACTATCAGTAGTAGAATAAATAATAAATAACATAAAATAAGCTCCGTAAAGACTGACAAATCCACAAAATTTCAAATCAAATTCAAATGTGTCAAATGAATCGTCAAACAGAACTGTCAAGGATCCCCACCCTAGAGTGCTTTTTCCGCCCACCATGCATGAATACATGGATAGCATTATGCTCCTTCCTTTAGTCTTCTTATTCAAAGGATACTAATAAGGTTCAAAGAGAAAAGTCGTTAAAGAGTGTATTTATTTCATCTCTCTGTATCACTTTCTAAAAATGTATAAATACTAAAGACTTTAAAAAAATCAAAATTACGAAGCAAAGAATGGAATTGTTCCTTTCGAAAAACAGCTATATGCGTTAGAGTACAAGTTTTGAATATATGTACTAAAAATACAAATCATAAAATACCACATAGCATTTTTGTCTTTGATCACGCTGTCTAAAAGTGAAAATTATTTTTTCTTCATTAGTCATCATTAAAACTTATTACTATATCACAATAAAATAATGTCATTATTACTTTTAATCTAGGCTTTTAATATATTTTAATGTGAAATTAATTTTGTAAAATGTTCTTATAATGGAGTTATTCAACTATAAAATTCAAAATATGCGTTCTGTTTATCAGGATATAAAGAGCATACAGTTTTTAAAAATTGAAGAATTAGTCTTGAAGTACCTTAATGAAAATACGATTATGTATTGTTAATTTAAAAAACATATATATATATATATATATATATATATATATATATATATATATATATATATATATATATATATATATATATATATATATATATATATATATATATATATTCTGATATAAAATTATTAATTTATGTGGGAAAATACTCGCTCTTTGTTCAGTTTACATCTTATTATACTGAGCGCATTGAATGTACAGGGTGGCCGAAATTGGTCTGTTTTAACAGAGAAAACCTATTTCCTGACTAGATAGAGCAAAACCGACATAGATGTCATGGGCTCGATTTCTGAGAAACGTTTAATGGCGTAAACCGCCTGTTGATATTTTCACTGCCAACTGAGATACGGGGTCTTTTTGAATTTTTTACCATTTTGAAAATTGCCCATAACTTTTTTATTTTGCGGAATAATAAAATTCTGTATAAACGTTGTTAAGGCACTTTTTTAGGCACAATCCAGTGGCGTAGTCAGTTTTTTTCTATGCTTGCTCTTTTCGTCAGAAAAGTTTTTTAAATGGAAATCATAGTTGGATATGAACTTAAAAAAATGCTGGCGTTTTACTCTTTCCAATGATCTAAAGTTATGGACATCTATTTCTAAGAATGAGAGAAATATTAAGTTTTTGATCTTTAAATCGAAGCGGGCGTGATTGATTTTGTGTTGACCTATTTGCCTAATTATTTTTTACCACAATTTAATATTCTATATTATTATTTATCTGCATAATTAAAGACTTTTGAAAAGGTAAATTAACATTCTATATTAGTATTAGTAATTATAATTGAAATCGATACAATAAACAAAGAATAAAACTAAAAAAAATTATTTTTTGAGTGACGAATATAGTTTTCTAAAAAAATCATCAAAAATGTTCAAACTGAACACCCCCTTGTTGAATACACAATAAACATCTTTTGCGCACAGAGTTACAATAATTTATTAGGCGAACTGGTGTAATAAGTCCAAAAGATTTCCTAGTAGCCTTCTATAATTCTTCTCTCGTCCCAATGGTCCTTCCCTTATATATAAGGCCTTTTAATTTTCCCCATAAAAAAAGTCGAAAGGAGTTACCTCACAGGACCTAGCAGGCCAAGATATGGGATCCCTTGTTCCAATCCAATTCTCTCTAAATTCTCCATTTAATAGTGCAGTTGTAACCCCGGCTTTTTAATTGTAAATGGTAATACTAATATAGAATGTTGATTTACCGTTACAAAAGTCTTTAATTATGCAGATGAATAATGATATAGAATATTAAATTGTGATTAAAAATACTTAGGCAATAATAGGTCAACACAAAATCAAGGCCCGCTTCGATACAAAGATAAAAAACGTAATATTTCTCTCATTTTTAGAAATAAATACACATAACTTTATATCGTTGGAAAGGGTTAAACGCCAGCATTTTTTTAAGTTCATAGCCAACTACGATTTCCATTTAAAAAATTATATTTTTTATTATTTCTGACTAAAAAAGCAAGCATAGAAAAAAACTGACTACGCCACTGGGTTGCGCTTAAAAAAGTGCCTTAAGAACGTTTTTACAGAATTTTATTATTCCGGAAAATACAAAAGTTATGAGCAATTTTCCAAATGGAAAAAAAATCAAAAAGACTCCGTATCTCGGTTGGCAGTGAAAATATGAACAGGCGGTTTAGGCCATTAAACGTTTCTCAGAAATTGAGCCCATGACATCTATGTCGGTTTTGCTCTATCTAGTCAGGAAATAGGTTTTCTCTGTTAAAACAGACCAATTTCGACCATCCTGTACACTTCGTATACATGAAAATCGGCGCCAAAAGGCAGACCTTACTGACCTATATAAACATACTTCCATATACCGGGTGATGCATCGGCTTAGGGCATATAGGAAATCCCATGTAAATTTTAAGGGTGTCATTTGTTGGCTTCCATAATCAGAGTCTTTCTCTCAATCCAAATCAAACCAAAACAAAATGCTCAGGAGTCCTGTTTCTGGCCGTAAAATAATGTTTTAGGAAAATTTACTCACGAAATTATTGCACAGGATGTTTTAAAGCTAGGGTAAAAAACAACCCTTGGATTAACAACCCTGTGTAATAAGTCAAATACTAAAGTTTATAAAAAAAAACGAGTTTTAGAATTAAAGTTGATGTATTTATATACAGTTAAAAAATAAAAAAATATAAAACTCTTTAAATTTAACGAAAAATTTTTCCCTTGCGTTTTTTTTTGCATCTGAGTGTACTTATTTCTTTTCTTTTATTTTGGCGGTTGGGTGGGCACAAGCCCCTGCGCTCTTTAGAGCCAATCTCCACAGCCTTCCACCTACCTCGGGACTATTTTTTCTAGATTATCATTTTGTATACTCGCGTACTTAAAGTATTAAGTATTAAGTATACTCGCGTACTTAAAGTATTAAGTATTAAGTTTTACAGGTACATGTTTGGAAACCATTCCCACTTCTAGTATTTGGAGCGCTAGCATTCGCTGGAGGAGTTTTATCATTGATGTTGCCAGAAACCCTTAACAAGAAATTGCCGGAGACATTAGCAGAGGGAGAGGCTTTTGGAAAGTACGTGTTTTCAGTAAATATAAACATTACAATTACTAACTATTAATTGATGCAATTACAGAAAATCTAAAGAGAACACACAGCTAAAAACTGTAGAAATAGTTGAGCCTCCAAAAGAAGCTAACGAAGGAGAGCAGGTTACTCCAGACTCGAATTTATTGAAAAATTCACAGGAAACAAAAGAATCAAATTGAAAAGCCTTGAATTCCTCCGAATCAAAAGTGATACACAAGATTAAGTATACATGTTTCGTTTTTGAAATAGTTCAGTTTACAGTATTTTCATTGTATGATATTTACAGGTTTTTTACGTGTAATTATTTTGTTTACCTTGTTCTTTACTTTAACTCTAGTCATCTAAGGGCTAATTTTTGCTGTCTTTTTTCTTTTGTAAATCGTTTCTCTCTAAGTAGTATAAATATCAGTTTTGTATCGATTTTATTTTTTATTATATACCGGTGATCGTTTATTAGGTTTTTATTTATACTTTTACAGTTATTTTGAAATTATATTTCATAATTAAAATTAATTGTGGTTCTGAGATTCTATTAAAACTTCAAATAAATATTTTTTTTATAAAATTGTGTGTTTATTACTTAGAAGTATTTACCTCGGGGCCACTTTATTATTAATAAAAATAATAATGGTCTTTATCTCAACAATTATATTATTAAAATATAGGGATGGAAGTATAAGCACAAACATCTGACTATACAAGGTAAGTCAATACAAAAATAAGAATTTAAATATTTTCAAGGCTGGGAGATCTCGATAAATGAATTGAATGAAATTTACTTTTCCTTTGGTTTGGTCGATAACCACCGCCCTGATGCACTGCGAGATCAGGCCAATTGTGTTTTCAGATCTGTTGTGGTCCTCTTCTGAATATACAGGGTGGTCCGAACTGTATTCCGGAAACTTCGGCAGCATATTCTGCAGATAAAAATAAGTAAAAAAGTTCGTATAAATGTATGTCCTAAAATGCTTAGTTTCGGAGATACAGGGTGTAGAAGTTTCATTTTTATTTCGATTTTTTCCAAACAATTTCTGAAGTAACGTCAATATTTGAATGAAAATTGGTGGATGGGTGTTTTATGATATGAGAAATTTGATTTTGATGTCAATATGACTCCCATTTGTAGGTGGCGCCACCTACATGTGTTTTAACTGTTTTTAAGAGTAATAATTTTTCGTCGGTACCTGTATACAACTACAGAGTAAAAAAATATACATTTACGACTTTTTTTACATGAAAAAGGTCTCTTGGTAAAAATCGCTACGAGTAATAGTTCTCGAGATATTTGGAATCGAAATTGTCAATACATCATTGACATAAATTAAACATGTTGACTGAGTTATTGAGTTATTAGACTGAAATCATAAATTTGAAATATTTTTCTGTCAATATGACAGAAACTGTTTAATCATCATTTTTTCGCAGAAAAACTTATGATTAATTAAAAAGAAATTATTATTTCAGCCAAATAACTATACTCAAAACGCGTGTGCTTATTTTTTGTCAATAATGACATGTATTGACTATATCCATTCTAAATATCTTAAGAACGGTTGCTCGTAGCGATTTTTACCAAGAGACATTTTTTACATAAAATGTCATGGAAATGTATATTTTTTAGTCAGTGGTTTTATACAGGTACGGTCGAAAAGTTATTACTCTTCAAAACAGTTAAAACCTTTGAATAAGAAGATTAAGGAAGGAGCATATCAAAAATCAAAATCCATAAAATGGTGCGTTTAGACTTGAGCACGCACGAGCTGAGAGTGCGCGCACGGCATTCATTCGCGCTCTCGGCTCCGTTCAAATTAACAACTTATTTTTCGACGAATGAAGTGATCCATTTGTGCGGGCACAGCAGAGTTGTGTTGGCGAAAATAATGGACGACCAAGAAATAGTCGAGGCTGAAGTCATTGTGTTATGCACAGCTTAATTATTAAAAAGAAGAAAAATCAAAAACATCGTCGCTGGTGGCAAACCCAAATTTTTAGAAATCGATATAATTTACTGCAACAACTTAGTGTCTGAGGAGGGCTATGATCAGTTCAAAAACATTACAAGAATAACATGGCCCGACTTTAAATATTTACAAAATTTAATAACATCAAAAATTACGAATAACAGATACAAATTTTAGAATAGCAATTTCATTAATATCGACATATTCAATATTAATTTTATTTACAAGGTTTTGCCATGCGTTATATTTTTTTTGATTTTTTAATAATACAAAGAATGTTTAACATCCCATAATATAGGCAAGTTTTCATATTTTTCAATTAATAATAACGAAGATTCATTGATCCACTCCATAATTTTAATAAAGAAAACGAAAAAAAATCACACACGCACGCACGAACGCAGACAAAACAAATTGCCGGTCCAAATTGAGCGTTCGCGCACACATAAAATCCCTTTGAGCACGGACCAAAAACCGACACCAGACGGCTCACGTTCGCGGCTGCTCGCGCACAGACAGATTCAGAGTGAGCGTGGAGGATCAGTGCGTGTGTGCTCAAGTCCATTGGTCCACCGCGATGGGACTCAAATATTTCCGACTTAAATTCCGGTTTATCAGTGCCGTTCTAATTTTATTTGAAAAATGTAAAACTATGATGTAGGGTAGACGTGAGGTAGACTCAATAATTTGTTTTTTTATTTTACGTTGCCAATAAATATTGGTAGTTATTAAAATTGTTATAAAATTATAAAATTCTAATAAAAATAGATAAGTTATAATCAAAGGTTATAATAATTATTTATTAACACAAACATCCGATACGCTACTGAAACAGGTAAGTAAAATTGACGTATCTAAATTCTTTGACATCTAATCTTTGACAAGTATCAATCTAAACTTTATACAACTATCAGTAGTAGAATAAATAATAAATAACATAAAATAATCTCTGTAAAGACTGACAAATCCACAAAATTTCAAATCAAATTCAAATATGTCAAATGAATCGTCAAACAGAACTGTCAAGGATCCCCACCCTAGAGTCCGTTTTCCGCCCACCATGCATGAGTACATGGATAGCATCAATGTCTAAAGAATATAAGGACATATCTTTTTTTTTGTTTTGGTGGCAAACAATGAGTCATCATTTGGTCACCAGCGAAAATTTTAGCCATTTTTAATAGTTTGTCTGTAGTAAACTTTGTATAAACTTTATTACAATGGTGATTAGTTGTTCAGCTTTCAAGTGTAAAAGCAGCAGCGATAAGAAAGAGCCAGGAGTTACGTTTCATAGGTAAATAAACAGTTCACTCCAACTTTTTAGCGTTTTCTTATTGAATTTGATAATTATTCTTCAATTTCAATTAACATCTCTATGTACTTGATATGTGCTATAAGTCGATACTAGTTTTGTACCTTTTGTTAACATTTTAATACGTTTTATTCGTAATTAATTAGGATGATACACCATAGGCGTAGTCAAAACAATTATCAAAAAATATAAATATTGCTTCAAACGCAGCTAGGTTAAGAAAAATATGTGCCACGGCACTGTTTGGTGACATCGTCACAATTTGCTCTCGGGTGTTATTTGTCCTTGGATTCTTTAGTCATTGGATAGCATTATGCTCCTTGACTGAAATTATCTACAGGGTCCGGCAATAGTGCGTCGGGCATCTGTAGCTCCGAGAATAAAAAACTTGAGAATTTTGTTTAACTGCAAACCTAATGTCTGTACAAGGGCGTATTTCAGGAAAATATTTTAACTTCTATAGGGGACTCAAAAAAATGTGAGTGAATCGAGATGTTTTTTTTTAAATGGAACACCCTGTATGTTGTTTTTGGCTTCGTTTCAGATCACTAAATATTCCTAAGATATGATTAAATATATTTCGATAATTTCGGAGATATTAAATAAATAAAAAATATATATTTTTCAACCTTCCTTAAAAAAATTATTACAAATACAAGAACTGTCCTGAAATCAACACTATATTAGATGTTTACTTTAGATGGCCAAACTTTCTAAAATATAAAATAATTTTTCTTTGTTTTTTTAATTGGAATATCCTGTATATTATTTTTTTACTAGATGAAGAGTTAAAAAATAAAAAAAATTGTATGTAAATTATATCAAAATTTTTAATGGTTTCGCAGATACACGCAGCTCCATATGGCTTGTTTCAATGGTAAAATACGAGAGAAAAGTCATTGGGTGGCTTTGATAAAAATTTACTGTGGAAAATGTCATATGACTTACGGAATACACAGAAAAAGAATGTAGAAGGAGTGTGAAGGGGGTTAATCACTGCGACATTTTAAGGTCTATTGTGTCCCCATTTTTTGAGTTATAACACTTTATATATGGAGATTTTCCGGTAGTAGGGAGGACAGGGTATTTCCCACCCCCCTCTGACAACAGATGTTCTTCCTCCGAGGAATGGACATCTACCGACCATACCTCCTACATCCTGCGAGGGTATACACCCTTCCATGGTTGGGGTTTGTCCCTTCACCATCTCCGGCTGAGGTACCCGTGAGGTGGAGGCTGGAGGATATGTCTCCATTTTTTAACTCCACCTCTTTAACTTGGGCTCTCCTTAGACCTGATACCGGTGTTGTCCCGAATCTATAATAGAGGATATATCTCTCTTTCTCTATTGCCTCCTTGGATTTGAGGTCAGTTCCTATTGTGAGGACCTGACCGTGCCCTCTTCCCTCGAGTTGATAACTCGCCAACTCGATGTCCTTACATTGGAGTGCTGGCAAAGCTGGTTTTACATCCCTGCTTGCCTCCCGGTGATGGATGGCTTTCCATCCTGGCTTTTTCTCTCCTTGCTAGAGCAGAGATGAGAAGTTCTCTCTTGCTGTGTGGTGGAAATGCGCCAGGCTGTTTCTTGGTTGTATACCCTTTTTACGTACTTTACACTCCCTTTTTTCGGGGAGTGTTTTCACTTTGCTTCCTTTAGGGCAAATCCTTGGAGCAGTCGGAAGTATCTCCGTACTCCTTCTCCGCTGAACCCTCAGTCTAGCCCGCCTGGTTGAAGCGTGGCTAGACTGCAGGTGGCCACTTGTGGAAGCTGGTCTCGCGCAAGTGTCAGCTGCCTCTCCTCTGCACTGTTAATGTTCTCAGTGTTGTTAGAGGGTTTCCCTCCAGCTTCACCGCAAGGATTAATCGGTGCACTTCTACAGAGCCCCGCATGTAGAACTAAGGGATTACGAAATATACATAACAAAGGAACATGTTTTTTTCAGTTGTGCCTGTTTTGTGATCTATTATAAACCCATTATTTTATTTTTAATCATGAAATATATCTATATAATCTCTGACATATTTATCTACTATTATTTATGCTTGATTACATAAACTACTTTTTAAAACTTATCTAAATCTCCAAACTATAACATACAGAACAGGTTTCGCTTATTTCCAAGCAAACTGAATAGATTTATGTCTATAAGGAAAAATTTAAAAATAAGACCAAAATGTTTATTATTTTTATTAATGAAAAATATAAAACTTAATCTTCATTATGTATAAATAATACAACAAAAGTCAGTAATACCACGGAATGTCGGTTGGTTACATTTAGAACCAATAAATAAAAGTTAACTTAGAAATACTTAATATTTAAAGCGAATTTAAGGATTTTTTTATCAATTAATATATAGAAGTGGCAAGAACTAAATAATTATATATAATCCACGGAGAAATACTCAAAATTATTAAAAATACTTTTACTTAATAGGTTTTCCATGGAGAAGCATTTTATAATTATTTAACATTCTGTCACTTTTATAAGTTTTCTCTATTTCGGCAGTTTCTACTTCTTGTAAACGTAGCTTTCAGCACCACCCCTTCCAAAACCACCAGGTCCAAAGAGAGCTGAGTAGCAAGGGTTGTGGCAGTAAGGTTTTCCTTCCCTTTCTGCGTGGGACCCGGGTGTAAGGGTTTTGTTGCACTTCTCACATTTTAAGCATGCTGGATGCCAGTCCTTTCCAAGGGAACTTTTGCGTTCAGCTAGAAAAACATAAGTGTTTAAATTAGTTTCAAGGTACTGCTTTGCTACAGGTCACGCTTGAAAATATTTACAAATCACCCGTGATTTTATTTAACGGATGTTTTATAAATACAAAGAGTTCTAACCGATTTTACTTTTTTAAGATATTTTTTGAGGGCATAGTAAAAAATTAATTTCAATTTTTTATTAGCCAACCGTACCAACAGGTATGGTAGGCTATTAAGATCGGCAAAAAAAAAAGATTTTTTAATTTCACTCAAAATGAGTTATTTGAGTCATAAATGACCTACATACAAAATATTTTCATGGTGTCTGTCTGTCTGTCCGCCTGTAACACGATAACTCCAAAACCGCTAAACCGATTTTAACCAAATTTGGCACAAAAATACTGTGGAACCCGAGAATCTGGCTATTAGTTTTTAGTGGGGGTGGGGGGTTGGTAAGGGGGTATGGGAGGGGGTTAAAAATTTTAAAAAATCGTAACTCCAAAATTACAGTAGCTAGCGAAACGCGGTTTTCAATTTAAGATTAGGAATAATATTTGCAACAAAATCTGTAATAACATCAAAATCAGTCAAAGTCGCAGTTTTTGAGATATTCCGTGTTTCCGTAGTCCGTTTTTGAGAAAATCCGTGTAGAGAACTCCAAACTCCCATCGGACGCGACCCCAGGTGGCGGATAGGGGAAATAACCGCGGACCAAAATTGGAAAAATTCCTTTACTTTGAAACTAAAAGAACTGCCTACCAACTTTTTATTAACATATTTTAGTATGGGCGGCTATACGTGCCTCCCGGCGCCATTTTTTTTATTTGGCGCTCATATTTAAAAGGGGCACAAGGAAGTTAATCAAGATGAGGCGGATAAGAGAATAAGCCTAAACTGTCTTAATGCCCCCACAGACGCCCAGTTTTATCGCTCAGGCCGCCTGTGCAAACCTGGTTTGTGCAGTTATATCGGTAGAAAGTCTGAGGCAAAACAAGCTTAGTTTTTGATGAGAAGGTAAAATATTAAATGTTTTTCAATATGCTAATACGTATAACCACATTTGCACATGAATTTATCTGGTTAAACAATGCAGAAGTTGTGTCATAACTACTCATTAATTGCAGGGAAAATATATGACTATTGATGTATTAAAATTTTCATCAGAAAAATATAGATATGTACCTAACAATTTTAATTTTAATAGACCATTGGTATACTCTTAGGGTATACCTAATATTCTTGTTTGTGGCTTTTGTATGGTAACAGACTTCTTATAAAGGTAACAGATGATAATTTTTATGGGAAGTTATATGACATTTTATTACTATCGAAATCAAAGCCCATATTTGCAAGTTTTAAGGAAAACGGTTTTAAATAAATCTTAGTAAAGGTACTAAGGTTTTATTTCTTTAAGTAACTTATAAAGATTATAACTATCAATGACCATCAGTGTCAAAAAAAATATTTATTTGATTGATGGATTTAATCTCTCAGTCTCATGAGTGTGATGCAATTGTAGATTAGTGACATATTTTATAGCGGTGACATAAATTTAAGACTACAATATAAAAATACCGTATGATCGAATAAAAACGGCGTCAGCGATGGCTATGAAATGAAGATCGCTGTCATTTTATATGTAAATTTATATAGGAAATGCCATCGATCGTCATTTCCAAGCCAACTGGACGCCGTTTTTATTCGATCATACGGTATAAACTCTTAAAACGCTTTTTTAGGGTTAAAATAATGGAATGGGCTTGGTCGATTTTCACTTGTTCAATTTCCTGTTTGAGAAAAAAACACAACATTTATCAATGGATGAGTCAAACTTGGTCTAAGTTTGACCTTACAGTTGTTGAATTCCTAAAATAGCTATTACATCTATATACTCCTTGAATATAAAATAATCAAATATTATGTCATGGACGCGAGTGGTGAATCATGCTCTTTATTTTCATTTATTATTTTTGCGGACATTGTTTCACATCATACATAATAGATTCATACCATATGTTCTAAAAGCTTTATGATTAGAGTTTCTACTTTACCTGTCAGTTTATAGTTAAAAAATGAGATAAATTTTAAAATGTGCTCGACACAAATCTTTTAAGACAAAAATTAGTTTAAATGAGTGATGGACAAATGCAAGATCAACGCTAGTCCTGGTCTTGGCTTTGTTTTTTGTGTAAGACCAAGATCATCCGTCTCGCTCATCACTAGTTAAAATAGATATAGGTATTTTAAATCTTTATTTTATTATACCGTATGGTCGAAAAAAAAATGGCGTCAGCGATGGCTATGAGATGAAGATCGCTGTGTAAAATTATATCATCGATGTTATTTATTTCCAAGCCAATTGAACCAAAAGCCTTTTTTTTCGATCATACGGTATTATAGAATAGCTTTATTGCACGCCTTTTTGACAATACGACAAAACGGTACTTTCATTAATATATTAAATTTAAATGTTATTTAAGTTAACTACCGTTAGAAAAATACTTGTACTCAAATTTATAGTTCAAACACGTAGCTAAAGGTTTGAAACATCGGTTATGTATTCATTGCATTAAGGAAGTGCGGGCTTTTTAACAGCGTTATCGTAAAATGAATAGGAATGTAAATATGCACTTTTTCTACGTATTGCAAGATTGCATATATGTACAAATTGCCCGAGCATGTTAATATATTAATTAAACTGTAAATCGTTAAAACGCTTTGCCTTTGAGTAAATTTAATGGAATGTTAACGAAATATTTTTTTAATTTTTTTTAAGGGTAATTGGAGATAAAAACTAGTTTTGATAGAGATTTAGAGATACCATTTTACTTTAAAAATGAATTATTGTAGTTATTTTAAAAATGAATTATTGTAGCTCCTAGAATAATTATATTCTGATAATACAGGTTGCGTAGCTAGATATTCTGTGATACAGGGGAATATTGGGGGGTCTCAATATTCCCTTGATATAGGACTACTACCTATTTTAACTCTAGTATAAATGTTTTACAAAAAAGACGATTGATTTTTTTTTCGAAGAGCAATTGATGAAACCCCATCATCAATGGCGAAAAAATCGTCCGATTTAATGTGTCTTTGGAGAGTGAACTGAGGGGCTGAAACTCTGAATGTAGATTAGGCTTCATTTTTTCATAATATTTTGACGACGTTTCGTGCACTACGAAACCCCATCATCAATGAATTAAATAAAAAAAATCGCCCGATTTAAAGGAAATTTGGTATGTTGATAGATTGGACCAAGACCAAACTTGACCGTGTGAGACACTGTCACTGTGACAGCTAGTTTTGACGTAAGAACCGTCAAAAGTTGATGTTGTCCGAGCGCGACCAAAATTGGTCGGATACGACGTTTCGTTTATATCTTCATCAGTGTGGGACTAACGATTTGATATTAAAGAAAAATGTAGGTCGCTTTCGGCATAATTGGGGACGGGCTACAGGATGACGCCGTCCACGTTTCGAACCGAAGCCTCTAAATGGCCGACATCATCAGGATTGTTCTTAATTATAGGTCGATTGGAACCAAACTAGGCACGTGGGTAGAGGTACATGGAGTGACAGACAGACGAGAATAAGATGTTTAACTTCAAATATGCGCACATAGTGCACACAATTTTTTTTTTTGATTGATGACCTCTAAGAGACAAACGAAGCACTTTTGTATACAGGTAAATTATGTTCAATAAACTTTTTATGGCTCCAAAAAATTGGTATGTCCTCGGAATATTTGAACACCCTGTATATCATATTTTATCTACTACAGTAAACGGCCGTATGATCAAAAAGTTTTGTAATCAATCGCGCTTTGCATTGCATATCAAAAAAGCAATTCCAATGAAAAAATCACAGAACTTTTCTAATTAGGTACCGAAGTCAAAGGTAGCTTGATTATGAAATTCTTTGATCCAGATTCTTTGATCCGATGCATAGAGAACGCAAATTTATTAATTAACATCAACTGCATGATCAAATAAAACAGCGTCATAGTAGCATTCGCAATAACAATTGATGATAATAATTGTCAGGCCGACCTCTATACGTCATTTATTTAAAGCTGACATATTTTTTAACAAAATTTAATATATTTCATTTGGAAAAAAGTAGAAACTCTCCAGAAATCAATCTATTTCCATAAAATAGTAATATATATCTGATTTAATTTTTACTGTTACTCCATTCCAATATGAATTTTTGAGAAGTTTTTATGCCAGTTTTAACAAATGACATATAAGACGATATCATCGATTGCCATTTCAAAGGCCACTCCAACGCGATTTTTTTTCATCTAATGGTATAACAAATAAAATGTAATAATAAATTCATTGTTATTAAAATTATATCTACAAGTATAAAAACAAATACGAAAGTAGTTAAAGACCCAGTTGTTATCTGTTATCTATCATACTAATATCCCAATAAGCAGGTACTTCGTTTGAATCAATATTTATCTTGTTATCTATGTTTAATAAAAAAGATAGTATTATCTTTTCGGAAAGATATAGACATAGTCTCATATTGGAATCGAAGAAAACAAGATACTCACCAAAATAAACTGGTTTCTCGCACCTGGGACAGTTGGGCATTTCGACGGGTCAATTTAGTCGTACCTGTAACACAACGGGGGCAGCAGTACTAGCCTTGTTAAGCCTATGGCACAAACCGAACTAACTGAAAAATGCCTGGCTTAGCAGGTTTTCAATTCGGTCGGTCTCGTACTTGACGAAAGATAAATAATGATGCGGTGATGAATTTTGTGTTGTGTGCTATACGGCATGTCCATATTTGTGTCAGTATGTGATTTAACAATTTGGCAGTATTTATTTTAGTTAATTTATATTCTGGTTGATTAGACAAACATAACTAAATTATTTGCTTAGTAGTAGTCTAGTAGCAGTGGCGCGTATATAATGTAGGCAAAAAGGATTTACTTACCCCAGACAAAATCCTTAAATCTTAATCTTTTTTTATATCATTACATTATAAGTCATTACTACATCCAAGAAATATTCGCAATAAGCATTTTTTATCTTATTTTTATTCTAGAGAAATTACATAAGAATCTTAAGATATATTTTTAAATCATTTTTTACTACTGCCGTTATCGCGCAATTCCCATATAGGTATTTCTTGTATAGACGCTTCATATATGAATAAGACTTGTGTTGACTTGTGTGACTTCATATATGTGAGAAGTGTGTTTATTAAATGCCCTGTATTAGAGCAATATTTTACCAAAAATCGACATCTTGGGAAATTTTTATTTTCTTTTCGATCAATTGTTTTAGGGTAATTCTACTTCAGTGAATTGTTTTCGGGCAATTTTAATAGATCCGTTGTATTGCTCATGCAATAAAACAACAGGTGACTTACTTGTGCCCAACCAGCTATTACCGGTAATTCGTGACAGCGTTTTCAGATGCAGCGGAGCGTCCGCGCGTACCGTCCGCCAGTTCCATGAGTTTAAACGAACAATTTCACATGGGTCGCGTATGCTCCGTCCGGATGAGCTATCTTGAAAAAACATCCGCGCGTTCGGTCCGCTCCATCTGAAAGCGCTGTAACCCTAAAACGATAACTTAATTTTTCAACATCACATTATAAACTAAATTCAGGGCCAAAACCTATAATATTACGAAAATATCAAGATCTACAACCCCTTTTGGTGATAAACTTGTCATTAAATCACCAGAAGAAGTTGTCAAAATTATATCTCACGTATATACAATACAGGGTTTTCAGAAATGAATGTGCTTTACCTGCAGGATAACCTGGTAGTAAAAAACTTAAATAATAATTTAAATGTAGGAGTTGTAGAAATAAACAAAAGACGATCAGAAAGTTACGAAAAATTTAATTTTTTTAACGAAATACGCTTTATATTTTTTAGTTTTTTTTTTAAATATCTTTTTCTTCCGATTTCAAACATATTGTTATGTTCTTCCTGGATTCCATGTGGATATTTCAAAGCCTTATTTGATTAATGAAGTTAAAAAAAAGAATAAAAAAATATATAAAAAATTAAGGAAGTTATTTACACTATAAAGAACAACACTAAAAACTATTTAACACTGTAACCAGCTCTGCTATAACTTGGCTTTCCAATTTTCGGGATCGGGATCGGGATAAGAACCTTGGGATAGAACCTCTCATTGGCATTAGCATCCAATGAGAAATTTAACTTAAAGAAATAAATAAAATTAATAAAAATGCAGCTACATATATAAAAAAGAAAGTGAGAAAAGTTTTTATTAAAATAGACAATCTCGGAAATGCCAAAAGATAGTTCTTACGATATTTCCCTACATTTTGAGACAATCCGTATTAGGTTTTATCCTAATTTTAAATATATAGAAACACTGTTATCATAGTAATCGTAATGCTATATAGTTCTTATCAAATAGTCTTAGTTCAATTCTAATTTTAATTATTATTTAATTTTTATATGACATTATTGGAACATGGTTCGATAAAAGCTTGAGCGCTTTGATTGAACTTATTTAATAAAGATAATAGTAAAGTGTTTATGCTGAATTAAAAAGTGTAAAATATTTTATACACATAAAAAAAATATTGTTAAATTTTTTAAATATTGTTTCATCTTTTTGTGATATTACTAGTTAAATATATTAAGTTAGGCCATAATAATTATTCTAATGAAAAATGTATTTAGCAGAAATTCCACGCTACGGCTGCAACAGTTTGAGCATTTTATTATTAATATTTTTTTGGGAAACAATATTTTTTTAGGATATACATGATGTTATATATAATCTTCTATTTAATGTGAGATAATTTTTAAATGATGTACAAATAAATACGTCAAAAATGTCTAAAACGTATCAGACACGATCTAATATTATTTTTATAATTAATAATTAGTAACAAAACATTGAAGATTATAAGAGTACAAACCTTGAAGCAGATTACAGAAAATTCCTAGAAGGCTAAAATTTGACATATGAGATGAAAAACAGTCAAAACTATGAATTAGGGAACAGGTTTTCAAAGTTTTATTAGCCATCCCGTTATATTCGCCAGTTGATAGCCTATGCCTATGCATTAGACAGCAATGGCAGCGAAATAGATCAGTATTGGAGAGTAATGGAATATAGAGGGAATTGTAACTGCTGTCAAGTTCTATTTTCTTCTTTTTTAAGTTTATGTTCGCAGAACCGTAACCGCATTCGAATATATTTCGTATTATTTGAAATTTATGTCTAGTGTTACTTTATTGGTAAATTCAAGAAATTATGGAATATGTTATGATTGTACAGAGTTATCGGCAGAGAAATACGTAGACGAGGACTACATTAAAATTTAGTTTTTTTTTATAAAAAAAGATGCCATTTTATTTCTTAAAAATATTATCTGTTGTAACATCATTATATGTTGCCGATCATTTTACTTCTAGCATGAAGCAATACCTATGCAGCAGTTTTGATGGAAGGCTGTAAATTGTGTTTCGACTATCTTTTATTAATATGTAAAGTTTGTAATGCTTTGCCTCACAGTAATAAATTTGAACCTTAAGGTACCTCTGCCAAATAAATAGAATAGATCAGGTGATAAGGACTTGGCAATACGGACTACCAAACTTTTAGTTCAATTAAAATTAATGGTTATTATAATATAGTGATATAGATCCGGCAGAACTGGAATGACTGGAACCTGGATGTAGGTCCATGAAGCTTCATGTAACTCCGGACCAGAGATATGGACTAAGTCTATATCTCTGCATCGGACCCGACTCCTTTAAAATACCGGTTCTGTTCATTCCTAGTTCACATGCAACCTCAATATTATTTATAACTAGATATTCGCTTATCTCATTGTTATTGGATTCTAAATTCCATGGAAACTCCGTTTATAAAAACTATCGAGACTAAGGGAACAGGTGTGGTAGGTGGTAGGTGATGCGAGGGTGCCCAAAAACTAGAGATGTCGACTGCCTGGCAAATGATTGGCTGATTTTCTTATTAATATTTTTTATTTAGACTGTTTAAAATTTTCCAGTTATTCATGATTTATCATTATAGACCGAGAGCTGGATACATAAAAAACCTTATCATCGTTACATGGCTAATTTTTTGTGTGTAGTATCCTTTTGTGTAGCCATTGTGAAATAGTCATGTCTGCCAGCGAGATCCCGGGGCTTAAAGCGGGGGCGGCCAATCGAAAGGGTGAAATTTTGACACTAAAAATATTATAAGGTACACGACTTATAATTGCCAAATAGCTTTTATTTATTATTAGGAAACGTGTAAAATTGTTGACAGACATTTTTCTCGTGGCTGAAATGCCGATAGACAACGCGAAAGAGGCATAGAATTTTGACAAAAGAAAATCATCGCATACATGCATGTCGGTTGGTGGAATGTCACGTTTATTGTTAATTAATTTAAAAAGTCGTATGAGCAAAAGGGCAGACAAAAAAATCGTTATTAAAATAATAAAAAAATATATTTATAATATAATTGTATATTATATGATTTATCTATGCTTAAATGGATGAGGCGGCCAGCGTTCCCTGAAAAAAGCGCTAGAGTAATATCGCGCTTTTGATAACTGTCTGCAGCTGATTGAGCCACGATCTTTTTGTCTGCCCTTTTGCATACGGCTTTTAAAATAAATAAATATGACATTTCACCAATCGGTATGCAAATATGCCATAATTTTTTTCATTCTTCAAATTTCATTTTTTAATAATTTTTAAAATTTCATGCCTCTTTGGCGTTGTCTGTCGGCATTTTCGCGACTAGAAAAATGTCTGCCAACAATTTTCCACGTTTCTTAACAATAAATAAAAGCTATTTTCGCAATTATAACTCATGTATCTTATAATATTTTTAGTGTCAAAATTACACCCTTTCGATTGGCCGCCCCCGCTATAAGCCCAGGGATCGCGCTGGCAGACATGACTATTTCATAATGGCTACACAAAAGGATACTTCACACAAAAAATTAGCCATGTAACGATGATAAGGTTTTTTATGTAGCCAGCTCCTAGACTATTATACATATATTATCTTTATCAATAATAAATAAATAGAAAACAAAATATGATCGATCATGAACATATTTTAACAAATATTTAATTCCTTATTAATTTGATTAATGGAGATCGACAAGTTATCGTAATAAGAGCCTCTATACTAATAAATGTCAGTTTGACATTAATATATACCTACTGGAGTTTAATTTGTAGTTATGCAAATAAATAGAGATAACAACGTAACAGTAAACAATGACGATATAAAACTTTTATTGGATCACTTATAAAATTGAATTAATTTGCTTTGTTCTAATCTAAGCATAATAATATAACAGAGGGTTCTATCTAAGCATAATAATCTCAGTCGGTATTTATATGTCTAGGAGTGAATCGCTATGGCGATCTTGTAAGTCGAAAAATACTTGCTCTTTTCTCTTTGTTCAGTACATCTTATTGTACTGACTACGTTGATTGTACTCTTCGTGCACACGAAAATCGGCACCCAATGACATTTTTTAGATGTCGTTGGATCTGTCCAAGCAAAAAATATATGGACAGTGAGCGATAGTTTTTTGTAATTTTATTTCAAAAGTGTATAATTCTTTTTATATCATTTGTTTGGATATCATCTGGTGTCTTCGAAGTTATATACTTTCTCGCTTGACAGACTACATCTATATTTTTAAAACAAAAATCAAAAATTTCCTGAAATGTATGGTTTTAAGTTAAGGGTATTAACGCTGTTTTATATGCAGTAAAAAATAAACTATAAAAAGAAATAATAATAAGGAATTATATGTAGGTATAATAAAATTACAAGTAATAGGTAGATATATGAATCTTTACGAGTGAATGGCAGTTTTTAATTTAATATTGATCATTTAGTATCACAGGATACTCCTTTGGCTTTATCGCTGGTTTTGCTCGTTTGTGATGGAGGTTTCTTCGGCGTCGAGCTAGTCGATCCTTGTTTGGAAGATCTACGTGATCCTTGGATAGATCCTGAAATATTTTTATTTTCCGGTTTGACATTAGCCGATCCAGCACTCCTATTACTTTTGTTCTCTTCGGCTTCTAAAACGTTTTCGCATACATTGGCACATGGATCGCCTTTAGATGATCGACTCGATGAAACTGTGGATGGACATTTACAAAATTCTCGTTTCGGTTCACCAGGTTCCTTTGGTGACTCCCTGACGCTTTTCTGACTGGATCTAGAAGTGGGCAAATCTAAAATATTAATTAAAATATTAGATTACAGTCTATACAAAGGGAGGATCCCTGACAGTGATAGTTGTGTCTCTCAATTTAATTTACAGGCAAATATATTTTCTGTCATTTTTTGGGTCTGCTACTGATTATAAGAATTCTTCTATTTATTAATTTGGTTATATATTGCTTCAATTATTTTCGTTTAGATAAAAGTAATAATTCGGGATAATATTTATAAATATCTCATGGTTGGTGTAATATCCATTTATTAATTTTTCAGTCATCAATAGATTTAATTATATAGACGGTACTTAAATTTATCAAATATTTTTTTAAAGTAACCATGCTATAATAAAATACCTATATCAGTTTATTTTACGAATTTTACAAAATAAAAGGATAACATTTTTGAAAGATATTTGGTGACGTCAAAAATCACTTATGACGTTTCAATTTCTATGTTTTATTATATTGAACTACCTTTTTTTTATTATATTGAACTACCTCTAAACCAAACCGATTGCATCGTATGGTCGAAAAAAAAACGGCATCTAGTTGGCTTGGAAATGAACATCGATGACATTCCCCATATAATTTTACATATAAAATGACAGCGACCTTCATTTCAGAGGCATCTCTGACGCCGTTTTTTTTTCGATCATATTGTAGAATAAATAATAAGGCCAGTGAACGCAAACAAACCCACAACATTTCAAATCAAATTTAAATGTTTCAATTAAAACGTCAACCAGAACTGTCAAGGATGGGGACCTATAATGTCGATTCCGACCACAATATACATGGACAATATTATACTCGTGCTTTAATCTCTTTATTCGAAAATTCCTATAGATATACCGGGTGCGTCTCAAAAGTGGCAAAAACTTTTTTATTTTTTCAGATAAAAAAACGAGATTTGGTATGTTAGTATATGACATAAATTAGGATTGATTGACGTATTCAATTGTTTTTGGTCACATCCTGTTTCACCGGAAATGACTACAACTTTTGATTTTTAAATAGCACCCTCGGTATTTTTTTACATTATTCAATAAAATGACATCGTATGTCAATTTTTGACATTCTCGCTTAATAAATAATCGTATTTTAAATTTCAATCTAGAGTGCCATGACTATGTTAAAACAGTAATTTTTGGAGCCTTGGAAAAATAGATTTGACCATCTAATGTTTTTAGTGTCTTATCCTGGCCGGTTAAAATTGTATTTTTAATCATATCTCAATTTTTTCAAATGGAACGAGGGTGGCGCATTAGCATGTTTGGAAAAAGCATTTTTTACGAATAATTTGATACCACACACTTGGTATGTCGAGTCAATTTTTCGTTATGAACCGCAAGTTATAATTTCAAATAAACCATATGCAAAAATGTCAAAAGTTGACATATGATATGTCATTCTATTCAGAGTGTCATTCTCTATCGAATAAAGTAACAAAACACCGAGAGTGTCATTTAAAAATCAAAAAAGTTGTAGTCATTTTCGGTGAAACAGGAAGTGACCGAAATCAATTGAATACGTCAATAAATCCTAATTTATGTCATATACTAACATACCAAATCTCGTGTTTTTAACTAAAAAAATAAAAAAGTTATAGGGGTGAGCCACTTTTGAAATGCACCCGGTATAATTATAAATGTCAACTAATTTTTACCTTTGATATGTTCTTCCGAGTCTTTCTTTAGTTCTTCAACGACGGTCTTTTCCGTTCCTACACTCTGCCTTTCTTTCTTAGGACATTCCCACACGAAAATGCTTCCTGACGCACATGCGCTAACTATATATTGACCATCAGCGCTGAAATATGCTGAGGTTATAACGGCAGCATGACCGATACCAATATGAGTTGTCAATCCTGAAGATATAAACCATAGAATTTATGTAAAAGTAGAAAAAAAAAATATCTACTTATTACTAGAGATGAGTAGAATGATACGAAGTAGTGTACCGGTGCTGGTACTGATGGATGTAGATCCTACTGAATATTGACCCCTATCCGCGAAATTGCATTGCTGACAGCCAACTGGCCACGTCGTCGGCAGATAACGAAAACATAACAATGCACAATGAATAATAACTGCTGAATTGTATTTACTGTTGATTTTTTAATTTTACTTTTGCGGAACCGTAACCGTATTCGAAATTATTTTGTCTTATTTGAAATTTTTGTCTAATGTTGTTACTTTACGCAGAAAAAAATTCGTGGGTGTCGAGCCTTCCCAAACACCCACGATTTTTTTTCTACGTACTAACTACTGGGAACTAACAATAATCATAGTTGTTACTTGATTGAGAAATTTAAATGTTATGATTATGCAGGGTTCGTCAAAGAAATCAGCAGACATGGACTACGTTCAAATTTAGTTTTACTTTTGTTTTTGTAAATGGCCATTTTATTTCTTAAAAATACTATCTGTTAAATGCCTATCATTTTACTGAAGCATGAAGCAATCCATATGCGGCAGTTTTGATGGAAGGCTGTAATTGTGTCTCGACTATATTTTATTAGTATAAAAAGTTCGTAATGCATTCCCTCATAGTCATAAAAAAAATTGAACCTTACGATACCTCTACCAAATAAATAAACCGCTAAGATCAGACAAAAGGCAAACATCAGATTTCCCTAAACGCGGATTGCTTTATGCAAAACAAAATTTAGTTAAATTATAATTAAAGGTTAGAATGATATAGATCCGGCAGAACTGACACCTGGATGTAGGTCCATGAAGCTTGATGTAAATCTGGAACCGACTCTTTTAAAATGCCGGATCTACCCATCTCTCCTTATTACCTTCTTGATACCTCCATAGTTTAATTATTTGGTCGTTGCCACCGGTTACGAAATATTCTCCACTGGGTGAAATGTCCAAGCTGTTGATTGTTCCAGTAGGAGAGCCTTCTAATTCTCTAACCAAGCACCCGTCAAGCACCTCCCAGTACGCTACTTTTCTGTCCGAACCTCCTGTCAATATTTGAACTCCAGTTGGATAGTACCTTTAATAAGTACCGATAATACAACTATACAACTGTACGGTGACCCATTTACGTGTATTTTATAGGATTTCTCGTTTATGAGTAGAGATTACTAACCAAAGATGCGGTTTTCAAGTCACTGTGCTACTTTTTATGAAACTCTAGATGCTAGACACAAATTTGTCCTAGCCCTCTTAGTTCCTCAAATATAAGGCAAATTTGAAAATTTTACATTTTTAGACTCCCTTCGTATCTCGGTTATCCTGCCATTACTCGCTGACGAGTATTTGACACGCATCAGAAGATGGTCACGCAAGGCGCTTACTTTCATGAGCTTTTCTGTGACTGAAAAGCCCGATACGTGATGTTATCTGTCTACCGCACTCCGGACATTCAAAAATATCATTGCTTTGTTGCCTCTTAACTTTTTGGTTATCGCTGTTATCCTATAACTTATCGAAAAGATGAAAATCGAGTTCCGTAAAGTTTTTCACGTAGAATCCAGTGGTGTAACTAGTCATTTTCGAAATACGATTCAAACGATTCGAATTTCAAACATGACTCTTTTCGATAAGTTAAGAGATGATCCGAGATGCTATATAATTCGCCCTATATTGCAGAAACCCAGGAGGCTCGAAATCTCTGTGTAGCATCTTTAGTTTCATAAAAAGTACAGAGTAACAGTGATATGAAAACGACGTCTTTGTATCTCTACTCATAAACGAGAAATCCCATAAACCACACGAAAATAGAACACCCTGTACACTGTCAATTCCGTATAATAGAAACAAAAAAAAATTACAATACAAAAAAAATTTGGGATAATATAAAATTCTGTACCTTTTTAATCATTTTTTTTTATAAATTATAATAATTGTTAGTTTCCTAGGTTAATACATAACTGAAATTTGTCTAACGAAAGGATGCCAGTGACAGTTGTATCCGTCAGTTTAATTTTCTGTCATTTCTTGGATGTCGCCTGTCGAAATATTCCCCGACTCATTGAACAAACTGGGCCCGTATTCTGTAACTTTGAAAACGCTAAGCGCTTTTAGACGCTCAGCGTATATGACGTTAATTTTCGCTGAGCGCGCACTTAATTAACGATTTCGGTATTCTCGTCTGACGCGCTTAGCGTCTTTACTGATTGCGCTGAGCGCTTTGAAAACGATTGCCTTAAAGGATCGTTTTGCTTGTCGAACTGTGAGTGAAAATCGAAAAAATTGTGATTTTGTGCGTTATCTTGCTCTTTAGTGAAAATTACTACTTCTTCTATAAATTCCTCAATAAGTAATTGATAATTTACGACTTGGCAGCTATAAATATTGTTCAAAACATCGAAAATGCTGAGAAGCGACTTCAACACTTTCCTCGTATAATAAGAATAATGACATATCCATAGAAAAATAGCTTGAGATAACTCAACAATAGGTTATGAAATTCACGTAACATTGACATTTTTCATTGTTACATCAGTCAGTTATCAACATTTGAGTGTTAGCTTGCGATGTTGCCAATATGTGCTCAACGAGTATCCAGAACGTACCAAAATCGACTGCCTTGCGTTTCGCTGATCGAATACTTGCGCTCACCACTTTGAAAGCGTAACGTTTTTATGTCAAAGTTACAGAATACGGGCCCTGTTATTTGCTAACTAGCACAGTTTAACATGTTACAATAATTTAAAATGAACTGATTTCTATTTAAATTTAACTTGTACTAAAAATCAGAATTATAACTGTCTAGTGTTAATTTTACTGAACTATGTTACATTGACATCCAAAATCATTCTAGATTTGAATGGCGACAAACTAATAATTATGGCATCTATCATAAATAATACGTTATGTATATGAACTTTAACTTGTTTTTAATCTGTATTTGCTAAATTATTTTGTCTATTTTCCCAGTAATTGTTTAAAATTATACGTGACTTAATGCATAAGATTTTAAATAAACGGATATTGCCAGTTTATTTATCAATGATAAGATATCTAATATTGTTGTTTCTAGGTATTTATAACTCACGTATGAACTAGGTACTAAATAATATTATACCGTGCGATCGAAAAAAAACGGCGTCAAAGACGGCTAGGGAATGACGAACAATCTATGATCATTTTTGCGAGCTCAAGCTCCAAACGCCATTTACTGGCCCGTACTTTTCTTTATTTTTTAATGGCGCATACTGCCGGTTGGTCTTAGAAGGTAGTAATTTATTTTTATATTGACTAAAAATAATTTTTAAATGGCGTAGTTAAAAATTCGAGAAACAATGTTTTTTGGAAATAGATTTGTGCCTGTTTGTTACCTTTCTGTAATTAGTGTTAATTTTTAAAAAGTTTTATAAAAATGTTTAGTAAATAACGTGTAGGGCTTGACCTAGCCAAAATTATAATTGACTGTCATTCCCTAGCCGTCGTTGACGCCGTTTTAATTCTGTACTATATTATATACGGTAATACTGTACTACATTATAGTACAGTATTATATATTATTTTTATCTCTGTAGTTCTCCTCACGTAAATTTTCCCAATAAGGCAAAACACGATCCATCAAAGCACTCAAGAATCAACAGAACCGGACCGAACGAAATAAAAAAATAATGAACAAGAACATATAATTATTTAATAATTTGACCAATATTATTAAAACTGATCTTTTATATCCCGCTAAAATATATTTACTAAAAGGTAGTAACAAAGCAAAAGTTATACAGGGTTGTTCACCACGTACGACACGGAGTATTGTAGCTAAACAATTATATTTTTACAAATTTAAGTTTTGGGTTCGTTGAAAGACTATTAGAGCTACAATTTAAAAATATTTTTACAAGATACAGAGTGTCCCAAATAAGTAAAAAACATTATAGTTGTATTTTTTTAAATGGAACACCCTGTATATTATTACATTTTTAGATTCTACGAATAAAATAAAGGTGAATTTGATTAAGGTTTATCACACTTAAACCTTACCTTTTTTGAAATACTTTCAGTTTTATAAAATTGCAGTAAAAATTTTAAGGCTTCATTTCTCCAAGGGTATCAAAGTTTTTAATACTAAATATTTACTGAAGATTTATTGATCAAATATTGTGTTGCAATAATAAAAATTTTACTACCTTATACAGAGTGTCCAAAAATGTATAAATAATAATGTATATGTAATAATTACTTGCTTTAAACGGCAATAACTTGTTTAATTTAAATGGAACACCCTATATATTTTACGTGAATCAGATGCACAATATAATTGTCTATTAAATTGTATTATGCCATTTTTTACCCATCTCTTTAAGTTTTCGTATAAAATGCATTTTCTAATAATTTAGACCTCATTTATCACTATACCTATGGAATATTGACATTTTAGATTATTTTTAAAGATGTAACCAATTTTCAAAGAGTACAGGTACTAATATTGTCGATATAGTTCGCTTATTTCATTAAAAAATAAAAAAAAACTGTTTAAATATTTTTTGTTAAAGAGGACCAATTAGTATGATCCCAGTATTCAAACTACATTAATTGGCTGTTTACGTTGATTAATAATAATTGCTCCAAATACTAAAAAACTGAATTTTGTGTGTGGTAAAAAGTAACACCTTATAAGTTTTATTTAATTTTTTGACGAATGCTTATTTATAAAAACAAAGACGTTCATTTTCATAACTTATTATTATATTGATGATTTCTAAGCCAAATCCACATTTATTTAAAATACTTTATTAATTAAAACAATTTAACTAATTTTTGGTCGGAAATAATGGTGGTATATTTAATTGGTATACTCTTTTATAAAGATTTAAATAGTTCTTTTTGTATACCAATGGGCTTGCAATATTTACTACCTGTACATTTTGTACAACATATATGTACAAAAAAATCTGAAATGTCAATATTCCATGGCTATAGTGATAAATGAGGTCTAAATTATAAGAAAATGTCTAATAGATAAAAAATTGTATAATAAAATTTGATAGACAATTAAATTGTGCATATGATCCACGTAAAATATACACGGTGTTCCATTTAAATTAAACAAGTTATTGCCGTTTAAAGCTAGTAATTATTTAATATAAATTTTTGGACACTCTGTATAAGGTAGTAAAATTTTTATTATTGCAACACAATATCTGATCAATAAGTAATCTTTAGTAAATATTTAGTATTAAAAACTTTGATACCCTTGGAGAAATGAAGCCTTAAAATTTTTACTGCAATTTCATAAAATTGAAAATATTTCAAAACCGGTAAGGTTTAAGTGTGATAAACCTTAATCAAATTTACCTTTATTTTAATCGTAGAATCTAAAAATAGAATAATATACAGGGTGTTCCATTTAAAAAAATACAACTATAATATTTTTTACTTATTTGGGACACTCTGTATCTTGTAAAAATATGTTTAAATTGTAGCTCTAATAGTCCTTAAACAAACTCAAAACTTACAATTTGTAAAAATCTAATCGTTTAGCTACAATACTTCGTGTCGTATGTGGTGAACAACCCTGTATAAAATATAGATTAAAATTAACATATATTTTGAACATCAGATATACTTAATACAGATCATAAATCATCACCTCGTCATATTGAAAAAAACGTCAAAAAGTAATGATAATTGAACAAATTGCAAATTGATGGTGGCAAGTTCATTTCGCTCTAAAAAATTAACCCAGGCATGTGTTGACATGATTCAAAAAATAAAATGGTCAAGAGCTATAGTTCTTACCGTAAAATAATATTTTAGGCAAATTTATTCACTAACTTATTGCACAGCGTGTTTTAAAGTTAGGATAAAAAACAACCCCTCGATAAACCAAATACTAAAGTTTATAAAAAATGAGTTTACGAATTAAAGTTGATATATTTATATACAGTGTGCTAAAAAATAATGAAAATAGGGCAAAAAATAAAAAATATGACGCTTTAAATTTGACGAAAAATTTCGACGTTGCGTTTTTTTGTATAAAGTAATTTTATGAATTAAGTAAACTTAGTAACTTAGTAAAGTAGAGATAGTTACTATGTATGTATTACTTTATGAATTAAGTAAACTTAGTAACTTAGTAAAGTAGAAATAGTTACTATGACAGCTAGAAGTTGAGTAAGCTGTAACAATATTACGAGTAATGGGTTGTAGTAGTATTGGAAACCCAGGGGGAAGAATGGAATTTCCTCCTCCCCGTTCCTCAAAATAAATTGACAAATAATTTCAGAGAAATCTAATGAAAAATACACACCTAACACACATAAATAATGTGTTTGCGAACAAAATTTGCCGTCGACATTGTCTTTCTAAGTCCCAGATTATGCACGTTCCATCCGTACTGGCACTGGCCGCTTCAGTGTTGAATTTATTGATGTGAATCGCCGAGACAGGTCCCTTATGTTCCTAGAATGAAATTAAAAAGGTTCTAGTACTAAATAATTACCTACAAGAATTTATTTTACTCTCAAATTACTAGGTATTTTTTAATACGAATACATATTTAAAGTATACCCTACTTGCAAGCGAAACCTTGGGTCGGTGTCTACATATTTAAGAGTGAAGCGCTATGACAATTTTGTAAGTGGGAGAGAGAAAAATGCAAAATATTTATTACATAACCACTTAAGCTTCATTCAGAACCTCGCAATTAGTGGAATAAATTAGTGGTTTCAATTACACTTTATACTTTTTAGTTTACTATCATTCACAATGCCTAAAAACACAATTAAAATTAATAAAATATCCTAGCAACAGCTTGCGGTAGTTGTATCCATAGAGAAAACCAAATATTTAACTTACAAAACAATAAACTTTTGATTTATAACCACAATTTGTCTTGACGGGCGATAATCAAAGGTCAAAATGACATTCCCTGCAAATTTTTAAGTATAATTAGTGGAAAAGTCAACGGTTTGTTAACTTTTTCCACTAATTGAAAACGACTACCATTAATTTAGACGTTCTGAATGCTTACATTGAAATTAAAGTGAAAATACTTGTGAAAATACTTGCTCTTCTTTCCTTATTCATTACATCTTATTTTCTAGATCACTACAATACACCAAAACACTTTTACTTTTGCACTGGACGCGCGTTTCTCTAACCATGTTAACATCATCAGCAGATGAGTAAAACGCAGACGATTAAAACGTTTTAATCATCTGCTGATGATGCTAACATGGTTAGTGAAACGCGCGTCCTGTGCAAAAGTAAAAGTGTTTTGGTGTATTGTGGTGATTTAGTGTTTTATTTTGCTGTTGTAACACCAAAAGTTCCAACCCCCAACTGTAATAACATCTTAATTTATCGAGCATACTCTTCGTATACAGGAAAATCAGTACCTAAGGCCAAAAATGCAGACGCGGTGTAAAAACATAAAATTTTTAAGGAAATTTTTAAAATTTTTGGACTCTCAGTTATTTTGCGCAGATTGGTTTGTGCAAGCCAAATCGGCTGTCCCAAGGAAAAACACAGTATATGATAATTTATGTATACCGGGTGCGTCTCAAAAGTGGCTCGACCAAAAAAATACAAGATTTGGTATGTTAGTATGTGACATAAATTAGGATTAATTGGCGCATTCAATTGTTTTTGGTCACTTCCTGTTTCACCGGAAATGATGACAACTTTTGATTTTTAAATGGCACTCTCGGTATATTTTTACTTTATTCGATAGAAAATGACACTCTGAATAGAATAACATATCATATATTAACTTTTGACATTTTAGAATATGGTTTATTTAAAATTGCAACATGCGATTCATAACGACAATTTGACTCGAAATACCAAGTGTGTGGTACTAAATTATTCGTAAAAAAATGCTTTTTCCAAATATGCTAATGAACCACTCTCGTTCCATTTGAAAAAAATGAGATATGATTAAAAATACGATTTGGGCATTTTTTAACTGGCTAGGACAATACACGAATAACATTAGACGACCAAATCTATTTTCCAAGGCTCCTTGATTAAAAATTAATGTTTTTAACACAACCATGGCACTCTAGATTGAAATTTATAATCCAATTTTGTTTTAAGCGAAAATGTCAAAAGTTGACATATGATAACTAGATATGATAGCAATTCTATTCAGAATGTCATTTTCTATCGAATAAAGTAAAAAAATTCCGAGGCTGCCATTTAAAAATCAGAAGTTGTAGTCATTTCCGGTGAAACAGGAAGTTACTAAAAATAATTGAATACGTCAATCCAGGGACGCGCCAAGTATTTTCGGCGCCGTCGTGCCAAATAAGCAAATAAGGGTAGGCGCCTTTCTCCAATATTATAATATTAAGCCAAAATTTCCAATGACCAGCGGCGCGGCGCTCGACATTGGTGGATAATATATTTTCACCACTAGAGTTCATAGATAAAAGTATTACTTAAATTTTATGTTAATTTGTTGATAAGTTCCAAAAAATGGTTGTATTATTTTTTAAAGTCAGTGACCGCAGGCGCCTTTAGGGCTTTGGCCGCACGACCTTGCCCATATGGACGGCGCGTCCTTGCGTCAATCAATCATAATTTATGTCATATACTAACATACCAATCTGTTTTTTTATCTGAAAAAATAAAAAAAATATAGGGGGTGAGCCACTTTTGAGACGCACCCGGTATACATAAATTATCATATACTGTCTTTTTCCTTGGGCAGCCAGTATACTATTCAGTGTGTGTTGTATACTATTCACCCGTGTGTGCACGGTCTAAGTCAACTGGTTTGTGACCATATGTTTGACATTTAATTTAACATTTAATTCGTCATAAGGTTTCTGTAGCAAATTAATATGAGAGTGTACAGGGTGAGTCAACGATAGAGTAAAGTCCATTATCTCAGTTATTTCGAGGTTTACAAAAAAATGTTTAATATAAAAGTTATAGGGAAGGTTAAGATACACATTTTAAAATTATTACAGAGTATACAGGGTGCATAAAAAAGTGTGGCGGATATAACATATGTTTTTTTAAATGCAACACCCTATTTTTTATTTTATTTTTAGATTCTGCGTAAAATTCTTTTATATTATATACATACTATATATACATATACATATACTATATCTTTCGTTATATACTTAATGTTAAATTGCAGTGTGGTAAAAAATGGTCAGTGATACCATTGTTTCTGAAGTTAGAATACCAAAATTTGGTATGAGAGTTTTATAGAGATGAAAAAAAAGATATATGTAAAGATATTTTAGTTAAATGCCTACTGGGTGTTCAAAATATATTTATGATTTTCAACTACTTAAAATTAAAAAATCTCAAATTTTTTAAATGGTACACCCTATATATTTTAATTTTTTTCTGATAGATTTTGCAAAGCTCTTCAACTTGTATTAAGTATGTCATATACCTATTTTTAATAGTTTGCGATTTATTCCAATGTTTAATATATTTAATACAATTACGCTATAACATCATAGTTGCCATGACAAAACATAATAATTATCAAAATTTCATGTCTGTTAAGCAAGTTAAGAAAAAAACATGAATTTTAGTTTAATTTGCTGTAATAAGTATAAGTGGTAGCGGTAGAGATAATAGATACAGATGTTTCTAAAAATGAATTAGTCAATGTATCTGATATACACGAACAAGCCAAGATAAACATATTTTTTGGTTCAGTACTACATATTATATAGTACTTTGCTAAGTACTATAAGAATAGATGAATGTCCACCACTGTATATAAAAAAGTTATGGAATTTTATGCAGAACCTAAAAATAAAATAAAAAATAGGGTGTTGCATTTAAAAAAAACATACGTTATGTCCGTCACGCTTTTTTGAAGCACCCTGTATATTCTATAAAAAATTTAAAATGTGTATCTTAACCTTACCACGAACTTTTATATTAAGCATTTTTTTGTAAACCGCGAAACAAATGAGATAATGGACTTTACTCTATCTTTGACTCAGCCTGTACACACTTACCAGTAACACTTTGGCAATATTTTTTTGTCCCTTTGATTTTTCTTCAAATTATACATATGGTAGCAGATGATTATAGTAATTTGACATCATATTTTTTGTTTCGCAATTTTTTCCCTATTATAATAAATACAGAAATGTATGTAAGATTTTTTCATTGAAAGAAAATTATATTTACTTTTGATAGGTATGCATATAAAAAAAACTTGTACTGACTAGTGTCGTCGGGCACGTGTTAGGCGTCAGAGTTACGCGAGAGATGCGCCACGCGTCAGAGTTGACAATACAATGCCTAACAACCATCTAACAACTAACAAATAATAATCTTAAACCCCCACTCGGTGGCCGTATCGATCCTTCTCCTGAGTCAGCGGCGCGCCTCAGCCAGCACGGCCATCCTGTAGAACTTTCGTCCTCGAAAGCTAGTTTTCTGTAACGACAAGCAAAAGAGAATAATAATAATTTAGGCCAACCGAGAGACCAACAATTATTGACAAAGTATGCGTGAGTTTAACCTTTAAGATTATGCTCAAGATGACGATCAAAATTGTGCCTAAGATGGCGATCACTGTTTTGCCTGAGATGGCGACCAAAATTGTGCCTCAGATGGCGATCACTGTTTTGCCTGAGATGGCGACCAAAATTGTGCCTCAGATGACGATCACTGTTTTGCCTGAGATGGCGACCAAAATTGTGCCGAAGATGACGATCACTGTTTTGCCTGAGACGGCGACCAAAATTGTGATATAGCAAAACCAATGGGTTATTTGAGGGTCTCGTTCCTATTTATTAATTATTTTTATTTTTAATTAATTTACCTTTTGGATCATTATATCCTCTAAACAGACAATTCCTTTTCAAGAAACTTTCACCCAAAACAGACCAGCCATTCATATGGTCTACTGGAGCCTTCAGTATCGGTCCTAAAGTGTCGTTTTTCTATGGTAATGTCGTTTTTCTATTTCAAAAGTACTGTGGACAACAGTACTGTGGACGTGTACTGTGTTATCCGGTGTTTTGTACTACTGAGACTTCGATGTAGAGCTTTCTTCTAAAGATACCACTCACAACATGATTTTTTTGCGATTGGGATTTATAACTGAGTATCTGAACTTGGAACAGATAAAACTTCACAAAACACCAACACTAAATGTTCTCAACCACTTCTGATGTCGTCGGGCACGTGTTAAGGTTGTCGCCCACTAGACCGCGGCGCGACGCGGCGCGGCGCCATGTGGAAATTTCTTTTGTCTGCTTGCCATGTATTTAAATGGACCAACGCACATTAGAGCGCGCAGCGCAAAAGCGCGCCGCGGGATTTCCGTCAAGAAGTCGGAAGACTTCTCTAGCAACTTTTTTCCGTCTCCCGCGTTTCGGCGCGTTGCAGTGTGCGTACTCAAAAGGGAAATAATTTTGCATTCGAGTTTTTTCAGTTGGCTTTTTGACTAGGAACTAGTGATATGTATCAATGGCAGAATTGTATTTTTAAAGGTAAATTAGGCAAATCGATTTTCATAAAGGAATATGATATTTTTTTTAGTCTTCCCTCACTAGAGACAGATGGACGAAATGCCTTTCTATCAAAGATTTAATATAATTGAGGGGTGTAGAGGCAAAACTGGCAATCTCCACTTTTTAACAAAAGTGACAATCTCCAATTTTTAAATTCTAATTACCTAAATATATAAAAAAGATCAGGGTTTTTTTGACCACATAACTAATATACACATCAGAATAAATAAGAATTATCAAAAATATTAGTAATTTGTCTCTTCTGAAAAAATATGATGAGTAGATATACCCGGTGTTTTTTCTTCTAAAACCCTCAATTGAGGAGTGCGTAAAATGTTTCCTTTATATTTTGTAATACTGAAAAAAATGATTTTGTCTTTTATTAAATCTGGAAAAAGATGGTAAAAGTCTCCAAACTTCTTTCTTTTTTTGTTAATCGTATGAGTCCAAACTTTTCCTCACCCCCTCTTCCTCTTCCTCTGTTAGAAGAGCACAAAAAATACGCTTTCGTCACTACAGTAAGTAAAAAACACTTCGACTATAACTAAATAGCGTTGCCGCGTTTCAAAAGCGCGCTATAGTGGGCGCAGTCCCTTCGCAGCCGGAAAAAATTCTCTTCCCAGCGCCGCGCCGCGCAGCTGTCTAGTGGGCGACAACCTTTAGGCGCCAGAGTTACGCGAGAGATGCGCCACGCGTCAGAGTTGACAATACAATGCCTAACAACTAACAAATAATAATCTTAAACCCCCACTCGGTGGCCGTATCGATTCTTCTCCTGAGTCAGCAGCGCGCCTCAGCCAGCACTAGTACTGATAACTAGTACTGACAAATCGAAAGTGTATATTATATGTTACAACCTAGCCTAACCTAACCTAAACGAATACACTTTAATTTATAGATTTTTTGAAGCATCTGTACATTACCTTCAACGTGCAAATTAATTCTTGTTTATAGGGTGAAACGTCCCAGAGTCGAACTTGACCTTCGCAACCTCCGCTGATCAGTGTCCTACCATGTGACGTAGTCGTAAGTGCAGATACGCCCTTGTTATGGGCGTTTAAAATGGCATATATCAGTCGACCTGTCAGAGGAGTGAATGACCTATAAATAACAAGAAAAAAAGTATAAAACCACAAGTAATAAACTTACATAAATGTCTTAATAAGTGTACCAAGATTTAACATTCTAATTTTTTTGAGTTTCTAGATTTTGAACTAATTAATATAAAAAAAATACAAAAATTGATATTAAAAATTACTATTAATCTGTCCAACGAGGGAAGAAAGATTTCGACAGGCGGCATTCAAAAAATGACAGAAATCGGATATCTTATATCTTATCATATTGAAAAGGCGAAAACTGAGTCCCATAGAGTTTTTCACGTAGAATTCAGTGGCGTAACTATATAAATATGACCCAAACTTATGTTTTTTAAATGCGATTCTCCGTATATTATTTTTTTTTATTTGCCTTGTTGTGAGCTTTCTAAAAATATAATATACTCGATTTATAACTATTTTTATACACAAGGTAAAAACTAGTTATTTAATTTTTTAGCATAGGTGGCCGATTTAAATTAGGTAGGCAATTAAAATAATCAAATAATTTATTAGATGTCAAATTTTGGTTATTGGTTATTCCACGCTAGTTTCTGTGTACAGACGTGCACAGATTCCACGCTATAGGAATTTTAAAACATTTTCCGATGCACGTCATCAATCATCGAAATTGACACTAAAGCCTATAAACCTGAGTAAATGAAATTTTAGCAAAAATGTTTAAATTTATTTACTTATTTAAGATACCAAGTAGCTCTTCATTATAATTTATAGAGCAAATGATTGTAACAGATATTTTATTTAAATTAAAGCTGCAAAAATTAGTTTAAACCGATTTTTATTATCGCCTTGTTTGTCACATTGCGCCATGTTCAGCAATGTTGTCGTGTATTATTTAACAATTATCCTAGTGTTGGTCATTATTTTGTATAATATCGTGTTGTTGAATTTTTGGAAGTAATTCTCGTTTTTTGCAGTTTTCCATAGTTATTTTTTATTAAATTGTAATTCTAAGCATAAACAGTTCTTTTAAGAACTAAATTTTCGAGATTTTTTACTGCATTTTCTGAAATTGTGGATTGAAAATATGCCGAAGCCTTTAAACAGTCGAAGTAAAGCGCTTTTAGCTTCCCTGATAAAATATTTTGAGCGCGAACATGACAATAAAGGTCCTTTATTACACTTGAATGCAGTCAGAGAATTAAGATTGATTGGTAAGCACATTATACCACTTTCAAGTTATTTCTACTTATTTCAATTTGTAGCGAGTAACTGCTGCCTTAAAAAAATTATATAAAAATTATATACTAAATATATTTTGTCACTTTTAAATTAAGATTCATCTCATAAATCCATCACAATCTGGCAGCGCTGTCGCCATTGCTTGTCACTCAAAGTTGATGACGTGCATTCGGAAAATGTTTTAAAATTTCTATAGTATAGTTTTATTACACAAGTGCATTAAAAATATCAATAACTCTGATTAACAGCGTCTTATCTAAAAGCCGCACAAGTTTATTTTGAGTGCAGTTTATCAAGAGGAAAGCAAAAATGTCTGGTTAAATTAAAAAATAATAATAATAATACTCTTTTAAACTAGGTTGATTTATGTTAAAAACTTAAATAATGCATTTTAATGAAAATAAGTATAAAGTATATTATATTTTTAGACAGCTCCATAAGGAAAAAAAAATAAAAGAATAATATACAGAGTGTCCGATTTAAAAAAAAAAAGTTTGATTTATACTTCGAAAATGACATCTCCCAGCAAAAAAAACTAGTTACGCCACTGGATTCAACGTAACTCAGTTTTCACCTTTTTGTTAAGTTATAAGATAAGAGATACAAAGGGGGTCAAAAAATGCAACATTTTCGAATTCACCTCGTATTTCATAAAATAAGAAGCCTATGACAAATTTGTGCATAGAATTTTTAGTTTCATTAACAAGTAGCATAATGATGTGAAAACCACATCTTTGTATCTCTACTCATAAACGAGAAACCCCATAAAACACAAGAAACTGGGACACCCCCTACATAACATTACGATATTTTGTCATACCTGATAATACCATCATTCCACGCTGTCAAAATTGATTTGCCATCGTGAGCAAACACCACGCTGGAGCAGGTGAAATTCGTTACGCAAATGCGTAGCAGTTCTTGCATGGTGCTCATCGACCATACCCTAACGTTGTCATGACTGGCCGTTGCAAAAACTTCAGAGAAATTGCTGAAATTGACACTTTTTTCATTTCGACCACTGCATCAAAGTTATACTCACTGAGGAAAGGCGATATCGTAAATGGCCGAAGTATGACAGGTTACTATCAGTTCAGCACGGAACGTATCGAAATTAACTTGGTAAATTTCTGAAGCTGCTGTTCCAATGAGAACTGAATTTTTACCTAAGAGCTGAAGAAAAATAAGTAATTTTATTCCATAAATTATATAATTTTTCGTATTAAAAAACTATCGCAAAACTTAAGTTAAAACTATTTAAGTTTTTTATACACGAATGTTTTTATTACTAAATAATATATTTAGGCTAGTCGGTACGTCGTTTTAAATAGGCCTAGGTGGAAATAATTAGGGGCACACTTATTCTCTTTGTTTTGCTTTGTTGAATACTCTACTAAATTTGCACGGTCTATCGATCCCGGATTTGGCTGCCATATTGGAAAATCCTGTCAAATTATGACATTTCTATGTTCTTTTTTTTAAATAACTCGGTCTGGGTGCACTGTACAGAAAATTTGCAAGAGACCAAAAAGAAAACTATTTAAATTCTCTATTTTATTCGGTCCTATTCACCGATTTCGTGTATGAACAGGTTAACGAGATACAGGCGCTTAAATACAAAGCATATATTTTCTAGTAGTTCATTTAATATGAGAAACTGATTCTATGTAAATTTGAATAATTTGCCAGTACAAATTTGTGTTTTTCTTGTGCTCGTTTCCACACCACCTGACGGTAGACTGTAATAAAAAAAGTGCGCCGAGTGCACTCGGTGCACTTTTTTTTAAGTGGTTTCCCCTATAGGCCTAATCCACTTTCTTGCCGTTGCAAATGTTCTATTTTTATATCCATATGACATGATATGCTTTATAACTATGTATTTTCACCGTCTTCTTTTTTTTTGACGTAGAAGGTTGATCAATTGACTCATCAATATATTCTTCATCAAACTGTTCATCTGGTTCTTGTTCAATGTCTATGTCTTCGTCTATATTTCCGTTGGTCATTAATTCTTCTAATCGAGAACATTGATTTACTGGTTATACTTACTGCACTATGCGAGTTATATATCAACTTTTTAAAGCAAGGAAAGGGAAAAGCTGGAAATACCCTCTATTCACCCTCTGCATCAATATTGGACACGGCTGTGAAAGAAAACATTTTGTTTTTACATGCATTTAGTGGGTGCGACACCACTTCAGCAATATATAGGCAGGGTAAAATGAAGTTCCTTAAGGTTCTAAGAAATCAGACAAGTTTGAAAACTGCCATTTACTGTTTTGCCAACGTTGGAATTCAATTTCTTCTTGCCCGTTATGGGTCACAGAGCGACGACACATCACTAGACATCTATAGACATCGTTTTTTTGCGCAATCTATAACAAAGAGTTTATTTAATCTTGCATCCCTTCCTCCAACCGAAGATGCGGCTTGCATGCACTCATTTCGTACATACCTACAAGTCCAAAAATGGTACGGTAACGAAAAAATACCCACTGACTGGGACTGGAAGCAGTCATCCAATGGACTTATACCCATTCCTATGCTGCAAGGCGCCGCTCCCCAAGAGTTATTGAAGATGATTTCTTGTAAATGCATAAAAGGTTGCAACGCAGCCTGCAGCTGCAGAAAATCAGGATTACACTGTTCGGTAGTGTGCGGTTCGTGCCAGTGAAGAGTCATTTTTAATAAAATTCAAAAATTCTTATATGCGATTTATTAAAATTAAATGAGATTTGTAGTTCCGTTCTAATGAGCTTAACTGAACATCTCTATTCCTAGCGTTTGTCTATTTCAACATCATACGTGAAAATATATAAATAACAACCTTAAACAATGAAGGCATATAATTTACTCTAGTTTTAAAAATACTTTATTTTTTATCTATAATTTTTATATCCTTTTTGGCAAATTTCCTTTACGCAAGTTTTATTATATTTCTTTTAATTCTAAAATTTCTAAGATTTTAATTAATTCGTGGAAAAGAACTGTTTTTAAATTCAAGAAATTAATAAACATGTATTTTTAATAATAAATTTTACAATTTTATTGTTTAATAAAAACGTGGCTATTAAACAAATAAAAATCAGGACATTAGGGCTTTGCGTGGGGACGCGGGATTTTTGGATCAAAATCGGGACTGTCCCGACAAAATCGGGATGGGTGGCAACCCTGGATTCAGATGGTAGCTCTGCTATAAAAAATGTCAAGTTGCCGCATTTATATATTTATTTCCTGACATTGTCATTCTTTTTGACACTTCAGTTCTGTATTACGAGTTTTTGGTTTAAATAGTGTTATGATACTTTAAGCTTGAACATGTTTACTAGCAGACCTTGCAGTCGAACATTGTTCTTTTTAGAACCTCTTCTAGTGCGAAGTGTACAAGACTGCTTAATAGCCTTAAAAAATCACCGAAACTTTATTAGAATATTTTGAACGGGAAATCGGTAGTAATGGCCCTCTATGTCCCATAAGTGCTGTTAAGAAGGTGGGTTTTGTTGATGTAGATAATAACTGTTTATATATTCATAATTAATTTATTTTTGTTTCCTAAAATATTTTTATTAAAAGAAAATATATAAAAGTGGGCAACGCTGTGCCGGTCAAGCTTAGTCACGTGACTAAAAGTTAATTTGGTATGAACTGTACGTAACCTAAACTCAAGGTTTCCATACAAGTTGTTGGAAATTCCGGATAAGTAAGCTCTGAAATCCGGATGCGTCGAAAAATAAATTATGAGTTTACTTAGGTATGTAAAGTTAGTCTAGCAAGGAAATACCTGAAAGTGAGAAAATCTGTCTTAATTCACAGGTAAATTGTTCGTCTGTCATTTTTTGGATGTCATGTGACGATACTCTTATTCACTTTACTTAATAATAATAGCTCCCGTATATAGCGTTTAACGCCTTGGGAGTAGCAAGGTACAGCTTGCTATACTAGAACCGTTCGGTATACAAGGAAGGTAATGTGGCTAGCACTACGCTTCAACCGCCTATTATTACCTCAGGATTGTGAATCCCAAGTACTCATTTAAGGCTGAGTCGACCTAGCTACCCAAACTATTTTTATTTTAATAAAAATAGTCGGCTGATGAAATGCCGGGTGTGGCAATCGAACCCACACCTTGAGATTGGTAGACGAGAGCCTGTACCTCTACGCCACCGGGCACCATTATTCACTTTACTTTAAAGGTAACAAGTGTAATAAGTAATAATAAAATAAGTATACTCTTATGCCTTTGTGAGCAGTACTCAGATTTGTATTGCATACGTTACAAATGATATCAGAATTGGATTATCTTTTTAAGGAATAAGGATGGGAGATTTCTTTTTTTATTAGACGAAAAAAACTGTCAAAAATGGGGGCTCATGGTGTGGTTTCCGCCTCTAATCCATGATACATATGGCTACCATTATACTCCATCCTTAATTTTTTAATTCAAAGATTGTAATTGCTATCAAAATGTCTATCGTTTTTTAAGTATGCTCATATTTACCTCTATAGATGTGACAGCACTGTAAACATTCGTCGACTTCAAAATTGTCAATGCGGGTATGGAAGGTAATTTAATATCGATGTCCAACAAAACAGGCTTCTCTGCTTCGACCACCAATTCTAAAGTACCATCTCCTGCTCCGACAATTAATTGTCCACTAAAGAGTCGTCTTATGGATCGTACGCCTAAAATTCATAAATATGACGTAGAATGTCGTCATTACTTATTTATGTCGTCATTACTTATTATTATATTACTTATGTCGTCATTACTTATTTATGGTAATATTGTGCGCGTTGAGGGAACCCCCCGGCTGACCGACAGCTGAGTATTTTGCTCAGCGGCTGACTGTTTTTGCGTGTAAAATAGAACGTTTAGGGAAACCGCTTACTCAGCCACTCAGCCGGTGACCGTCCCTGAACGGGCCCATTATCTCCATCTTCCTTTATTATTCAAGTCAAAACTATATTTATTTTAAAAGAACAAAAAAAGAAGTTATTCTTTATTTTTTGAGATAAAAAATGAGATTTAATACGTATTTATATAACTAATATGACATACAGGGTGTCCCAGACTGAGCGTGCATTAGAAGTTTCTAGAAAACTACAATATCTAGATCAGAGATTTTTTGCCACATCATTATTTTACAAGGAGATCTATCAATTAAAAATATTTTCAATATGGCGGCACTTCCGGAAATACCGGAACTTGACAGCAACTTTCTTATTTTAAATGGGTGCCTCCATTTTTTATTACATACTGAAATTCTCTGTAAAATTCTATGAATATGGATGTTAAACACTCTATACCTAACATTAACCGTTTTTGAGAAAAAAAAAATATTTAAAATATTTGGACAAAAAAAACTGCCTGTCAAAAAAAAATTGTATAGCCTAAAAGTCAAATTTAGTGATTACCACAGCCACTGTGACATAAAGAAAAAACATGTGGCTATGTATTTCAAAAATTAAATTGTTCAAATGCCATATAATAATGGCGGTAGCTGTCATGGAATTAAGCGATTAAAAAATTATCATAAATCATTTTTTTCAAATGGAAACCCACTTTTTTTATTTCACTAGTGAAAAGGTTTTCCAATTCGTTACTTTTTGAGTATACATGTTCCTATACCTAAAATAAATCGTTTTTAAGTTGTTTAAGATTTAGTTTGAAAAAGTATATTTTTCTTGATTTTATCTAGCTTCCTTTGACTTAAGTGTCAAACAGTCAGACAATTTACCAGATCAGACCTTCCATCTGTCAGAGAACGAATTATTTAAATTTCCTATATTATAAATACTGCCTACCTTAAGAATTTAAAATGTGTATTTATAAAAATATATCTCGTATTTTCGCTCTTTAGTGATATCTAAGGGTTGATAGTAATAATACACGGTATGATCGAAAAAAAACAGCGCAAAGTTGGCTTGGAAATGATGATCGATAACATACTGCTTTTTGAAGAAAGTGACACAATATGGGCAAATCTATTGTTTTACATCACTTGATGTTTAAAGTCATAGGCTACTGGTTAAAATCAAGAAAAATTTACACTTTAAAATTAAATCTTAAATAACTTAGAAGCAATTCATTTTTGGTATAGGAACATGTATAGTCAAAAAGTAACGAATTGAAAAGGCCTGTTCCCTAGTGAAATAAAAAAAGGGGGTTTCAATTTGAAAAAAATGATTTATGATAATTTTTTAATCGCTCAATTCCATGACAGCTGCGGTCATTATTGTATTACATTCGAACAATTTGATTTTTGAAATAGATAGCCACATGTCCTTTCTTTATGACACACATGGCTGTGGTAATCACTAAATTTGACGTTTAGGCTATACACATATTTTTTACAGGCAGTTTTTTTCGTCAAAAAATGTTAAATATTTTTTTTCTCAAAAACGGTTAATGTTTGAGGTATAGAGTGTTTAATATCAAAATTCATAAAATTTTACGGAGAATTTAAGTATGTAATAAAAAATGGGGCACTCATTTAAAATAAGAAAGTTGCTGTCAACTTTCAACGGTATTTCCGGAAGTACCGCCATATTGAAAATATTTTTAATCGATAGATATCGTTGTAAAACAATGATGTGCAAAAAATCGATATTGTAGTTCTCTAGAAACTTCTAATGCACGCTCAGCCTGGGACACCCTGTATATCAGGTTGAATGACGTGATCAATTAGTTTCGGTCAATTGACTACAACTTATAATTTTTGAATTCCATCCTCGATATTTTTTGAGTTTGTTCGATAGAAAATAACATTCTGAATAGAACGTCATATCAAAATAGTATTTTAAATTTGAATCTAGGGTTCCATAGCTATGATAAAACAAATTTTTAATCAAGAAGCATTGGAAAAATGGATTTGATCGTTTGAAGTTTTTCGTGATTTTTCCTGGACAGTTAAAAGATGCCCAAATCGTATTTTTAATCATAACCTAATTTTTTCAAATGGAACAAGGGTAGCTCATTAGCATATTTGGAAAAGGCGTTTTTTGACAAATAGTTTGGTGGCACATATTTGCTATTTCGAGTCAATTTTTCGTTACGAAAAAAGCCATCTCTAGAGAGAAAATCTAGATTGAAATTTAAATAACTATTTTTTTACTACAAGCGAAAAAAGCATTCTATTCAGAATCGAATAATATCTATCGAATAAAGTAAAAAACAAATATATTGGGGGTACCTATAATGTAAAAATCAAAAGTTGTTGCCATTTCCGGTGAAACAAGAAGTGACCAAAATTAATTGAATACGTCAGTCAGTCCTGATTTATGTCATACACATACCAACACCCGTTTTTTGTTTGAAACAATAAAAAAGTTATAAGGATAAAGTTATGCTAAAGGTTAAACTTTTGAAAAAACAGCCGCTATAGTGTAACTCCTGCAGCAACGTATAACGTATTTCGTAGTTTTACATTTTAATTATGACTAACTGACAACCTTTGACAAAATAAAATAAAAATCTAGTCTGTCTGGACGAAATTCATTGATTTGTGATAACCTACAAAATTTTTTATATAATATTGCAATTTAATTATTTTTTGCGGCCATGGCCATTCAATATTTTCACATCACCAGTTCTCCATGAACGTCTAACGTGCCATCACCGTGAATACTATATACTGTTATTTTTTCTTTAAGACAAGCTTAATGTTGGAGAATTATCTAAAGAGAATATTTTCTGCAAATTTTTATGTTCGGCAATAGTTCAAAATGATACATGTAGACTAATTTTTATTGTAAATGGGGGTAAATCAGGGGACAGCACTAGTGTGCAATTGGGGCACTGTTGGCGAATGGAGTTGTCGCCAATAAGTTTGCAAGTGTGTTGGTTGCTCAACATGTAGCTCAGTTACATAATTATTTGTGTGGATTGGTCAACATATTGATAAGCATATTGCTCAACAGTGGAGGAGCTAGAACTTTTTTGGCGAGCCCAAATTCGCATAAAATAGGATTTTTTTGGACAAAAATTGCTAATAAAGTCAAAATAAACAAACCATGCTGATATAGGTCCACGCTTCCTCTTCTTAATTTCTTCTTAGATATTCTTGCAAAACATCCAACCACGCAAGGTGTTTTAACGGGTTCCAAAATTTCTATGTCATGATGAAAATTCAGTCGTATTTTCAAAATGTCGCCGGTAGTAGTACCACAATATAACACCTTTGGAATAGAATAACGGAAGTAAAATATAATTATTATTATGTATCCAAATCGTTAAATATAAAGTGCAAATCATATACTCAACAGTAATGAATATTTATTGCAAACAGATATACAGAGTTTAACTACTCGTATTGGAGGTGGTAAAAAACTTTAAAGTCCGCCATTCATTCGCAGACCGGTCCGTCCTGACCGGTCCTTTAATGAATGGCAACGAGCGACAACGCACACGACGCGACGGTCGGATCTGGGTCGTGAGTTCGCCAGTCCGATTAGCAAACCCACGATGTGATTGTGAGATTTTACCAGAACCGCCAGAAAATGAAATAAAAATAAACAAAAAACCATCGAAAGTTAAGAAAAATTTACATTTTAGCTTTATTTAACTAAAAAATCCGCTTTCAAACATATAAAAGTTGAGTGGACCATTTTTGAATTATTTAGGTTTTATCAAAGCAGCCGCTTCCACACAAAATGCATAGTGTGCGTTGGAGACATTTTACTATGCATTTTATGTTGTAAAAGTTGCAAGAAATCTAAGCTATCGAAAGATGCGTACAACTTATCTTAGATAGGAACTATCGGAAACAAGAAATAGCCATCTTATCCTATGTCCAGCAGCATTAAAAACGATCAACTCTGTAACCATCAATTCCAAGTTGGTCAAAGAATGCCTAGAGAAGCTGAACAAATTGGGCAAAGATAATAAAGTCCTTCTATTCTGGGTGCCAGCCCACCAAAGGATAGAAGGCAATGAAAACCTGGAAAACTCCATAGTTAACCTGTAATGGAAATCCTCCAACAGTCTAAGACACTTGAAGAAATTGTTAAGAACTTAGGACCGAGAAGAATCAAAGATTTTCCTTGATTTAAGTAAGAATTATTGGATTGTCACGGGGTTTTTATCAGGACACTGTCTCCTCAACGAACACTTCAGTAAATGGAAGCTAAGAAACAATGGCAAATGCAGATTCTGTGGGAAAAGAGGGAAACACCAGAACACCCCATTACTGAGTGCGCCGAGACGACAACCATTCGTGCCATAAACTTTGGTATGACTGATATCGGAGATGGAGAACTAACCTCTGTAAAACCCGACAAAACCTCAGATACTTGCTTTTGTCAAAACCCTGAGACTGTAGGATGCGTTACAACTCAAGAAAGGGGGACACAACAGATCTGTAAAGTCGCGGTCATTCATTCCCCTCCCATACATTGTACATTCTATATTCTCTACGCCTCTGATTATCTTATAGTATTTCGTTGATCCGTACTTCGTCTCTTTCATTTGCATCCATGCACAGCACTTTCCTTTTCAGTTTGGACATGGTAACATCAACGGCGCGGACGTTCCTAGCGGCCACATCGATCTTCCACACTGCCAAATGGCAATCGCCGGCCGAAACAAAGCATTGACCACGTCGCGTCATGGGCAGCAAAACAGTAGCTTCGCCTTGGGAGCCACGGGAAGCACGTGACCCGCACACCACCTGCCCTACCGACATGTCCCATATTACCACGGAACCACAGTCTCTTCCTCCTACAAAGCAAGAGTAACAATCGTTGAATAATAAGATTACAGCAAAGTCGGTGCGCGTATACGAATCGTTTCCGATACGCAGCGTTTTCGGTCCACAAAACAGTACTGTAATATTCATACAGGGTGTTTCATAAAACATGTGCCATCTCTCGTGGGGAGATTCCGCCCGTAAAAATTAGATTTATTTTTTTATATCAACGTAGGTCCGATTTTGCTTTAGTTGACGTTTTTGTAGACGTATCTGTTTTAAAAATATAGTATAGTTGAATTTAAATAGTTTTTTTCTTTGTATTTTTTTTTGCTTCCGACGACGGAAAGAGATAAACTTTCCGAAACGATAAGCATTTTTTTGTTCGTTAGGCAAATTTGTATATCTATAAACCTAACTGCTGACAAGTAGTTTCCGTTTGGATTGACGCAGTACTGTTTACAAAAAATAATTATTTTATTTTGTAGATTTTCTTGCAGTGGCGAAATAGCCATATATGATTTTTTGGAGAGATGAATACGCCACATAGGCAGAGATATTTTTTACAGTTTTTTTAGAAAAATATTCTAATGAATCTCTGAATGATAACCCTTATGCACGTCACTGGTGAAGCTGTCGACACTTTTTTAGCATCAAAATATGTCGCACTTATAGTAACTTTTTCAAAATTCTATACAAATCGCTAAAAGTAGTTGAAAGAATATAAAGTATATGTAAATCGAAAAAAAATGAAGACTTTAATCCCTGTAGCTACGAAACAAAGCAGAATCGGACCTAAGTTAATATATACAAATAAATCTTATTTTTACGTGAGGAATCTCCTCACGAGAGATAATACATGTTTTTGAAACACCCTATATATTTCATACAAGAAGTGTTTCAGTTTATTTAGGTAGAGATGTTCTACCATTTTTCTCCTAAAAACAAATACAACTACACTTCTACTGGATAAAGATGAAATAAGACAAAATTTAGTAAGATTTGCAATATGCCCAACGTTAAGAAAAATAAAAAAAATTCTCGACAGCATCGGCATCCGACAAAATATTGGTTACAAGTTACAAGTACACAGAATGGAAACTTGTGAATGAACTCTGACCATGTGAATTAGTTACTTTTAAAACCATTATATATATATATATATATATATATATATATATATATATATATATATATATATATATATATATATATATATATATTTTTAGGATTCGAAATGTTACGTTCCAGAAACTATTCATGTATGATAATATGTACTGACTATACATAGAAGGAGTTATACAACGACATATACAGGGTGGCGCACCTCATTCGCCTAGGTGGATTATACGAATACGGAAAGATGTAGAAACAAAAATTTTTATGGGTATATGTAGAGAAGCAATGTGCATAATTTAAAATTATTTTGAAATGTACATGGTGTGTCAGAACTAAGATCCATACCAAAGTTATATTTTTTCTTATGGAACACCCGGTATTTTATTTCATTTTTGGATTCTTGGGCATAAAAGAAGGCATTTATTATAAGGGTTTAATATGTTTAAAAGCTTTGGTTTTTGAGATATTTAAAGATATGTATTTATATATGCATGCTATAATAAAAAAGTTTGTCAACACCCTGTAGATTACTTTTCAGATTTAATTCTTGTGCTGACTTTGAAGCCAGAGAAATAAACTTTACTAAAAATTTTGATTGCTTTCTTAAATGTATACAGGGGTATCAAAAATTGCTGGTTTATTTTAAATATTTATTTTACATAAAAACTTCGTTACTTCAAATGCAACACTCTGTATTTTTTAAAATAAGTCGCATATTTAAATGCTCTTTCAAACTATATTAGGGTTTCCTATACCTATCTGGCTCAGATTTTGAATAAAAAGCGATTTTTCAATAAAATGACAATCAAGATGGCAGGTGTCGCCATTGGAAATTTGCTAGTGACAGTTAGTAGCTATTTTCAAAATCGTCATTAGTTTATTGACTTTACTTAAATTTATAACAGTTTATTTTTATTATTATTTACCTACAATAGTTTAGTAAGTATTTATTATTTTATTAAGAAAAATAAAGAAGCAGTTCCTTGATTTATATTACAATGACTTTTAGATATATTGGATTTTCTATAAAAGAACCAATTAAGGCAAATTTATTTTCTTCACTTCCAAAAACAGATTTCTGCCTAATAGGTTTTTCTAATACCACACTATCAGCTCTGCGAAATAGGAAAAGTAGTTTTTCAAAAGAAGGCTTGTCAAGAAAATTTCTATTTGGATATCTTTGAGCATTAACACTTCAGGCCAACCCCCCCAAGCAATTGTTCTCACAAAATAAAATCACTAGTAACTATAGTAACATATCCAATCTTTCCGCCAGCAGATACTGCATGCTTCATTTTTCTTGATAAAATAATAAATACTTACTTATTGCCCTTATTGTAGGTAAATTAAATAAAAATAACCTGTTATAAATTTAAATATAAAGTCCATAAACCAATGTCGATTTTGAAAATAGCTACTAAGTGTCACTAGAAAATTAATATGGCGACACCAGCCATCTTGACATTGATTACAATTTTATTGAAAAATCGCTACCCTAATATAGTTTGAAAGAGCATTTAAATCTGCTTCGCCTTATTTAAAAAAATACAAAGTGTTGTATTTAAAATAACGAAGTTTTTATGTAAAATAAATATTTAAAATAGACCATCAATTTTTGATACCCTGTATACATTTAAGGAAACAATCAAATTTTTTAGTAAAGTTTTTTTTTGAGGATATTCACCAAGGATATAGTAAATATCTTAGGGATATCCAAAAACCAGAGGAGGATATTTATGGGATATCCAAGTGGGACAAAAAAAGGCATCTTCAAGACATCCCTAGGCAAACCTTTTACGATTATTTAGGATATTTCTAGGATAATACAAGGATGATGTTGGGAGCATTATAGAATATTTTTAGGGCATTATATGAGGACTGTTATTTGACAATACTTACTTCATCCTTAGTTTATAGTAAAAACGTTTGCGATTTAGTTTTATTTAGCCACATTTTGACGTTATTCATTGGATATTTTTATTAACAGCTCTAAAATATACCTACATATTATGTCAATGAATTTTGCGTCAAAATTTAGAAGTTTATTTGTATGAGTTAAGAGCTTTCAATTTATGCTGTACCATCGAAAAAAAACGGCGTTCAATTGGCTTGAAAATTACGATCGATGACATTCCTCCTATAATTTTACGTACAAAATAACAGCAATCTTCATTTCCAAGCCACCTCTGACGCCGTTTTTTTCGATCGTATGGTATTATACCAGATTATACTACCCTTTATGGAGTTTAGCAGTTTATGTCTAGCAGCAGAGCTAGCAGCAACAGTTTACATCAAAGTTAGCACACAGGATACAGGTATAATTTCTAACACCACACATTCCAGAAACTCACAATTTAAACCCAAAAATAGGATTTCTGTTTGAATAGATCAAACACGAAAATGGGTTTAGAGATAAAGAACAAGCGATTTTCAACAAATTTTCACCTATAATTTTGTCACAAATTCTTCATTGTGAGAACCTGAGTTGTTCGTCGTTTTTTCGACATTAGTTGAGGTTAGGATAGAATTTCTGCTAGAACAAGGCTAGAACTATGAGTATAAGAAAAAAACTAAGTCAAACTCAACCAGTTTTGTTAGTTTCAGTCATTTTTAAGCCCATCCAATATCGACAAACGACCGAATTCACCTCGAATTTCACTAAATCAAAGAACTGAATAATACACGATGCAAAAACCATCAAAACTAAACAACTGTCGAGATGGACTGTGGGAAATTTTTTGCGCGGGCGTTTTAAATTCTCTGTATTACTGGGAGTGGCCAACCTCATAAATATCCAGATTATCCAGAAGATACCAACAGGATATTTTGTTGCCTTGACGTAATATATATATATATATCTATCTGTATGGTTTATTGCATTTTATGTAATATAAAAAGTAGTACATTATTTATTTTTCCTAAATATCTAGACGATATTGTTAGGATATTTTATTATCATGAGCATGTTTGGATATCTCAGCTGGATGTACATTAGATATACGACAGAGATATCCAGAGGATATTCTATTCTGAGACATCTATAGGATTTCAGGATGTCTAGAGGATATCCTACAGATATATTTATAGGATGATCTTGTAATAGGACATTCCGACATTCTATGGATATCCTGCGGATATTGTGTGTTATATGGGATACATTTAAGGAAACAATCAAATTTTTTAGTAAAGTTTTTTTTTATTTGTCTGGCTTCAAAGTCAGCACAGGAATTAATTCTGAAAAGCAATGTACCTACAAGGTGTTGACAAACTTTTTTATTATAGCATGCATATTTAAATATCTTTAAATATCTCAAAAACCAAAACTTTTAAACATATTAAACCCTTATAATTAATGCCTTATTTTATGCCCAAGAATCCAAAAATGAAATAATGGGTGTTCCGTAAGAAAAAATATAACTTTGGTATGGATCTTAGTTCTGACACACCCTGTACATTTCAAAATAATTTTAAATTATGCACATTGCCTTCCCACATATACTCATAAAATATTTTGTTTCTACATCTTTCCGTTTTCATATAATCAACCGAGGCGAATGAGGTGCGCCACCCTGTATATTGCCTTTGTGTCAGTTTTGTTTAACTTTCCTCTTGATAATGAATTAAAAATTGAACTAAAATTAAGGATTCTATTATCAAAGAATAAAACTAAATTTTAAAAATAGAAAATTACCTAAAGATATTAAATATCTTTCATCTTTTGAAAAGACAACAGCCTCAACTCGAACTTTATGATGTTCATGTTGATTTATCATTTTCATATTATCAAAGTCCCATATTATGACACGAGCCTATAAATATCAAGATATTAATTAAAAAATACAGTTTAGCTATTAAATAAATATCCTGTATGATTAAAAAAAAAACGCGTTCAGATGGCTTGGAAATCAACATCAATGACATTCCCCATATACCTAATTTTACATATAAAATGACAGTGATCTTCATTTCATAAGCTGATGCGTGTTTTGACTGTGTTGGTTAAACTCTGGGTTTGTTTTTTTTTGTTTGCAAAATGATCCAGAACCTATTACTGCGAAGAGTTGCTCATTTTTTTTTTGATCATAATATAATATGATCCCACTTTGATTATACCTTAAATCCTATGTGATTGATTTGACCACTTGCTAAATATTTTCCTGTTTTCGAAACACATACTGATGAAATATTGTTAGTATGTCCAACTAGGAAGCGTTGCTTTTTAGTATCCCATTCTTGAATTGTTATTTTATTACCAAGGGGGTAAACAACATGTTTACCATCTGGATGTACAATAAAGCCATTTATAGTATTTCCTATTATTTCAAAAATGTGTATAATAATTTTCAATTAATTAAAACCGACATTTTGTTATAAATAATTTACCATCAAAACCAATAATTGCTTTGGTTTTTAGTTCCTCAACATCGCTATCGTTTTCGCTTAAAACTTCACAGACTTTTGACATATTAAAACTTTATGAACATAACTTTATTCCATTTGTATTTTTATTTGGTGTCACTATGATTTATTTCAAATTTTATTGAAAAATGGCGGGTTCTGGAAACCATGGAAACCAAAGTTATCAATGAAGTCTTTCTGTGGTAAACGGGTAAAAAATTCTTTGAAAAATTATATGGCTTCAGAGATATAGAGTATGATATAGAGATAGTAAGGTTTGTGTAGTTTAGGAACTTTAGTTAATATATATATGAGTTTAAGATCTTTGATCTTTGGTCTATATCACTAGATGGCTTTCTTGTTTGCCTGAAAGAAACAATATGAAAAAGAAGAATTTGTAAATGACTTGGCCGGATCGTCCTGGCAGTTATGGCCCAGAGATTTATGGCCTTAAAACCAAATTACTACCATATTTACCTTATCTAAGGTTTCAAACTTTTTCATATCTATGGTTATACCAGGGGCGTGCAAAAACAATTTTTTCTACGTAGAAAATTACATTTTGGGCAATGTTTTTTTGCAATTTACTTTTTTTTTTATAATATATCAAATTCTGTTAGGGTAACCTCTGTTAGTTATCCTTCAAAATTACGTTTTATGCCGGTAATGTTATTTAAAACCAAAAAAACGATGATACTTTTTTAAACGCACATCCTTGCTTTGATCCATTGCTTTGATTCTTTGATTTAAGTATTTACCATAGATTTTAAATACAGGCGCTTTCCAAAGATTATTTTTGTCTCTTGAAAAATCTGACAGTGACCAAGGACAGTGACGACAGTTGACCAGTGACGGGATTTTGACATTGTAGCATTTTAAAATAACGGATTAACATCGTTTTATTCGAAATCTATTTGGAAATCCATAGGGATTTTAAATATAATACGATTGTGTTAGTCTTATATTTATTATTTTATGTGTATTAGTCAATATTTATAGTCAGTATTTCAATATTTCATTTCTAAATAACTATGATAGTTAATTCTCAGCCAGTACATTCTAATTTGAACTATTTTGATCAACAACAAAGGAGAGAGACATTTAAAAAATGGGTTTTTAAGGAAAACCAACCATGTAACGCTGACAAGGTATTTTCGAAAACTAATTATTAAAGAATACACATATGCGAATGAAATATAATGCAGTTAATAAAGGCATCAATTTGAAAATGGCCTTTTTTAGATGGCAGAAGCTGGATTTATATTCACTGGCTCATTAAGAGATCCTGATTCTGCTGCTTGCTTTTTTTGTAATAAACATTTGGATGGATGGGAAGCTGCTGACGATCCATGGAAGGAACATCTAAATCATGCCAAAGAATGTGACTTTGCTAAAATGCAAGTAGCGCAGGATAATTGGACCTTGGCACAGTGGTTAGATCTCCATTATAAATATCAACAAATTGTAATTGATAAGATGTATCAAGAAAAGAGAAATGCTGTAACAAAAATGTTTAATAAGTTAAAGCGAAGAGCAGACATATATTAACTATAAGCTATATATAAAACTATTCATTATGTATTTTTTTAATTTATTGAATGGTTAATAATGTAAGTATAGTAATTAGAATTAGAAATATAGATGTTTGAAGTAGTTTAGAAGAGGAGGAGCCTATTCCAGGAGCATAAATAGTTGATTTGTCTCCTAAACTACTTCCCCGGCTTGACGATGATCCCTTTCCAGTTCCATTATTGCATAAATCTTGCTTGCAAGACCTTGAGTAACTTCTGTAACTTTCATCTTCAGTAATACCATCAGGTTGATTAAGTTTATCAACACAATTTCTATTAATAGATTGCAGTTTTCCTTTAGGATCCTACAAAATCTTAAGTTTTAGATGTATTAAGTTTTAGAAGTATTTTATAATAAAATCACCTTGTAGTCTACTCGAGTTATTGTACAGTATTTTTTGTCACAATCTGTTATGGCACTGGTACCCAAAGATTCCACATTATCAGCACATGATGCGTCAGAATCATCTTCAGTACATGAACATGTATAACATTTCAATCCTTTTAGATTAGAAAGAAAAAAGTATTAGAAGCTAATATATATGTTTTATGTATGGAATTATTCTCCTTGCATTAAAATTTAGCACAACTTACCTATGGCATAGCTTGCTATTGAAAGAATTATAACAAACTTCCAAAGATTTTCCTTTGCCATTGTAAACGACAATATTTAATAACTCCGAATTAAAATTAAGTTTTATATCGTAGCAAGAAGGTATTGAAAATGAATTTTAAAATTAAACTAAATAGTATTGTTGTTGATAAAGATACTGATAACATTCAAAAGTGAGGTATCTTGATTTAAAACGGATTAAATTTTTTAATCCTTTGAAGGGCCAGAAAAGATAAACTTAAGTGGAAGTTCCATTTTTAGAGCAGTTTTTAAATTAATAATTTGGTGAATGCGCGGGGTTCGTAAAATTACAATCTATTTTTTCCTTTGATTTTTCCAACGATTTCTACAGACGACATCCAAAAAATGAGAAAAAAAAACAATTTACTTTTATGTGGTTTTATGGCAGATAATCATTGCCACAGTTATGCTTATCTCTCGTTGGATTGAGATAGTTTTATCAAAGAATATTAAAACATGATTAAAACTCATTATTTAAGACATTCTTCATTCTTTGTTTATATAATGTTTAGGTAATTTTAACTGTTATTTAGTTTTAAGTTTTTATAATGGTAAATAAAACATTTTAGTATAGTGCAATTTTTTCTGCCTACCTAACCTCGTATATTTTCATATAAAATATTTAAAAGTGTATTTTATTTAATTAATCTATAAATTTAGAAAAATTTATTTGGCAAAGCTATTACGAATTTATCAAATGTTATGCAAGAATGAATTTTATAAAAAGATTTAGTGCTTTTCTCTAAATACTAATATAAAATAGAAATTTATCCATTTTTTTATAATATATCAATTAAATTTGAATTCGTTTTGGATCTTCAGTTTGGAAATTAAAAAAATTAAGATGTTGAGTGCGGTTGAAGAATATTGCTTCAGATTTATTGGCGCAAGCGCCGACGATGTCACCTTGTCAATGACGTCATTGATTAAGGTCTAGAAACGACATACGTGCCAGACATTGATCAAAATGAAGTTTTGCTGTTCTCTAGGCGGAACGTGAAAACGTATGTCGTTTCTGAAGAATATGTAAAATTCTGTTCGCCCAGCCATCTTGTGAAACTGTTAAAAAGTATGCTTTTTTGAGGTGTGTGTTAGTTTTTAGGCAAAATATAGTGAAAAAGACTATTTTATGGGTGAGTTTTACTATCTAGAAATAACAGTGCTTAATTATATTATCAAATAGTTCTTGACCAGTGTGATAAAATGTTACTTTTCTTGGATCGTTTGCTCCTGTCACAGCTTTCACTTGGTTCGTAAATATAGAGAAAAAACTAAAATTGACTAAATTAGCACAAGAGGAAATTCGAAACTTATCAGTTTTGTACCGGATTACCATAGTTATGTTATTTATTACCCTGTTGTTTCAATTTTTTTTTGAAAAATCCATTCCTCCCGTAGAGGTCAACTCGCTAGCTTTCAACAAGAAACGGTTTGCCTTATTAGGTACATTTTCTTTTTTTGTTCATGTTATTAGTGTTATTACGGGATTTCTGTTTGAACTAGTAGTTTCTCAGCAATATTTTAATTGTTATTAAACTTAAGCTAGAATTTGCAGTAATTATTAATGTTTTTATTTTTCTTAAAAAAACGGAGATATATTGGTAAAAACAATTTCAGTCTACCTGTCTTAAGTAGTACAGGTACTCCTTAAATAAGAGACTGAATAATGAGTCACTCAACGCCGTGGTTTCTTTGCAACAGCTGTAAGGTCATTAATTTCTAAAATATTTTGAACAAGGCAAAAAATTAAACCATGTTTTAGATAATTTTGATTTGTTGATACTGGTGTCAATACGTTTTTTAGTTCTATTAGTGTATCTTAAATTTACACATCGATGATTTACACTGTTTACAAAGTAGTAATTTTATTAGAATCTTTTTTCTTTTTGCCTATTCATAGATAGATTAATGCATGGATTAATGCCTACCCTGCCTACCTATCAAGAGTTTTTTAGCGACGTTGTTTTGTCTATACAGGGTGTAACTAATTCAGTTGTAGTAAATAATTCAATGTATAGAGATAAAAAATCAAAATTGATTGTTATACCTATTACCTATACAATATTTTGGTTATTTAACAGGTATACCTATAACCAAATTATTTTAATGAAAAAGTTGTATTAATGAAAATTATACGAAAATTTCTTTTTTTTAAACAATCATCGATTTTTTCCCATCTATTTACACCCTGTATAATTTATAATTGGAGGGAATCTAGAGGGAACATTTAAGCTAGATGAGATTTATTTGTCTTTTTTTGTTGTGTTCCATAAGCTGTCAAGAAATTTCTTTATATTTTTGGTTTAATATGCATGATTTCATATAACAAAATTAATAAGCGATTAAAAAAGTGATAATACTTATAGTTACATATCGAGACTTGCCTTAAATTAGATACATATATCTAAATAATACAATAATATTTAGTTGCACCTAAATAAATTTTCTATTTTGTAGCCTCTATAATAGGTGTGTCTTTAAATGTAATTTATTTTTTAATCTGTTTTTTTTATGTACTATAATGTAGTCTTTGCTATAATGTTATTGCGAATGGATTTATCATCTTGATTTTTCTATTAAATTTTTTTATTAATATGAATATTTTTTTTTAATAATAATCCATGTTTTATTTTTATTCTTATATTCTCTTTTTATTCTTCTCTTTGTTCAACGAAAATCTAAATAAGTACAACTTATTTTACTTTAAGATTAATGAAACTATAAACATTTCTAATACAAATACAAATCATTAAGTAAATATACCCAATTTAAGTATTTTTGAGAATGTCACAGGAATTCAGAATAATACAATATGATTGAAAAAAACGGCGTTAGCGATGGCTATGAAATAAAAATGATCGCAGTTATTTTATATGTAAAATTATTTGGGGAATGTCATCGATGTTCAGTTCCAAGCCAACTGAAAGCTGTCTTTTCGATCATACAGTATTTTTTTGGTTTTTATACATTATTTATTATTATTATTAGAAAAATTAATATTATAGTAAGCCCTTTGTCATGAAATTAAATATACATAGTTTAGCACATTTTTTTAATTGCCTTTGTTTTTTAGTATTTTATAATTAACAATTTTTTTGATTGAATTTCGATAAGAATTGTTCCTCTGTAGAACAATTCTTATCGAAATTCAAAGTGGACAGTTAAAAAAATACATGTATTTTTTGACTGTCTACTTGTTTAAAAAAAAGCGGCGTCAGCGATGGCTATGAAATGAAGATCGCTGTCATTTTATATGTAAAAATTATGTAGGGCATGTCATTGATGTTCATTTCCAAACCAACTGGACGTCCTTTTTTTCGATCATACGGTATTTTACAGTGTACTCTGTCCAACGAGAGGATACATGACAGTGACAGGTGACATTTGGGTTTGTCGTTTTAATTCATACGTAAATTTATTTTTCTGTCATTTTTGGATATCATCTGTCGAAATCTTCCTACTCGTTGGATAGATATACATATCATTAGTGATACTTTTTAGATAAAATCATAAATATATTTTTTTACATATATAGCAAATGAATATAAATTAATATATGATCAAAAAGTTTGTTGATGAGCTTAGATAAACAGTCAGCTTTAAATAGTTGTTAAATACTGGTTAAATGTCTAATAAGGAATTTATTTCTGTCTAAGCACACTGGATGAAGCATTTTGATCACACATTTTATAATATAAAAGACACTCAGAGCATTCTTTACTTTCAAATCACTAATGACGTCTAGCCGGTTTATTTCGTCCAAAATTAATAATTTCTATATAAAGATTATTTGTTTTATTGTCCTGTTACTTTTGTACGAGTCTTGTTCAACAGGTGTGAGTTTCTTTTGAATCACACGGAGTAGTTTACACTTGTGTATTTTTAGAATACATTGCCACTCATCGCTTCTGGTTGGTGACCCATTTTATGTTAAAAATATATTAAAGTATGACAAGCAATAGAGCGGTCTATCGCGTGGTTTTACTTTTAATTTTTTTAAGATACAATTTAAACAACTTTGTTTTAAATAACTAATTATGGCGAAGGTGCAAGGCGATAAGAAAAGAGTATTAATATTTATATTAAATGATGATTCTTATTGCAGCTAATGTAAAGTACTGGAGACGACCGTTTTGTTAACATCCATCTTGGCAAAGTCGACTAGAGATGTCGACAGCCATGCGCTCCACTCTTCAGACTGTTCCTGAAAGTTTAGAGGTAAAGAGAGCACAATTTTACCGCTTTCCTTCCATCCAATCTCCCACTTTCCATTGCTTGATCACTCTTAAACTAACCCTGGCAAAAATAATTGTCACAGCTATAATTTGCATAATACGGTGTTATTTTTTATTTGTAGGTGAAATTTGAAATTAGTTTTTGTTTTGAATTTGATTAATGACATAATTAACCAAAGATTAACTTGCTTTTGGCTGTCAAAAGTGACATTTCAAGTAATATATGGCCAGAAAAGTGGCCAGAGATAGCCAGAGAGAAGGTTAATAACTCTGCTACTAACAACTTTGTCGAATTTTTGAAAAAACTTTATTTGAAAACATTTTTTTTTAATTTTACAAAAGTATACCAATTTTCAGCCATTTTTTCGGCCAAAAATTTCTGATTGTAATCTGTCATTTAATTATCTAATTGGGCGCATTCAGTCAAAAACACCGGTTACTCCACCGGTGCAGAAAATTAAAGTGAATGCCAATGGTAACTCACCGGTTGTGGTCACCGATCACTTGAGAGCCTACCGTATTTTGTTTCCGGTTTATTTACTCGTTCAATGAAAAGTTATCGGTAGGTCTTTACCGGTTAATACCGGTGTGTTTACTGAATGCGCCCATTGTTATACCGATTTGGTCATTTTAGAAGTGTGGTCTGCAGTGGGATTCTGTAAGCTTCGTAGCAAGAAATTTCCTGTCTAGCCTATGCTATTTGTATACGATTGATGAGTCACTAGACAGGAAATATGTTTACAGAATCGCTAGCCTGGATTTTAAGGTGTAAGACAGAGAATAATAAAATGACCGGTTGACAGACAGAGAAACAAAATCAAAAACGGCATACAGTGTTGCCGGTTTTTACGTTTGTAGCAAAAATTTGTGTAGGAAAAAAAAAATATTTTAAAAACTTTCATGTATACTACTGAAATGGAGATAATATAGCAAAATAAAACACTAAATCACCACAATACACCAAAACACTTTTACTTTTACACTGGACACGCGTTTCGCTAACCATGTTAGCATCATCAACAGATGATTATAAACTATTTTTTTTAGAGTTTATAATCATCTCCAAACCAAACCAAAAAAAATAGTTTATAATCATCTGTTGATGATGCTAACATGGTTAGCGAAACGCGTGTCCAGTGTAAAAGTAAAAGTGTTTTGGTGTATTGTGGTGATTTAGTGTTTTATTTTGCTGTGTAACACCAAAGGTTCCACCCCTCAACTTTAATGGAGATAATATATCTAAGCTAAATATAATCTTAGTACAATGAGTAACTAATAATTGTATAAATAATTAATATAATATATTGTTTTCTTAAGAGTAAAAATGAGACTTTCTGTGGCGAGGTCGTACGTTTGACATTACGACATTACAGGCGAGTCACAAAAAGTGATTTTTACTCTGAATAGAACATGCTATGTTTTTTCAAACGTCATAAGTTTTTAAAAGGTTTTTAAACACTTCAAACGTTGCAAATTACATAAAAATGTTTAAAAGTTATATCTTGTAAGTATTATATATCGAGAAACTATGGTTAGGCTCGTTGAATTTGACACTTTATATCAGTTTAATTGTGATAATAGAGAACAACGGCATACGATCGAGTCGGCCTACAAACACGTAAACGTTTACGTACGCATGCGCATTTCTTATATTTTTTATTTTTTATACACGTAAAAATCTTTTGCTGATGTTTATATTGGTTTATTACTGATAATTCTTTTTTTAAAGGTTACTAAAACTAATACAGTGACTCAAGACGTTCCCGCTACATCATCCACCAAAACTCCAGCCAAAACTTCAGGAGAAACAGTTGCCACTAAAAGTTCTAGGTCATATAATTATCATGCTCCAAGTTCGACCAATAAGGTACGTCAGTTAGATTTCTAAGGTACAGGAGAATACAGATAGATATACCATAGTTTTCTCTATTTACGAACTTTGTACAAACTGTTTATCAAAAAAGACGTGACGAGAGGTATGGAAATGCCTAATGTTTTTATTAAAAAATCCCCTAGTTTTTTGCAATTAGTTCCAAAAAGTTCACAACAAATCCTAGTTTTTAATACTATGGTTTAGGTACTGAAGAATAGTTTATCAAAGTAAGGAATTTAAAAACCAATTTACCATCTAAATGCATCTTTTCTCAATAGATTAATTTTTGATTCATTTAAATGGCTGCTAAATAATATATGTTTATTGGAGATATTGGCTTTTGATGAGGACAGCTTTTGATGATCCACAGCAAATTTAGCATTAAAATTTTGCCTTTGCCTTTAGTCCTCATTAACACACCTATGAAAAGGTGTTTATTGTTTTTGTAATGTCACTGGCATTGAAAAGTTACTCTAGCGGGGATGATTTAAGTCCAAAAGTTGATCTCTACAGTACGTCTGTCCGTTCTGTAGCTCCGGGGTATCCGTGAGAGGGGAAACGATATTTTCTCGATGTTTTTCGTAAAAAATTAGACGACGCGTCCCATCAATAAAAATTCGACAAATTTGCAAGTAGCCAATAAAGTGAGTGGGCGGAGCGATTTGCGGTGACGTACTCGTCAAGTCGACGCACAGTGTGGCGTGTAATGGACAAAATTCAAACCAAACGCAATTTTAAACTATGCAATATGAGAATTTGTATAATATCTTTGGATACAATATTGGTCACTATATAACGTAAGTATAATAGCAAATCGTAGTTGGCTATGCTTTTGTTTCTCTGCGCGCATAAACTTTGACATGTCAAGATTTTTCAAATTTTAAGCTAATAAACGCAATTATTTACCTGTCCAATTAATTGTGTTTATAATTAAGTGTTTTGGGTTTTTCGATAAAATCAAAATGGGTTCTATTCCTGAAGGTAAGTACTTCATATTGCTACCTAATATTACTTTTTGCACTAAGTCCAGTTAAGGATTCATAACGGTTTAAAGTTTCCTGTTCATGTTTATTTGTAATTTTTAGCATTTCCGACTTTGCTTAAAGTTTAAAAAAAATCACTTGTGATCACCTATTGTACTTTTTTATCAGTTGTTCATAAACTAATGGTGTTGTCACAGACAAATTTTTAATCACCATGGGTTACCATTAACTGAGTTATGATTTTTTTTAGAGGTGTCATAGTCCAAAATAAGGACTTGGTAGGAGCTTGGTTAACAAGTCCAAAAGGAAATGGAAAGCAGCTCGTATACGAAAACATATTGAACCTCATTAATGTATATGAACCTTCCAAGTTGCAAGATAAACTTCAGAAATATACTATTAATATACATATATTATAATTAATATATAATATTATACAATTAATATATATTATACTATTAATGGTTAAAGAAGACAAAATGCCAATTTTACCTTAATATCTTGAAAGCAGTTGAATTTAGGTATAGCATATTATACATGAAATGTGCCTAAAATTTTGCGTAGATTCCAAATAATATGAAGAATTATACAGGGTATTCCGAGGGGTAAACCGCAGAGGGAAAAGTGTACACCGTAATTCCTTTTACTCAAATAATTCCTCAGAATTCCTCGTAATTCCTTCGGAATTCCTTGGAATTCCTGGTCTTCAAGGTCAAGGTCAATCATTCAAGGTCTTCCTTGGAATTCCTTGGTACGAACTCGGTAACTCTTTCAGTCTGAACCAGCGTTGCCACCTCGGTTTCGCAGTTCCGCTATGAATTTTCTGGTGATTTTTATAAATGTCTAATGTCTCTATAAGTACTAGATCTAACAATAAAAAGTACTATTACGAGATTTACGTTTTTTTAGTTAAATTTTAGGACTAATAGGGGATCATGAGGTAAAAATACTGGAAATATGTCGGCACTTACTTATTAAAATTAATTTTTCTCGGGATTTTTTGAAAATGATAGGTACCTAGTTATACTCGTATCTATAGGAAAGGAAATTAATAAAACTTCAGTTGCACGTCATAATACGATCACCAGTAAATTCCATAAGATTACGCATGGTATCATTGATGAAGTGCACCTAAAGTTGTATTAATTTCCCTATAGTATATACCTAGGTATTATTCCGAGGAAATGAAAAAATTAACTTTACACTTTCTGAGTACTGAATAAAAAAATCTTATGAGGGTTTCTTTAAAATGGCGAAATCAGGGAACGTTATAAGTAGATCTCTCGGGGGTGGTTCGGCCGTACTATTGGAAAATATTTTAGATATACAGGGTGTCCCAGAAATAAGTGCAAATATTTTAACTGGTAGTATAGTTCAACCCCAGAAACACGCCTATTAGGTTTTTTTTGCGAACAAAATGTTTTGAAAATTCGGAATTTTTTGAAAATTTTTTGGAAATTTATTTAGTTTTTAGTTAAAAACATATTTTCTTGATAATATGGCAACATAGGTAGTAGATTAAATTTGCAAGAAAGAAAATCCAGAAAAGATCCAGTGGTTCTCAAAATTTTTGCAAAAAATTATTTTTTGGAAATTTTCAAAGTAAAATAACTCCGTTATTTTGGACTTATGTGAAAAACGATAGAGAGAAAATATGTTTCTTTTATCGAGATCTACCACCCCTTAAAATATTTGCACTTATTTCTGGGACACCCTGTATAATCGAGGGTACAATATTAAATTAAAAGAATATCTAACCTGTAGATATTTGATATTGGGAAATTTTGGAAGCGAAAACGAAAAACGGATAGTAAAAAATCGCCTGCAAAAGGTTTTTCTTTAAATTTAGTACTACCTATTATAGTATTCATGGTTTACTAATGTTCGTTAATTTTTTATAAAGTTGCTTGTAATTCCTCTTAATTCCTGTGGAATTTCTCTAAATTTCTAAGGAATTCCTTGGAATTCATTGGAATTCTTACGGAAATAATTGGAATTCCTACTAATTCCTATGGAATTCCTTGGAATTCCTCGTAATTCCTTGGAATTCCTGTAGAATTCCTTCATAGTGTACACCATAATTCCTCTGCGGTTTACCCCTCGGGGTATTCCATTAGAAAACACAGCTTTGCTCTGGGACAGATTTTTGAAATACATAATGAATGAAAATATTTTTAGATTATGCAACCTAATACAATTTTTTAAGCGATTTTTTTCTCTATCGCTAGTAGTTTGGGTTAGTTATTAAAATATCAACCGATAACGCACTATTGTAACACCCTATATATATTTGCTCATTGCACACCTACTCAGTATTCCTGTATTTTTTTAGTCTAAACTATAAGTAATAAAACAGCGTTTACAGAATTGAAATTGGTTCACTCATTTTTGAGATATCTAATTTTGTCCTTAACTCATATACCACGTCACACTGTGCGACATCTAAAAAATATATTGCTGTATATTTAAATGTTTTTTGTCCGCATTCCTTTCATAGACACAGATCCAGCAGACGAACCATGTTCAATTAAAGCAACTATTGTCGATAAAACTTCTCAACTTAAAACCATCTTTTCTAGAGTAACTACCATTGCCTGGAAACTTATATGGTGAAATTTTGATAAAATAATTTAGTACTCACTAAAAACACGGTATGTCGCTAGTGGTAGGAAAAATAATTTTTAGAGGTTACTAGTTTATTTGGTTGCCTGTGATATGCATATACAGGGTGTTTCCTAATTAATCTAAAAAATAAAAAATCGTTAGAAAACGGCTTAAGGCGGGCTCTTAATAAGTATGTTTATTTTTTCTCGGCAACCGTTTGATGAACAAGAAAAAACTCAAAAGATCAATTTTTGTTGAAAAGGATGGCCAGTCAAGAAAAAATATATTTTCTTTAAAAAGCAGTAGTGTATCATTTATGTTAAGCAAAATATCGATTTTTTAAATTTTTAACACCCTGTAGATCAGAAAGGAAGTACTTTAGACCTAATGGTTATATAAAAATTGTTTTAAGAACACATGAGGAATCACACCACAATTTTTAGACTAATTAGAAAACACCCTGTATATTGTCAACTTGACAATGATTGTTGATAAATCAAAAATACCTTTTTCTGTGAAAAAAGCCCGATTTTCGCAGGAAAAGTTTTGGTTTTTATTGAATTTGGGTCTGCGTCTGCTAATACCGGTATGCTTTTTAATATTCTATCTATCTAAATTTTAAATATCGTAGTCAGAAATAGTTTTATTATTTATTAACTGTAAAAATGGTATACTTATAAGTTTTATCAAATATTGTGATTTACTTTCTACCTTGTAGTCAAAATTTATATTTAATAAACTGTAAATATATATATATATATATATATATATATATATATATATATATATATATATATATATATATATATATATATATATATATTCTTATGTTTTATTAAAGTTACTCTGATATACTAATATATATCAGTGTAACTTTAAAAGTAAATCTTTGAAATCAAATATAAACATAAAAAATATTTACAGCAGAAAAGGCGAAGGCGCTGGGTTAAACGTAGTCTCTACTAAGAACACGGAGAGGCGCTTTGAAATCAAATATAAACATAAAAAATATTTACAGCAGAAAAGGCGAAGGCGCTGGGTTAAACGTAGTCTCTACTAAGAACACGGAGAGGCGCTTTGACCCAAAATTTTACTATTAAGTTTCATATCTATCTTAATAGAAGATTATTTTCTTTTATCTATGGTAACTACCAACAAACAATAATCACATGACATTGCAATGACAGTGAGATTTAAATTAAATAAACACTATTTCATAGGTTATCACCTGCGACGTAGTGACCAAACCTGCGCAATATCATACCTTGTTTTCTTTGTGTCATGATTTCATAGGTATGTTGATTAGGACCAAAAGCAAAGACCTTTTTCACACAAAGGCGAACATCAAACATAACAAACATCTATTGTGATGAAACTCAAATAAAAAAAACTCCCGAGAAAAGATAC